ACCCCATACCTACCCTTTCCTTTAAATTATCAAGCCCTTCTTTTCTTTGACACACCTAGCCCTGTCCATCTCCACTAACATTTTCCAGGCGCCCCGAACAAAAATAAGGTGCCCAACACCCCTTCCCCCTTGTCCCAATCCATTGCTCACCCACTTCAAAAGCCACGCCCAGTCATGTGTATCTCCACCCATTCAATCTTAATGCTCTATATAAAGATTAGACACTTCACACTTCTCTCTTTTTCCAACCCTTTATATTCATAGCAAAAACAATGACTTTATTTCTTTCTATTAATATTTTTGGAGTCCGTCGGAAGCAGGTGGGGCAAATAGGGCCATGAAAAAATTTTACCCAACAGTTACAGGTTGGCGAAAAACGTATTTTTGGTCTATCATACCCCCATAATCTGTAAAATAAGAAAAAACGTCATAATTGTTTGGCCGCCGGACTAAAATTTAAAATCCTGTGTTGCGAATCCCCCTTAAAAAGTTTAATCTCAGAAACGAGACATATTTTGGTGAATTTTCGTTCACTTTTTTGACCAATGAGGCCTGACTACCCCTTAGATTACGCTTAGCTAGCAATTGCGCTGCTTGCACACAAGTTGTTTGCGAATATAGCCTTGAATTTTCGAAGAGACAGCAGGCCTGGAATTCAATTTACTGGAGAGTGTTTGTGGAAATGATATTTTCAAGGATGATGTTTGTTAAATTTGATCCCGATCCAAATTCTGCAAAATTAGGCATTATTGGAAAGCTTTTTATACCCATCCTCGAAAAGTAGCAGGCGTTAGCTGGATCACGGGGAACATCACTGCATTGAAATCTTGGAATAAGGTTCCTTGTTTTATCTTGATTGTAGGAATTCAGCTTTGGAAAAATCTGTACGCTTTTTTTAAGTGCGAATTGTCCCACGAACTAAATGGTTTAGAATTTGAGAAACATCAATACATTTATTTATACTTTTCTGCTACATTACTATCAGGGCCGCGGAGAGGATTTATAGGTCCCGGATCAAAACGAAAGATAAAATGCAAGGCACACCGGAGGCAACCCTTTTAAGGGGTTCTGGGAAAATTTTTGAGACGATGGTTGCTTAAATTGCGGCTACTTTGGTTGCTGAAATTGCGATGGTGACTATTATATCTAGGATCATTTCAATATAGTTTAAACATTACTGGTAATGTTTAATACCATCGTCATAATGCATGCACATTTCTTATCTATTAAATATGCATTTCTTTATATTTAAAAAATTCTTAAGAAGTGAAGAATATTTAAATATTAAATTTGGTAGAAACGGGAATGCTGCACCAAATAGATTTTCACCATTGAAATAATTTGATAAATTTTACACATAGCAATCAGAATGCAACCTTCCGATGTCAATAGAAAAATTAGTTGATTCGATCGGAATTGATTGGAACTAGTTGATTGGAAGAAGCTCGTTTAGACAAAAGGCTTGAGCTACCCCAGAGAGTAGCTATTTTACCAGTAGGATACGCTCAAGACTAATTTTTGATTTCATTAAATCAAGTATGATAATTGATATCCCACCCACTCTTTCTCTGGCTCTGCCATTGGGAACTTTGCAATGGAATGCATACCCAGGCTAAATTTTTTTGTGCACTTTGAATCGCATTATAAGACGATACGTCTGCTAACGGTAGCCAATACCTAAATACTTGATAGCATGGTCTCACACGAATATCAAACAATAAATTGGTTTTTCCTATTGATTTCATTTAACATAACAAAAACAGTGGAATCCCGATATAACAAACTTTGAAGGGAACCAGAAAATAGTTCATTATATCGGGAGTTCGTTATATCCGGGGTTCTTTGTATCGAGATTCCACTGTATGCTATGCTCCTATGTCAATGGTCCTACCTCTTGAGCTGTAATTTCCTCTCTTCATCAGACGTAAATAAAGTTTTCCATGTTTACCTACAATTTCACTGTTTCATAAGATTGCATTGTTACATTATCAACATGTGTTGCTAAGAATGGTTTCTAGCCAATAATTTGGAAGCACCTAATAAATTTGCTGGTAATTGCAGTGAAGCAATAGTTATACCATTACAAATTTGAAGAAATTTAATCATACTTTATTGATCCTATCAATAAGACATTTTGATGAATTATTTAACCAGAGCGATATGACCTCTTGTATAGATGTTTTTGATAAGGCAATCGGTTTTAAGGTAAGTGTCCCCTATTTTTTTTAAAGTGTTCTATAAAGCAAACACTTTTGCATATTGTCATTTTTCTATGCGTTTCGGTCCCACGGACACTTTCGCATTGGGGGACCGACACGTATATTACACAGGCTTTGTGCAAACTTGGGGGCTTGAGCAGCCGTTCGGAATTCGGCTCAACCCCCCAAGCATCATGTTAGAAAAACCAAGTCAAAGCGGTTATTTACTCAGTTTATGCAAAGGTGGGGTCAACAGAGATGCTTTTAGCATTCAAAGAGTCTTTACTTTATATCTAAATGGTATAACTGTTTATAGACAGAGTATAATTAAAAGTTAGAGTGTGAAGTATAACATCCGGAAAGTATAAGACCATCTACAACAGGAAAAGTTGGTCTCGAAATTTTGCTTTCTGTAGTGTTCAAACTTTGGTTTGAGAAGTGCAAATGCCTTGAACAAATGAAAGAAATAGTACAGTTGAGTATAAAAAGACAGAGGTGAAATCCTTTGAAACCAGCGACAAAACACAGTTAGAGCAGTAGCGTAGTCAGGGTGGTAAGATTGGAAGGGGAGTGGGGCAAAGGCGAGTTGAGCAGGGAACATTGGGGTCCTCGCCCTTTTGGACCCGAAACAACGCCCCTTTTCAACCGAACCAAATATGCTTTTTGCCATTGGAGGTGGCGTTCGCCCCCCACGCTACTGAGTTAGAACTAATTTAATCGAACGAAAGCGAAAACGTTGTTAGTTCAAGAACCGACAATGATGATAATGATGATGATGGTGCCTGCGATAAAGATAATTATGAAGATGATGTAAATGAGGAATATGACGTAATTAACATTGAATGGATCAAAAGGATACATAAATTTGATTCATTACCTCATGCAATAGTTTTTCATGCCAATTTTCAAAAATTTTAAATGCTAAAAATTTCGTCGTGACAAACTTTCATCTCCTTTTAATAGTCAGGGCTGTTAGTCAAACAATTGTGCAAATTGTGATACCACCATGAAATTTCGCAAAAGGGGCAGTTTAATACGCTGAAAAAAATAGGATATGGACCCCAACTGAAAATTGCCGGCTTCTGCTATTTTTAGACTGGGGTACTGTGTCTCAAGCCCCTTACGACGTTATTACAATAGATCTTCTGTGAGTAGGTACAATAGCACAGAAAGGTACTGATATCTTTGTTTCAAATTTTCGAAAGTTGTGGATAGAGCTTGGAGCAAGAACCAATAAACGGTGGCTTTCTGTTCATGAGAATGCGTCAAAGCGGCCTGATAATGTCAACGTCACAGGAAAACTGCATTTGCATGTCTTTCAGCTTGCATCGTATAGGGTATGGTTAGTTTTCTCCCCAAATGTGTTGGATTTTTACGCTCTGCTCTGTAGAATGATACGGGAACAGATGCCAGTAGCATGGCAGAATATACTCGGTATAAATGAACTCGAACGGGTTCAAGATAACAGATTTGTGTATCCAGCGTGGATAACCTTGCCTGAACAACTGAAAGCTTTTCAGAAATTCAGAAGTCGTGACTGCAAGAAAAATCTACAAGAGAAGGTTCAAATGCAACAATTTACTTATGCCAGTGTTTTGATGTATAGTTTTTGTATGGTGGTGTATGTGTGTTATTACAAAAAACATTCCTTCTGTTTATTTTTTAGCATTACAGGATTTATCTCTAAATATAGTGCAAACAGATAGTTTTTAGCTGGGATCCATACAAAACTGTCTCATGTCTCCAAGTTTCACACTGTTGTACCAAAGTGCGACTGAAATACGCTTACTGCATATTAAGGTCTGGGGCAAAGTACTGCAAACTTTCAGTTGGGGTCCATATCCTATCCTCTTAAGCGTATCAAACTGTCCTTTTTGTAGAGTTTCATGCTGTAGTAACAAAGTACGGCTGAGATACGATAATACCGTCTAAAAAGGTCTGCAGCAAAGTACCCCAGTCTAAAAATAGAAAAAGGGGGAAATTTCAGCTGAGTTCTATATCCCATCTTTTGTACCGTATCAAACTGCCCCCTATTACAGAGTTTTGTGCTATTGTACCCACTTATAGAAGATCTATTGTAATAACGCCGTTAGGGGCTTGGGTACCCCAGTCTAAAAATACCCCAATCTAAGTACCCCAGTCTAAAAATAGCCGAAGCGGGCGATTTTCAATTGGGGTCCATATCCTATCTTTTTCAAGGTATCAAACTGCCTCTTTTTGCAAAGTTTCATGCTAGTATCACAATTTGCACAATTCGACCTAAAAAGTGACTTAACAGCCCTGACTATTGAGTTGAAGACATTTTTGTCAAAATATTTCTCCGAAAACATGTAACGACGAAATTGTTTGTAGTTAATGTACTTACTAGGGGGAGGGACAACTGCCCCTGCATCCCAAATGGTTTTCCATTGTTTTAAACAATAGACTATTGTATATTTCTTTATATAAACGAAGGTTTGCCCCTGCAGTTCATTTCTCTTGAAAAAGGCTATGTAGAATTCTCTGTGTTTTAAGAATATAACAGGCTATATGTAGCAAGCTTCTCTACCAGTTTCGAAAGCTGAAGTGCGATTGTTCTGGGAAGAAATTATGTCGGGATGGTGTTCTTTGAGTCTCTTTCTATTTCATGAGACTTTCTTTACCCAATTTAATGAAAATTAATTGTATCATTACAGAGATGGACGTTATTACACAGCCAAGTTCAATGATCCCAAAATTGATTTATATGGCAATACCGAAAAGTAAGCTTTACCTTGAGATGGTTTGCCGCATTATATAAAGACTTTGCCGAAAGATTTGTTTATTTACTTACAAAAAGATTTGAGAAGGACTCTGCAGTAGGCATGGAAACACAATATAACACAGGGGGTGCTGCCTAATTAGATTTTTCCTTGCAGTAGCAGTCGATCGAAGCATCTAATCAATTAATCGTTGATCGACTATTATTAACGCGCCGATCATTTATCCTTGCAATACTTAAGAGAAAGAAGTAAAAAGGATCTCACTGGCGAACGTTGTCCCTTTTCGAAAATATTTTTGTGGTTGCTTTGGTGTATTGCGCGGTGTCACTTTGGCTATTGGATGTCCCAGATGAATATGCCTACATTGAAGCTGGATGAATGAAAATTTCATTTTTGTCTGATTTTTCTTGGGTGCATCGTATCACTGACTTCCCCCGGCATTTTTAGCATACTTTGGTCAAATATTCTTCTCTAAATATGTAGTGCTAAGCATATCTAACGTATAAAACATGGTAGAGAATTAGCAATCTGATCCATAAGCTGCTCAACTGGCTCTTACAAAAAGGTAGATTCTCAATCAACATTTTTTCAGCAGTATTTTAAGGCTAACAATAGCTTTATTTTAGACATTTATATATTTGAATTGATCGTTACGAACTTGTGATTTTCTCATATTTTGTACAGACAAACCTGTAACACAAATTACGGAGAATCTTGGTATGGTTTTTTCATGGGTATGCTATGCTTACAAAGTTTGTGCTAAGGAGCATAAGAATTTTCCTCGAGGTAGCTGTAGGAAAAAGTAAAGAAAGATGTTTCTGGGTTGCCAATAAAGACATAAACTATGCTTAAATTTCTATTTCATTATTGGTGCTACTTTTTGCTTTTTCATACCGAATTGAATAATTACTAAATTGTGTATAGTGTCGTGTTTGTACATTTGCATGATAAATTTTGCAGGCATCTCGACCTATTTTTTCAAATTTGCATTACAGAATCTCTCAAGCCATGAAAAATATGATCTGCCTGTTGTTTATTTGCTCACTTTTTGTGATATGCAAGGGAGAAATTACGAACGCATTGACACAATGCGACGAATCCATGGATGGCATCATAGTCTCCGGCAACGTGTGTAGTTTCAGTTGCTGCTTGGCAAATTATTTGCGACAGATGCAAAAGTCGGCCGACGGTAACTATTCGCCGAGAAAACGTGGTATGATTCTCCGTCACGTATTGAGCAGAAGACGCAGAGGTTTAACCAGCAAGTGCTCTTCATTTCCTGACAGTGGGTTATCCTGCATGGACAGTGGATACGAGTTCAAGCACAAAACAGTCATAAAATACAACTCTGGAGGATGCTACATTTGCAATAATGGTGTGCATTATCATTACGTTGATATGAATTCTATGACATCATCATCTGTGAATGAAGGCTATACTCTTGTCAGATTTGGATAAAATAACAAAGACGTAATGTGGAATCTATTATTTAACTGTAGATTAGTTTTTTTGCGTTACTTATGATTAAAAGTTGATCATGACAATGATACTAATGATGGTAAAATTATTTAAAAGTTGTTTTTCTCTGTCAGTTGAGCTTACTAATGCAGTGGTGGATCCCGACCAAAACTTGGGTCCCATAAAGGAGTGGTCCTATAAATTTCTGGCGACATTCTTAACCTTCGTCCAAAGTTAGGCACGCCCAGCTGACAATTAAAAAATACTTTCAAAGCATGGTTATCAAAGAAGTTTGTAAATCAAACCAGACATGATCATCGTGAATTCTGGAAGAATATTCTAGATTTCTTGCTCACAAACGATTATAATGAAAATTTATTACCTAGTTAAAGGAGGGGTTGAGCCTACTCGGTGTTGCAGAGTTTGAGTAGACTGCAACACAGAGATTTGTTGCAAAATTGATTCAGTATTATCTATGCAAAAACATAAATCATAACATTACAGTTTCATTTAGTTGAATTGGCCAAACTCTTAAGAATAAAACACTACACCCTTTGTTTAAGGTTACGGTAAACGTTTTGAACACGAAAATTGGTTTTTTCTTCCTAAAGGCCAAACGGCTCAAGGAATCTTGATAAACTATATATCATTCGATGCACAAGATTATGGCGTATCTAGCCAGATAAAAAGTATTGGCAAATAATGTTAAATGTTATTTTCCATGCGAATTTACTGGTCAAAAAGTGTACCACCTACAAAAGCTATTATGTACCCTTGCGTTTGAGGTAACAAAATCTGACTTAGACCAGCAGGAAGTGCAGGTCCTAAGCTACCAAAGTGTGTCTCAGATTTTTTAAATTCCTCCTCTTCTTGAAACTATACCCTGTCAAAAATTGGCAAATAATTGTTCCACCCTCCCGCAGCTGTATTTGGGTATAAAAGACGGACCAGAGAAAATAAAAAAAATTTGAGACAAACTTTGTTTGCCCAACGTCTGCCCTAGCCGTGTGCAAATTTTCGAGCCATTCGATTGGTTCCTTGGGTACATAATAGCTTTTTCGTACCTGCATGTAGAGGAATTTCGAGTCCGGAGAAAACGGGATTTTACTGATCGCACTTGCAAGATACACTAGTAAACCACAGTGTAATCCGGGTCAAGTCACTTGAAGATTTAAGATCAATAAGCCTGTTTAAATAAACACGGCCGTACATTGGGTATATGGATGTGCCATGCGATATTGTAAATGAGACATGCGACTACAACCGCAAAGCAACGATAATCGGCTTAAAAGGTCAAGAGATTTTCAGGCGTCAACTAAAAGTTTTGATAAAGAAATTATGGAAACCTTCGTTTACATGGGATTTTTTCCACTTTCAAAATTTCTGTTTGTTTCAAATTTGGTGTCATTGTGTGCCTTGAAAGTTCGGCTACTTGAATGTGAAAAAATCGAAAAAATGATGTTTTCATCCAGCAAACGTTTACCGTAACCTTAAGATGTTTTGGATACGAAGGTTTATAGTGGTGCGTAGAAAATAGTTATGGGTGTCAGTAGGCTTGGTATGGAATATATTTTTTTTGTTTAGTTCTAATTGGGTCAATGGATATTAAAGTATCGAGTAGGGTACGGCTTTCAAATTTTATTCAATCATTTCTGTATGGAACAGCCTGCCAGACAATATTGTTACGCAGACGAATTCTGATTTCTTTCACAATCTATGTCTAAACCACCTCAGTAAAGTGGTAAATGGTTGTTAAATCGATAATGATGATGATGATGATGATGATGATAATGATGATGATGATGATGATGATGATGATGATGATGATGATGATGATATGATGGTATGATTGCGCAGCTCTTCTTAAAATGATATTTTTAATGGTTGAGGTGGTTTATTGTTGAAATGAGTTTCCCTTCTCCACCAGAGATGTCAGTGTACCCAGCATAAAGTTGGAAGTCTTATTTCCAGGTAAAAGATGAATGTTTCTCCCAATTCACTTTTCACCCATCTACATTGTCGTATAAGATGGGGCACAGTGTCTATCGCGAGTCCTTTCATCTGTATATAAGATGAGTTAAGATTTCGTATATGGTGCTTGAATGTGGTGATTACTTCACTTGGTGGATCTTTAATATCTCTGTTTCCTAGTGATTTTCTGAAAGCTTTAATTTCTTCTTTGCTTAATGTTCCTTCGTATAAAGTTAACGAACATCTATTTTTACGAGTAGCATTCTATGTGGGAGATTTTTAGTATCTTCCATCGTATTTAACCAATACACTTTTACTCTATACTAAAATACACGAGAAAAACTAACCCAGATTGTCCATTAATATCTTCAATAAACTGCCATACATCTAATTCCTTCCAAATTTGTAGATCACTTTATGCAAGGTTTGGTACGTAAAGCTAAATTATACATAAGAGATTCATTAGACCCATTTAACATGGATTTTTTCGAATGCTTTTGCTATTTTTACATCAGTTAGATTTTTCTAAAGCATATCTTTTAGTGAGTTGCTGATAAGGTTGTAGAGTCTTCACAGGACTAGTTACTTTGTTCTTGATAGAATTCACATTCATTAGTTGTTTATTAGCCATTTGAAAAATTCTTCAATGCCCCTAATTACGGTTGCTACGCCTTTGTCGGCTCTTGTGACTATAAAGTCATCTCTGCTACAATTTAGAAATAATAACAATTTACAAGAACAATTGTGTCAATGCGAATTAGCTTAAGTACACTGTATTTTGACTGAATGTAGAAAATAACAAGTCCAGGGCTGGACGCAAACCTGCGACTCGCGACATTGTACGTCGTGGCTCCATCGAACGAGCTTCAGCCTGGAATCGTAATAATCTATCAATCGCAAAATGGACTTCATAATAGCCAAGTTTGCCTAATGGACTACCAGCATTTTACGTACACAGCGACAGGTTATCTACCTTTCGGGTATGCCCCGAAGGCCTATGGGACATATACCAACCGAGATCTGCTCACTTGACCTACATAGACCGGGAACAATCCTAAATAACCTGACGAAGTGCCTAAACCTTGCTTGGACGTCAGGGACATTTACTATTTTTGTCGCTAATTATTTTAAGGTTACGGTAAACGTTTTCTGGATGAAAACAATCATTTTTCGATTATTTCACATCCAAGTAGCCGAACTTTCAAGGCACACAATGATATAAAAATTGAAACTAACAAAAATCTTGAAAATGGGAAAAATCCCATGAAAACGAAGGTTTCCATAATTTCTTTATCAGAACTTTTAGTTGAGGCCTGAAAATCTTGACCTGTTGAGCCGATTATCGTTGCTTTGCGGTTGTGGTCGCATGTCTCATTTACAATATCGCATTGTACATCCATGTATCCCATGTACAGCCGTGTTTATTTAAACAGGCTTATTGATCTTAAAGCTTCAAATGACTTGATCCGGATTACACTGTGGTTTACGAGTGTACCTTGCATCAGTAAAATCCCGCGCGATCAGTAAAATCCCGTTTTCTCCGGACTCACAAATCCTCTACATACAGGTATGAAAAAGCTATTTTGTACCCAAGAAACCAATCGAATGGCTCAAAAAATGCACACGGCCAGGACAGGTGTCGGGTAAGCAAAGAGTGTCTCAACATTTTAGTATTTGCTCTGGTCCGTCTTTTTTAGCCAAATACAGTTATTAGAGGGAGGAAAAAAATTTGTTTGCCAATTTTTGACAGGGTATAGTTTCAAGGGGAGGAGGAATTTGAAAAATCTGAGACACTCTTTGGTAGCTTAGGATCTGCGCTTTCTGCTGATATAATTCCGATTTTGATACCTCAAACGCAAGGGTACAAAATAGCTTTTGAAGGTGGTACACTCATTTCAGCAATAAATTTGCCTGGAAAGTATCATTTTTCAATATTTGCCAATTATGGAAATCACCGCATTCTTGTGCATCGAATGATGTATAGCTTAATCTGATTGCGTTAATAGTTTGGCTTTTAGGGAGAGAAAACCAAATATCGTGTCAAAAACGATTACCGTAACCTTAAGACCGTACAACATTTTATGCCAAGCAATACATGTGACACTATTGATAACGTCATTAACAAAAATTATTTGGCAAGGTTTTCAAAATTTCATCACGCACGAAACATCATTGAAAGAGAAATGATATAAAGGAACCGTCAAAGTATCATAGATGAGGTTTTCAAACAAAATAGCTCTTAAAGATTTTGGACGAATTTTATCTGAACCTCTTACTAGATAGACCTATTGAAGTTTTTCTTTGCCGCTAATAGTAAATGACGGTATGTTCAAAATAGCTTTGTTGATAAAAAAGGGTTTAGCTTGCGAAAAGCAAACAGAGTGATTTCTCAGATTTTAATACCACTGTTCTTCGAGAAGTTTTGTAGCAGAAGATCGTTGAAGTTTCTTGCACAGGGTACATCTTCATCATAACCAAACAAGGCCTAAATCGGTAGAACTCCTGCACATTATCGTATATTATGCTAATACGTACAAAGAGATGCTAAAATCGCCGGTGAAAAACTTTGAATCAATTCAAAACTTTCATAAAGAGTTTACTTGTAGCAGTGTGAAACTAATTGACGAGTAATGCCACAGCATTACAATAATTTTTATCTTAAACTGAACTACAGATCATTTCACGTCAAGCATGGCAGTACAGAGAAACAAAAACAAATCGTATTTACTAATTAGAGTTCATGTCCGATTATAACACAGAAATACTGCTAATCATCTGTTAAAGCTACATTTTCATTTATTGCAAGATTAAACAAAATATGACTGAAGTTCCATAATAGTTTGCACATTGTGTGTCTTGGTATTCAGCCAACTGAAGCAAGTTTATCCAAACCTGACAAGAGTATAGCCCTGGTTTATATCTACTCGTGAACCTTCACTAGCAGGATCTTTGTAGAAACGATGAAAACCGTTATTGCAAATAAAGCATCCCAAAACATTGTATTTGATGACCGTTCTGTGTAGAAATTTATAGCCACTTTCATAGCAAGGTCGACCCCAATTGGCAAAAGCAGGACATTTTCCTCGCCTTATGGCAGTTTCCTGATGCATTTTTCGCAATTTTTTTTCCAAGCAGCAACTGAAACTGCAAACGTTGCCAGAGATAATGTGACCTTCTCTGGCGGCGTCGCATCCTATCGCAGTTGCCTTCCCAAAGCCATCGCATGACACCATAAATGAAATAGCAAACAACAGAAAAATGATTTTGGTCATTCTGGAAAAATTCTGTAATGCAAAAGGAAGAACAAGAGATTGAGGATTTGTCATCCTTTCGATAATGCATTTGAATGCATAGAAACTTACGGTTAATTTGTACTGATTTAATTTCTTAAAACAGTCTTACAAATCTTATGATGAATCAACCTTTTTATGACACTGTCGATTAACTGGGTGATAATAATAATAATGATGAGCAGAAAAAACAAGGATGTTATCTCTTGATACATCGCTCAAAAATCCAACTAAGGGAAGGTATCAGGGTTTACTTTAATGAACTTTTGCTGCTGCACATTTTGAAAATTTTAAAATGTTGGGTGTTGCTTTCTGAAAATTTTCATGATCACACCTATCGAACTAGCTGTATGTGAATTATCGAATTACACTAGCTCTCTTCCAAGAGATTTCGACTATGAAAAGTTGTTTAGGTTGAAACAAGTTTCCGAAAACAAAGATCTCAAGGAAGATAATGCAGAACAAAACAAACTAGAGAGCTTTTAGGTACTGAATTCGATATTGTTATGACCTTTTATAAGCTTTCTGTGTCTACTGGTAGTTGCTACAATTTTACTTTTTATCTACCAAATCTCTTTAGTTTCATCACTTCACAAAACTTGAGTTTATCACTGCACAATAACGATTTATTACTGCACAAATTTGTTATCATTGCGCGTTAAGATAATCCCTGGAATGTATTCGAAAAATGGTTCTATAGGCCTCTATGGTGACTTGTGGAGAGCACATACAAACAAAGTTACGAATGAGGCCACTGATAACTGAAAAACATTTTGATAAAAATCTAAATGATATAACAACAATTTGATATAGTAAAACACGTGAAAAATGTTAAATTCTTACCACATCGGTTCTAGTGTATCACGAGAACTTTATAACTGCAACAAGGGTTTTTCTAGCTTTTTATAGTTTTTTATATTGTTTAGCTAAACAATTGTATAAATTCATTTCGTCACATATTCTTGTAGAATAAAAGCCGTTGATTTTACAGTCACAGGGCCCCCGTGCTATATTATGTTTCCTTGGCATTCAGAGATAGACTCTCCAATTTTTCTGAAAGTAAATAAACAATGTGGAAATATGGGAATGTAGACTCAAAACTGAGATGCTGATGTCGCTCGCATGTTTTTCTGAGGGAGCACTTTTATTGTACTACACGGATTGTAACCTTTTCCCGACCTAAAAAGTCAAATATGCCATAAATATGCTATGACCGGCTAGGGCAGGGCTCCTTTTTTCTTTCTCATTTTAAAGTTGGTACAATTTCTAGCTATGCATACTCAAGTTTATTAAAACCAACTTATTTAAATTACCAACGCTAAATATTTGGCTACGTCTGTATGATACTGTATTAAATTCATAAATTTTGTAATGTGGCTCCGCTGTATTGCATTGGGAGTTTCTTGAATAATATAGGCATTCATTTATGGAAAACATTTCATCCATAGAAGGTGCATTCAAACCGTTAAATGTTTTGTAAATTTTTATCGCAAGATATTTTAAATTTTTCTTATAAGAATATTTTGTTTTATTCTTTAATAAAAGCCTTTGCCTTGTGATTTTACACCGTAAATTCTCGAATTAGCTCCCCTGGGGCCTATTTTTTTTATATTTTTGGATGGGGACCTATTCGAAAGAGGGGCTTATACAAGGAGGGATTGGGGGGGGCTTATAGATTTATTGTAGACATTAAGTAGACATAATCAAATAACCTCGTTTATTGTAGTAGAAATTTCTTTATGAGCATTTGATTATTACTACCAAAAGTATGAATTTGTTGTGGTAATTCAAAAAAACGCCAAAGGCATCCTCAGATGACAAAAATCATCAAATTGAGGGGTCCAATTCGAGAATTTACGGTAGCAGTGGGGGCTTATTCAAGGGGGGCTTATTGACAATTTTTTAGTTCTAGGGTGGGACTTTTTCATGGCGAGAGGGGCTTTTTTGAGGGAGGGGGGGGGCAATTCGAGGAATTACAGTTGATTAGGCACTGGGTATTTAAGTATCCCTGAAATTCTGTTGAAATTTTTGAAAATTTAGTTTGCTGAGTCCAACACGTAGCTGGGTTAAAGACTCATTCCTAACAATGAGCCTTTGCGCGTGTGGCAAATTATCCAGGCGACAATCCAAACAATGGCAGTAAACTTCTACGGATTAACCATAATTGATTTCAGACTGTCTGAAAATGCATTATGGGATGCTTGCGTAGCGCAATGGCTCATTGTTAGCAATGAGTCTTTAAGGCGAGTAAACGCCTGTGCTTGGACTCCTAACCAACACCATTTTTATATCACCATTTTCGGACTACCTACAAACGTTGGACAAACCAAAACCGCTTAACGTCTATGAAGCTTTTCATTTCGGTCTAACAACGATCGGCAGAGCTTTTTTGGCTGTCTGGCGGTACAGTAAATGGCTATACCGACAGACAAGTGGCTATTAATTTATTCAAATTAGAAAAATTGAGCTAGTTAAAATTGTTTGTTTGCTCTCAAAATAATTTTGAAGTCTATCTATCGTTGGCAAGGAAACGCAATATAGCACGGGGGCTCTGTGGCTGCAAAATCAGTGGCTTTTCTTTGCCATGATAAATAAACTGCAATATGTCATGATAAATGCCACGATGAGGCGACTGCCATATTTCCACTAATTGGGTAAAAAACGGTATCTTTCAAGGGTTAACCCAAATCAGCTACATTGTTGTAGGGGGCACGGGGGGCTGTGCCCCTGCAAATTAAAATTTTTACAACAACTTGCCCCCTCTGCCTACAGTTATTGCAAATTATATTTTGAAAAGATGGCATGATTATAATTCCGTGAGCTTGATTTAGTCCAAATATATCTGTTTTTTATATATCTGTTTTCTTGGTTTAAAGCCTACCCGCCTCAGGTATGGTTCTTGCTCGAGTTTACCCACCCTAGCTGACATCTACACTGTATGTAGACTCTACAGCTACGTGGTTGACCTAAATCGAGGATAGGTCGGTGGTTAAGGTCGTGGACTATAGATCTAAAGGTTTTGGTCCAAGTTCTAAACATGACGAAAATTTCACTAGAAGTAAGGAGAGTCACTGGGTCTCTTTAGTTGCAGGCGAGGGAATCGCGAAGTGTGGTCATATAAAGGGGGCCAGGACACTGCTTGATAAACATAGCTTCTCAGTGACCTAAATACTACCTACGAATGCTAGGTAGAAACAAATACAAATATTAACAAATATCTAGACCCTATGCCTTTCCAATTAAAGTTTTTAAACGCTTGATGCCCTAAATATTTAATACATCTATTGTATTTTTGCATTACACTTTGAATGAATAGAACAAAAATGTCCGCAGTTTTTTCTTTTTTATGCATCGTAGTACTGCATACCTCCCGGAACCCATAGCTAAAGATAAGCAATTCAAACAACAAAAACTGAAGATGAATAGCATTGAGTGCTGGAATAAATCACAACGTATTACTAGCAACTGCTCCACAAGCTGCACAACCGGCTCCTACAGACAGGTAATTATTCCTTTTTGGGCTAATAACTTAACGAAAAAATGTGCCTATTTGAATTTATATCTGTCTATCTAAACTGTAGTTTACAACTGCTAAAGACTAAGAAAGCTCTTGTTGTAAGCAGCAGAATTTGTGTGGTAAAAATAGAACATTTTCGTGAATGCTCAACATTTTAAGATCGCTTTTCTTATCGTGTAGCCTTTTATCTGAATGTTTCAAATCTACATTTCCCTGCCGTAGTATGGATATAACAAATTTTTGCAAATTTTTGTGGCTGCATTTTCAGTTTCACGTGAAGTTTTACACAACGCTTTTCCTTTTGACTGTAGCAGCTTCTTTCCATCATCCTGTTACTCAAAAGTCAGGAACTTTGAATAGTTATGTTCCCCCCGCACCGTAAACCTTTTTTGAATACATTACCTTGTGTTCACTCCACCCTAAACCAGTGCAACGTCAGCCAATAATAATCTCGTTTGTTTTTCAAGACGTTTTAATTGATGTATCAAGACTCTGTTAAAGGAGGCAATTCTAACTTACTTTCAGTCACTTATGGTGTACCTCAAGGTTCTGTAATAGGCTCCTTATTTGTTCTCACTTACATTAATGATTAACCAAATGCTTCCAAGAAATTTAATTTTTATCCTTTTGTATCAATGTAATGTATCAAGAGGCAACGTCCTTGTTTTTCCCCCTTGTTATTATTATTATTATCATCCGGTCAATCGACAGTGACATAAAAAGATTGATTCTTCGTGTGAACAATGAAGCCACTCCCTAATCGACGAGAACTCAAGATTTGTTTCTATGACTGTTTTAAGAAATTAAATCAGTATCAAATTATCGTAAGTTTCTATGCATTCAAATGCATTATCGAAAGGATGACAACACCTCAATCTCTTGTTCTTCTTTTTGCATTACAGAATTTTTCCAGAATGACCAAAATCATTTTTCTGTTGTTTGCTATTTCATTTATGGTGTCATGCGATGGCTTTGGGAAGGCAACTGCGATAGGATGCGACGCCGCCAGAGAAGGTCACATTATATCTGGCAACGTTTGCAGTTTCAGTTGCTGCTTGGAAAAAAAATTGCGAAAAATGCATCAGGAAACTGCCATAAGGCGAGGAAGATGTCCTGCTTTTGCCAATTGGGGTCGACCTTGCTTTGAAAGTGGCTATATATTTCTACACAGAACGGTCATCAAATACAATGTTTTGGGATGCTTTATTTGCAATAACGGTTTTCATCGTTTCTACAAAGATCCTGCTAATGAAGGTTCACGAGTAGATGGAAGCCAGGGATATACTCTTGTCAGGTTTGGATAAACTTGCTACAGTTGGCTGAATACCAAGACACACAATGTGCAAACTATTATGGAACTTCAGTCATATTTTGTTTAATCTTGCAATAAATGAAAATGTAGCTTTAACAGATGATTAGCAGTATTTATGTGTTATATTCGGACATGAACTCTAATTAGTAAATACAACAATTGTGTTTTTGTTTCTCCATACTGGCAGGCTTGACATGAAATGACGTGGCATTGCTCGTCAATTAGTTCCACAGTTTAACACGTGGCATAACAGGTTTTTCATCGGCGATTTTAGCATCTCTTATGAGGTCTCTTATTGGGTATTCTAGTTCAGGTTCAATATATTTTGAATTCAACAACATACATTTCTAAAAAATACTAAATAAAAATACAGCAATTAATGTATCAAACAATCATTATAACAATAAGATGTGGAACACAAATTATCGATGGGATATGTATGTTTGGGGAATGATTTAAAGGAGGAACCCTATACACAAAGATATTTCAGCACTTCAAAAGTTTCAAAATAAATAAAACCGAAAATGAAATTCCGATTTCTGTCAGTGGGAAGTGAAAAACAGTGTGTGAAATTTCGAGGTTTAGTGGTCAATGTTTTTTGCAAGCAGATATGATTTCAATTTATAACAAAAGCAAACCAATGATACAGATTCTTTGATGGCATTAGGAATACTATTCAAGGATTCAGCACCAGAAAAACGAACAGATCTAAAGCCGAATTGACGAGTGTTTTTCTGAGTTAAGATAATGTCGTTCTTAGAGGTATTAACATAATTTACAATAACATGCAGGAGTGCTGCTGGTTTAGGCCTTGTTTGGTTGTGATGAAGATGTCCCCTGTCAAAGAAACTCTAACGATCGTCTGCTACAAAACTTCTCGAAGATACCAGTGGTATTAAAATCTAAGATGTTTTTTCTGCTTAATTCTTGCAAACCAAATTCTTCATCATCAACAAGGCTTTTTTAAACGTATCACCGTACACTACTAGCGGCCGATGAAAATATGTCGATTCAGTTAGCTGATTAGATTAAACTTGCAGAAATTCTTAAGCAGCTGCTTAGTATTCTCCTTAAAAACCTTTTCGATGACGCTTTGAAGTCCTGGACATCATTCTAGGAAATATAGCTATGGTAAGATAAGAAGATGCAAAGAAAACCCTTTTTTTCTCAAATAAAATAATAAGGATTAAAAGGATCGCTATTTTGAAACAAAAATGATCTTAGGAACCAGGCTTCATTTAAAAAGTCGATTATAAGATGACGTACACACTTTCTTACAAGAATAATTTCTATAAGAATATTATTGCTCAAAATTGCTGAAATTAAAAAATATTTTAAGGATAATGCAAGACTAAAGCTTCGTCAAGAATTATATTTTGGTTTATTGTTTTTGGAAAGTAAAATAAATGCGAGTTTCACGCTATTATCTTAAAAATGTATAGGCCTTGGAATTATAGAAACTTCCTGGCTGCACCTTAAGAGTGATTTAAGAATAATCTTAGGCTAAAAATAAAAAAAATAAGAACATTGGGGCTCAGCAAAAAATCGGTATAATTATATAAGTGTGAAACAGGCATTGTCTAGTCAGTGGTTTTCATCGAAATTTCTAGGAGACTCCCTCCAAGAGAATGTGGGCATCAGGATCCTCAGAGAACAATTTTATCATCTTTCTTGTTTCAAGTATCTTTCAACTTATGTTTCATGTAAGTGAAGCAAGCTTCTCTTGAATCGACAGATTAATCGCAAGGAGTCAATATAGCATCGAATGTTTATGAAACCTACAAGTATCATTAAAGTATAGACAATATACACAACTGTCTGAAAACGCCGATAATTGCAATGTGCACAATAGCAAAGCAAACACTTCAGAATTCATCGAATGATCTATCACATCGCTTGAAAATTTAGACTATAGATTCTGTATTTCTATCAGAAATTTCTTTAAATGAAGATAGGGTGACCTTGGAAACGCGGTGCAGGCAAGGTGATCTCAGAGTATGACTTAGCAATCAATATTTTGGATTTCTATCAGGGGGTGGACTGGCACCAAATTTAGGGCCCAGGCGAATTCGTCGAGAAAGGGGCCCCAAAATTCAAATTAAGTTTACGGTATCTTTTGTGGCAACATTTTTAAGGCTGGCTTAAAAGGCTACACTTTTACCGTATTTACTCTAATATTCCTGCTTCTCTTTTATTCCCGCCTCTCTAGTAATCCCGCTAGTATTTCATAGATTGTAAGAATAATCCCGCCTCCCCAGTAATCCCGCATGCGAGATTGAAACTTTCAATTGGCATTTGCTATTCTTTACACATTCTGTATCGGCTTCAAAATCAAAGACTGAAACTTATGCTCGGAGTGAATGGTTAAATCACGGGAGAGGGCAGAGAGCTGTCTTGTTTTGCAAGTTTATCAAACATCCAAGTCTTGCAGCATAAAAAGACATTTGATTCTTTGACTTCGTACTACTGTCTATAAAGCACAATTTCTGCTCTGTCTTGTCTGTGAAAAGAAATATCCCACCCCCCATTTAATTTTAACCCCCCATATATGGGTTTATTTTTTACTTTTCCCATAGGTCATTTTTTAATAGCCCCTTACTGTACGAAAATGTAGAAAAACGTCCACCCCTGTTCATCCGAACCGTCCTACAATCCAAGCACAAAAGAGTATTGACTTGATATAAAACGTAGCATCAAGTAAAAGATGGCTGAAGGTTCGACAGAACATTCTCAAACTAGACTTCCAGGCATTGAAAAAATAATCCCGCCTCTCCAATATACCCGCCTCTCTAATAATCCCGCCTTTTTTGTTAGGTTGAAACGCTAATCCCGCAGCGGGAAGATTAGAGTAAATACGGTATTCATCATACATTAACTTTAAAGGACAAGTGACACACTTTTCACCCTATCTTTTCATTTCATTTACTAATAGATCATCATTTAGAAGTAAGTTTTTCCTGGTTTAGAACAAAAAATTCTAATCAGGGGGCGCAGGGGGCGCGATTTTCCTTTTTATCACGTGACCCTATGACGTACATTGTGATAACTCGGAATTTTCCTGTCATTAATAGAGAGTTTACGAAACACGACGCGACAGGTCCAGACGAACTGGATTCGGTTAGAAGTGTGTTGTAAACGTTAATATTGCACTGTATACCAGTAGCAGCAATAACAGATTATCACAATCTACGTCACGGTGTCACGTGATTCATTTCCCGCCATAATTTGAAAAGGGTTTTTAAGTAGGAATATGAAATCAGAAAGGAAAAATATTTCAACAGCACTCTCATACAGCATTTTACTTTAAGTTAAAAGAAGAAAAAAATTTGGCGCCAAAGCGTGTCACTTGTCCTTTAAGTAATCCAAGGTCAAGTTAGGTCTATTTTGGTTGCACCGATGCATTGGGGCGAAAAGATAGCTTGCACATTTGTTGAATAAATGTCCTTTGTATAAACCAATAAAGAATAAACCTGTAGATCTATAGCTATGGGTACCACTAGAAACGCTTGAAGAGCTGCAGAGCAAGGGGGCAAAGCGCAAAGAAAAATGGGTAAGACGACGGCAGAGTAAAGTAAATTGCTTAATTTCCGAGGGCAAGGGACAGTTACCCTGTATCCCCGCACCCTCGTGGTCTGCCGCAACTGGCAAAATTTTATGTAGATACATTTCTCCAAATGTCCTGATTTCATTCTTGCAGAACAAAGACATATTTCTATCAAAGGGTAAATGGGATCTCATAGCCCTAAACATCATTGCAAAAACTTCGTTTCACTGAAAAAAGGTATTTTTCTCATCTCAATCAATTTCATCGGGGTTCTATTTTGGCTCTATACGCAAATTTCGTGTTTGATGATTATCATTAAATATTGTTCATTAACAATTTTTCAAAAAACTGATTATCCAATATCTGGTGGAAATTGCTCAGTTGCCCTGACAAAAATACATTTCTTTTCCTAAAAATGACACTAAAAGCAGACGCAAAATTCTTTCAAGAATCATGTCAATTACTTCTTTTATGGATGTCAGTCACATATTATATGAAAACTATAATGTTTATTTGAACAAAATCTTGCATATAAAATATGGATCAATTGTTGGTAGATATTAACGTTAATATTCATTAAGACTCGGTATTAACCCTGCAACCTTGGATTAAGTAAACAATTATGTAATAATATCAAAATTCGTACTCATATTAAGTATTAAGTTTTGAATTGAAGCGACTTCATAATTTCACAATTCAGCAGTCATTTCTTTTGCTCTTGTCACAATGTACTTGGCTTTTATTATGATGAAATAACCAGTGGCGGACACCTAGGGGCGAAGTGGGAGGGGACCGCTCGCCCACAATATTTCCAAGGACAATGGTCTTTTGTTCCCAAACAATGTGAAAATGTGACGTCATCTTATCAAAACAATAGGCTTGCCCCCCAAAATATTTGTCCAAGTGACCGCCACTGGAAAAATTTTTTAATTCTTTATGCCCTAGACTCTAAATCAAAAATGGAAACAAGAGTCAAGAAGTTTTCACTAATGCCTCAGTGTACCTTGACAAAGAAAGTTGGTTGAAATTCGTGCAAATCCCGCAGGTTTCCGCGCATGCTTTTCGCATCTGCCATCCACTGAGATAGCCATATGCTCCACAAAGAGTGCGGAATTCCTCGCATATTCTCTTTGGCAGATAATCCCTGCAAACTTAAAAAGAAATGGGCATCAGTTTTGGTGATTCGTTTGAGTTCTATGCAGCAAGAACTTCATTACATTAAGGCAGACAACTCAAAGGAATATCTGGGGGGCTATAGCCTTTATATACCGTTAAGTTCCGTTAAAGCAAACCCTACTTCGCAGCGACAAAAATGGGATTTTCTTTCGAATCCAAGCTAGCATTGAATTAAAGGTTTAAATGTCAAGATAATTTTTACAAGGGTTGCACAATTGGATGATGGTTTCAATATTTTGCTGTAGGCGCTCATAGGGGTATAATAAGATAATTCTGTTGGGAGCATTTCAGAATAAAGAGCTCTCGGAATATTTTCAGAAGACCAGTTAAGAATTATCCAGGAAAGGTGTTTCATAATTGAAATGAATGAAAGAAACAATAACATACTTGGACAGGTTTCTTGGTTCTCATCGGCTGGAGAGAATCCATCCCAGCAACATCCATACTTGCTTTCTGGACAGTCTGTTGTGAACGTGTTTTCTACTGGTGATGGAAGACAATTCTTCTTGGTTATGTCATAAACAACAAAGGTATTTTCTGTACAAAGTGTTATGCTTCCTAAAGAATTAAGGCTTGAAACTGTTTGTTTTCTTATTATTTGAAGAGAGAGATGTCTACTAAAAAGAGAATGTCCTCATAAACAGCTCTGTGTGACAAGCACGGTAAATACTGTCCCAGGTGAATAATTTTCTGACAGCGGAGCCCAATTTCAAAAAATTGAATGACCCAGGCATTTTTTCATTTCCTCACGTCCCATGCATGTGAAAGCTGAGATTTTATTGTTCCTAGTTAGTCTATTGTTCCCCTCTTTTTCAAGTTTTGTTTCTCTGCAAAAATGCTCAGAAGTTCTCTTAAACCGTTCTATTTGAAATTTTAGGCCAACTTCCTCGGTCAGTTCAAGATTAATTTTGTTCTCCGCCTGTAATAGAACAAACACTCTTGTGATTTTATACAGGGGAATGTCCTCATAGAAAAAGCGTGTAGCGGAGGCAAAACGTTTAGGGGTTAGTATGGATCTTGCTCAAATATAGCTGCTAAATCGACATACTGTAGAATTACCCGAGTTGAGCCCGAAATTCTCCAATGTCTCTTTGGCTTATGATTCTTCTAGACGTTTTTAAAAAAAATGGGTTTATCTGAATGATAACAATAATCTTCATGCTTACTTACCCCAGTCACAAAAACACACTCCGTAACATTTGTCGAACATAAGCTCCTGGAACCTGTAACAACCGCCAAGTATTTTGAGCAGGGTACATCTGTGAGTGCCAAGCCTGTTGTGGCAGTTTCCTGCAGAAAACGGGGAATAAAGTGCATGAAATTTGGAACCTCAGCCATATGGGCGTTAGGTTTCTCAAGTAATGTTCGATGTTGCTGCTTGGTCAAAAAATTCTATCCACTATGAAGTTTAACCGAGATGTCTTGCTTCTTAAAATCGAAAACGCATTGGTCTAGGCTTTTAGCAAATATTTTCATTTGGCATCTTGCAAACAAAACGCAAGAATATATGAATGCGTTTATTCCCGTTAAGTCGCAATACCCTGGAGAAATTGTCACACTGATTTTCAATTCTCATTTGCTGTGTTGTAGAAGGCATCAACAGATTTAAGTGCCATTTGTTTTTCCATACATGTACAATGATATAAAAAGGAGTAAATGCTTAAATCCGTGCTCTACAATGCCCCGCGGCTTCCAAAGACGCCATTTTTCATAAAAAGACAATGAAAGACAATAAAATCTTAAAGGAATACGATACTCACTTGGACACCCTATTCCGTTGGGACCAGTTGCTGGAGTCTTTCTATCCCAACAACAACCGTAAAGAGAGTAAGCACAATTTTCATGTCCTAAAAAGTATATTTGCCAATTACATACACTTTAAAAGATTATCAAATCCAATTACTTTGTATGTATTTTTGTGCCTAAGCCAGCTTGTTCGACCCAGGCTTATAAATTTCGTCGACTCAAATGTCGCGATTTGCTAAGGAGTCTTCATGAGACAATATCATTGGATTCCATTATTGTTAACAGCAAATAACTAAGGGAAGATCTAGGCTAGGCTCTCTAGATAATCTAGCCTTCCGATATAGAAGAAACAACACATAAAATCGGGACCAGTGTTTATCCTATGTTAAGAAGGGCGAACAGAAAATTTTGAGATACTTTTTAACTTTGCTTTAAACTACCAATACCACTACTTTGAGGCATCTGTTTGGCGATGAGTTGAAAAATGTGGCTGGGTACTTACCGCACATCCCGCAACTTTTGCGACATTTTCTTCTCAAAAACTGCTTATAAACTTTGCACAGGTTCCATTTGACAAAGTAGCCACAGTTGGCTTCTCCATTGTCGTTGCACTCTATCTCCTCTTTTGATGGAAGAAAGCCAATTGCAAAAATTAGCAAATTGAAAATAGCAGACACTTCGTATAAGACCAACAAAGCTCAGGGCAGACACTCTTTATTATTTCTAGTCTTGTTTAATGTACAAAAAATGTTTCATCAAACTAAGGCTAGTTCACACGTCAGTTATTAAGCACAAATTGAAACACTTTATCTAGAAACATTGAAATCTTTACTATTGCAAGTAGCATACGAAATGAGAACATCGACAAATTCAAGGGAATTTCAAATAAGCAATACACACTTTTGAATAAAAATACCTAACTTTTTGCTTAGGCTCATGATCATTAATCTTTTTTATTTTGAGTCTAAGATTATTCTCAAATTACTCTTAAGCGACACAAGGTATAACCGGGTTGCATTTAAATTTCCAATGACTCCAGGGCCAGATACTTCTATCTCAAAGACTTTCAAGATACTTTTGCTTTCAAAAAACCAAAATTAACCAAAAATTTAATTCTCGGTGAAGCTTGTGCCTTGCATTATTCTTAAATTCCAGTGATTTTATATTCTTTTTACAGATTATATATAGATTGTATTCTTATAAAAGAAAGTCTGTACGATTCTCGCCAAAGATGAAAGAGATTTTCATGGAGCAATTTGCTCCTTGGCAATAATAAACGGGCTCTCCAAGTTCATTTAAACGATGCTGTTTCAACATCACCGTTGAATAATTCAAACCTTTTCTTATTCTTTTCTCGATCTTTGCTTCTCTGCTGACGAACAAGGGGCTTGTTTCTAAAACATGAAGAAAAATATTTTTTAAAATATCTTTTTTCAATTGCCAAAAGTTGAGGCATTAAGCTTGGAACAGCGGTTTTACTAAGAAATAATCTTAAGGACTCCGAGTTTTCAGAAGGTGTTTAGAGAGAAGTAGAGAAAGATTTCCAGTTCGAGCTCAAAAAATAAACAAAAATTACATTCTAAATATAAAAATCTTTCAGAAATGTAATATTTTTATTAAATTACCTACCGTGGTTGAGTCTGCAACATTCTCCGATGCAACTTGAAAAGTTGGGGAGGGATGAGCGACATATTATAGTCTCATCAGAAACAATTTTGTCTACTAGTTTTGATTTAAAATTCCTGAATAGTGTTAAAATTGCTTTAAGTGGTTTAGAAAAGTACTTATTTATGAAGTGTTAACCTTCTCAAATCAGCTTAGCTGTATTTTAGCCATTGGAAATTTTTTTCAATTTATTCTCAAATACAGATTTTTTGTTAAAACATTTACATAAGATCATTTTAGATAAATAATCTGTTGGTGGCGGACTAATCGCTGGGCAGCAATTAGCAGAAGAATTGTTTGGAATTTGTTCATGTGCTGTGTTTATAAATCCAATTTTCTTTAATCAATAATGGGCAGTTAATGGGAAGAAGAGATGCTTTATCTAAACCACAGTCTAGGCTAACTCGCTACCTCCAAATGCACATTGGCGCAATGAACAGATTTGTCTGGGATTTGGTCTGTAGCACCCCTCAAAGTTAATTGAATATCGAGATTAGATGTCATTGGAGCCATGTCTAATTGCCTGGTAGTATTTGTGGGTAAAGTTTGGCATAATGTTTCTTGCAGAGAAAAATGATTTTTTGCGCCTATCAGAACATTGTTTGTCATTTTATAGTGCCAAGATTGTAGCTAAAAATCTTACATCCTATGTTTGAATTTCGTGTATTGAATCGGTGATGATAGCCAGCTTACTTGTAACACAAAAGTGGCTTTTTGGGACATTACATTAAAACAAGAACGGGCTAAACGCCACAAAACCCACGTAACTAGGTCTTTCTATCTAGAAGTTATTGAAATCGCTTAGCCCAATACGCGTCGTTTATCGACTTAATTATTGAAGATTTTTATCTAGATTGCCTCTAAAAGAAACCTGCAAACAAATTATGCTGGAAACTGTTAACACAAATGTACCTTAAAATGAGAAATAGCCATGGAGCATGATACATATATGAATAGTTACATAACGTGAAAACAACATGACACAGACAAAATGTCGTTTCTGCCACATGTTCCATAAAGCAGATTTTGTGAACGAGCCATATCAAACTCAGTTAGAAAAGTTACTGGTTTCTTTCTACTTTATTCTAAATTGGAATACATGTTCTAGCTTGATTATTAGTAATTTTTCCCCGCCATCTGCCCTCTGTTTCCTTCTCTCTGAAAATATTAGTAACAAAAATCCAAGGCGATTGCTATCCCTAAACACATAAAACGATTTCCCTTTGATCTTCTACAAGTAAAAAATATCAAACATGTTTGAACTAAAATATTTCGTCAACAACAAAAGTCGTTCCGCAGCAAAAGTTTTTTAGCTCGATTTTTAAAAGGGATGATAAATATGTTTATCGTCCAGCTACTTGCAGGGACATCAAGAGGAGGGGGCATTTGGGTTTAAGAACCCCAAGGCCTGGACCGGATGAAAAGTTCAATAAATGAATGGGATAATCCATGTATTGTTTTAATCTCAAGTTGTACCCCAGGTCCTGGCTCTTGATGTTCGTTGATCTCACTTTAAAAACCCGTTAAAAGATTCGTTTCTCTTGTTTCAAAGAACATTTTAAAAAAGGTTGTATGTTTGTTTGTTGATGGTCTTTTTTTGTGGGCACTTTTCTTCTTTTCTTTTTTTCTAAGTTGATTTTTCTTATTCTCTTTCTTAACGCCGTTGTTTGGTAGACAAAGCATTTCTCCGCTAAAACGGAAGTGGAGCGAAAGATTTCCATGGGGTGCCGCCTAGGAGACGAATCTGGAAGACTGTTGCATGATATTGATCGCCGGTCTCGAATAGTTGGAGTAGCGTAACTATCTTGAAGAAAAGATAACTTAGTGTGCCTCGAGAATCGCTTGGCGACATATTATGACGTTATTTAGAAGAGAAATAATGAAAAAAGCTATGGTTGTAATTGTGAAGTTTATTTTACGGAACTGCAAAGTCGCTTCAGCCTGACGCTAAATACAGGTTATGAAATAAGATCCGGGCAAACTAAAAAAGGTCTGTGCTACCATCTACTAACCCCATTCCCCTTTTAAAGATATCTTACATGAAACAGGTATAGTCCGCGTGCGAATGGTCTGAAGTTTTGAATTGTTAAGAAACTACTCACATTTTGCCAAGGCATAGACAAACGGCGCAGGGAAAAGGGAACATGGCGTCATTTATAACAAATTAATTCAAAAACATGCTTGGTTTAAACTTTGTGCACATTCTTTTTTTGAAGGATGAGTGGTAGTTTATCGACAATGTCTTTACCACAGACATGTTGACAAACTCGACAACAACAACAACATCGTACTTAATCTAATCATCAACATATCTATTGAAACTGAGCGAAAAGAACCTTCCCAAGATGCAAAAGATTCTATTTGCAAAGATTTTCTATGGTTAAAAACATGAAAGTGTTGGTGCCTTTGAGAACTGCAAGTACCGAGGGATTATTTCTCGCAAGGCATTGCTGCACTGCTGAAATCAAAGAAAATAATGTTGATATTCAATCAGGCAAAGTTCGAAACTCTGTTTTAGTTTATTCATTGAAAGCAAAGAAAAAAGGATTCAGTAACACAAAACATTCCCATTTTCAACTTTGAATAAGATTTTAAGGTTCAAGGTGTATCTACTCCTTTTTGTTCAAAACTCTGTGGAGAAATCACGAGCATTTGTTTTCATTCACCATTGAGGTTTCCTGCAAAAATATAAATATCGAGGTATTTTTGTTTACGATAAGTTGGTTGCTTGTAATAACGTGGTTAAGGTAAGAATCAATATAAAAAGGGAAGTTGATTACATAACCCCATCTTGTTAGCCTGTGGAGCAAAAGCTAACAAATATATCCTTCATCTTTCATGTATCCTTTATCTTTCCTGTAGAAAGCAAACAATTTTATTTAAGACAAGCTAACAAGATATGAATATTGAAAGAAAGCTAACGATAATGAAAATTGACTTTCTAAATTACCAAAGTCGTCGACCAGCAGTGCTTGAGTGTAGAGGAGGGAACCAAGAAACACAAAACAAGCGTACATCGTTAATTGAATGACTCTCGACTCCACAATCGCCGTGCTACTGTTAATGAAGACTTGCAATTTAGTAATGATATATAAAGACCGCTTAGTGAAAGTACAAATTTGCCTGCGGCGCGACGCGGTTTGTCTGCGGTTCCTAGGCAATTGTAGCAATTTACATGCCCTAGTGTGTACGTGGTGAACGTACTGTAGTGAGGTCATTATTTAAGTTAGGAGCTGCCGACAGATTCAAAAGCCGAAGATGTGGCTCCTCACAGAGAGTAGAACATAAATCAATGTAGCGAGCCAAATTTTTGCGAAAATGGTAGTAAATGCAAAAAAGTGTTTGTCTGTGGTAGTTACATAATACTTAATGGAGACTTATGCCAAAAACCCTTTTCAGTCATCAGACTAGGCCCAAGATCAAAACTGATATTAATTTTTTTCTAAATAGTTCAAATTTATGGAAACCTTCGATTAACCCTGCTTTATCAGTCACCGATGAAGTAAAACGGAAAAAAGTTAACTCTTTTCCAGTGTTGTTTTGGTGGTGGTGGAGGGGGTAAAAATGTAGACAAAAAGGGGGAGGGGGTAAAAATGAATATAAAGCGGTCGACATCCAATACAAACAGAGCTGTTCTTCGACAGCAAGCGCCAAACTCAAGCTTTATGTCAAACTTTTAAAGGAAGCATGTTGTCGATTCTCGTCAAAAACATTCGGTCACATTTTAATGTCAAAGCTATGATATGCACGCCTTAATGTTACACTTTGTCAAAGCCAAGCCAGCGCTGTTTATTCTGCCTATTTGAAAAAATCTTTAACATGCAAAAGCAAAGGCTAATAATAATGCAGACAAAGTAATTCGCAGGAAAGGAATTTGAATAAATTGAAAGCGCTAGTTAAGATCCCCATATGTTTAAGCGCTCAATTCCAAACTCCAGTTTTAATCATGATTCTCAAAAGACGAAAAATCACTAGAAATACTGACAGACTTTCTATCTTTCAGCTTTGTATGAATCCAATCAATTTGTTTTACCCATTTCGTATGCTTCACAACTTCACATTATTCCTCGCAATCTCCCATATTTTCAAATAGGCTATTTGCATAACTCCAGTTTAGGACACTGAGAAATATTCTGATTAACAAACATCAACAACATTACAGCAACCAAAGCAAATAAATTCGGCAAGGACTTTTGCCCGCAATAAGAACGACAACAGATATTAATAGGGATTCTAAGAAACATATTCAAACGTTTATAACTATTTATACACTGTCGTCAACTTGTTTGATACGTAACTTTCATACGATGATTTATGATATCATTCATTATAAGCCTTTTACCTCATAATCACGGTAAATCAGCCGGTCTAAAATGTTGGCTGCGAAGGCTGGTCGCCTTAGGAACTGACATTCCTAGACAAGGATCAGGTATAAACGACCCTCGTCAGTCGTCATTAGTGCGATTTTGCGTCCCAACTTCATCAATCAGTAGGATTTTGCATCTCAACTCATTCATTCAACATAACGTCTGGATCCCACCTTCAATAGGATTTCGGCATCTCATAGCAAGTGCCACTCTCCTTTCGCCTTCTCGCGATTAACGATTACTCCTTCAGAAAAAGACCAGCCTCACCACCACTTGCTATGCCGCTTCACAGTCGCGTATATTCGCGACCTTCGCGATTTTGTAGGGTCTTTCTCTTTACATATTTTCATGAATATATTCTCAATGGCTTTGTCGAGTTTATAAAAAGATACTTCCATTTGGTGATCTCTTGGAATTACATCATCAAAGGTGTTTGATCTCTTTTTGATGTTATGTCGCTCGCCAATTTCAATGTCAACGAGGCTGATAGAATCATCCTTTAGGCTTCTTTCCGCGGCTGATACATCATCTGTCGATGCCTGATGTGTAATGAGAACGACAAGCTTCTTTGAATCGCCAAACATTGGATCTTGGAAGTAGCGCTGCGCCAGCTGTAAAGCTTTGGCCGTTCGAGGGCCTTGTTTGCCCCAGTCCTCTACATTCTCATCTGCTGTGGGCGCATGCGTACTACAGGAGGACCTTCCCTGTACGTACGAGGGCGCACGATGGTCACAAAGACATTCGCCATTGGTGACAAAATATTCTGTTTTCTCGTCACATGGCTCTAAATGATGCAAAAATCGCGGCTCAGTATCAAACACAATGTATCCCATGGTGCCACTGTGTGTTACTCTATCATTGACAGAACGCAGAAACCGTTTCATGTGGTTCCATTTTCTTTGTCTCGTAGGTCCAGTTCCAATAGCATCTGACACATCGATCAAGAATAACACCTTGACTGGGCGAGTGCATCCTGCGAGCATAGAAAGGAGACTATCCTTATGATTGGATTTATCCAAGGGCTTCGATATAAGGCAATCGACAGATATATAGAAGTAGCTTAAGCCATCTTTCAATCAATATTAAACCAATAATAAGCGTGTGAATGGAACCAAACTTACTGATTGGTCAATATCTATTGCAAGCAGAATAAGACCCCTGAAGTATCTGTCTATTGCCTTTGAGCCAAGGCTCTTGAATAAGCAGAAACTTTGAATCAGGACCAGGCTTTTGAGTAAGCCGACTCCCTCATTACCTTCCCTTGAGGCTTATTCGAATTGCACAAGGAAGAAGAACATGATTAAAACAATAGTGGGATTCTAGTTTTTTTACAAAGGCCAAAACGATTAGGAAAATATCATTGACAACTGCTGGGATATCTGCGTGTTGAAAAACATCGTGGTAAATAAAACAAACTGAAATGATTCACAAAACAACCAGATTTCATTGTCTGAAAAAGGAAGTTATTGTTCAATTTAAATAATATTGTAGAAACAAAGACACCTCAAAGACAAACTTCAAATGAAAATGATGACTCACCAACAGCCTGTCCTAGCTGTGAAATTACAGCTTCATCTTTCTCCTCTACAGCATTGCTTTCTTCAGTTGCATGGTTACTTTCCAGCTTTGCTTTCAATGCTGTTGCATGATTTCCTACAATGCTTGAATTCCTTTGCAGTGTTTCGCTTTTAGTCCCCTTGTCTTCGTTGTGTTGTCTTTCAGAGCTCTGTTCTTTTTGCACTGAATCAGGCTTGAATACCCATACATCTTTGTCGTCATTACTAGCATGGATTTTCTGTGTTGCGCTGTGCTGCCTCAACTGCTTTTCCTCAATAACAGATGCCTTTGAAGGCCTCGCGGTTGTCACAGCCAAAATTTTATTACCCCTTTCGGGCTTTTGTACCTTGACTGGGTTTACCGTATTTCCCAAATTTAGACTTGCATTTACAGCTGGCCTATTTTCCTCACTTTTCGTTGCTGTTTTCTTATCAATCGTTTCCTTGCTATCTGTTTTCTCATTTGCGTTGCTGGTTTCAACTATTTTTCTGATGCCATTTTTCATTAGGCCCTCTTCTGGAAGTGCATCGTGTTTATGGGCTACACTTTTCACAGTACCATTCAAACCTTGCCTCATTTGATCATCCTTGCTCCCTTGTGCTTTTGAATACGCATTTACATCTTTATTCCAATCAGAAAAGTCCTCATCTTTTCCAGCCACAACCTTCATGCTTTTGGCTGTTCCTCCTTCATAACGGCTCAGCCCATTCGATCCAGCCGGCATCAATGAGTTTTCATCACCTGAATTGACAAATAATTTAACCATTCTTGAGTCCGTTATCGGATCATTATTTTCTGTTACAATAAGTCGGTCCGGATCGCGGTATCTAGCGTCTTTAACAAAGTAACTTATCGGTTTGTCAACGTGTGCAAGCCGATTGTCGTAAAGGTCAAACCTCGTTCTGTTTATGTTGTCTAGTCTCTCTGTCGTGGCGTTGTAGTGAGCATTCCTATTAATGTGCTTCTTAGCAGCTTTGCTCTTTCTCGCTTTCTTTCGCCTTGGCTTAAAGCGATGAACAGATCTGGTAGAGCCTTGCTCTGTTTCCAGTGAACTTTGGAAGTAATCCATATTGTCAACAAACCTTGTATCATTTGTCAGCTTAACGTTGCCAGTAGAAAAAGAAATCTCGGCATTGTTTCGAGAAGAAGAGCCCTTGCTTCTCCGTTTTGCATTTCCAGGTTTCGGCGCCATTGCCAAATCTAGTGCTAAGTTGTCACTGCTTTTTCCCGACGACTTACCATTCCCTACACGGCTTATTCGTGACACACTTTTGCCGTAAAATGATTCTAGCTTCCCTGTTGTACTTTGTAGATTGACAAGTATTTTGTGATTTGAAACCCTGTAGATCGAATAATTTCCGCTATCAATTTTGGATAAAAAAGTGAACTGAAAATTTGACAAATTGAAGCTGTTCTCCCCTGAATCTTTATTCGCATTAGCTGCAACACGATTCCTCAAGGCCCATCTTGTCTCATCTCGTTTCACAGCGTTTTCTTCCACTGCAGTTTTGGGCCTTCTCTGGCGCACAGCACTAAGTGGAGCAATAGCTTCTTGTAATGTTGCACTTTTTGGACCTATGATATTTTGTGGTTGGGCACTTAATTTGTTGACAGATTTCAATTTGTTACGATCATCAACAGAACGCTGGGTCTTCATTTTGACTAACGGAGTGTTCTCCAATGGGTTTGCTTTCCATCCTGATTCTCTGCTGGCCTCAGAGAATTTTTTTTGATACAATTCATTTTGACTATTCTTTGTCTCGAAATGATGACTTTGTTTATCACTACCTCGTGACTTTGTTTTGTTTCGTGAAGAGACTTTGTTGCGTTTACCTTCAACTGACTTCTGCGTCCGTCCAGTCTTAAAAAGAATCGTGTTGTTAGCAATCGTGTGCCTAAGAAACATTTGTTGTTTGTCTGACGGCTGCATCGCAGCTACCTTTCCGGATGTGGTGCCACGCCAAGGACCAGTTAACCCCTTTCTATTCGGCGTACTCTTAGACGTCTTGTAGCTGTCCCGTGTCATTTGTTGCCTACCATTTGAAGAATATATAGGGTCAAAAATGTCATATTTCACAGTGAGGTTGGTCTTGCTTTCAGTATTGTACAGCTTATCAAGCAAAAGCATTGCCTTTTTTGTTGGTATGGCCCTGAAAGGCTTTTTAGCGTGTTTTGTCAAGACGTGACGTGCAATCGGTTTGTTGTACTTGATTTTCTGTCTGTAATGTTTGTGGTGTTTACCTGTTAAAAGGAAGTGAGGATGTTTAGAAAGTCCTTAATACTTATGTGCCAGTCAGTATCAACGTTACATTGATATACAATACGGTAATTATAGCATCCATCATAGTCACATTGCTTAAAGACGACGTCTTTATTAAGGCAACCACTTATATAAAGCAATCACCATGAAAAAGCGACCATCTTTGTCCTTTACAAAGCGACCACCTTGTAAGGGCGAAAAGCCTTTCTTGCTGGGCATTTTGACCAAAATAAATACTGGTCTCAAAGGTTAGTAATATTGCATAATTGATAAAATCGTCATTATTTGAATTTATTTGTCAGCTTCTTGTGTAAATGGTAAATGACCAGCACGACCAACTATTAACCAAGAAAATCCCTGCTCAGTTTAGGTTCCTTAAGAGAGGAATTTTCAGTGCTAACAAGCGTGTGTTTATCAAGAAAATTTTCAAAGAAATATCCATTAAAAATCTAAACAGTCATTTCATGCCCTTGCAAAACTGCAAGTAGAGAAACAATTACAAGTTCATGTTGAAATTTATTAGTCACCTATTATTTTATTACTAATGAGACGAGCTTGACAATTCATCTACGTATTAGCGAATTAGTGTCTTTAGGATGCTGTTTGACAAGTGAGTTTGACTTACTGAGAAGCCAATCCTTCAAAGATTTCGAGTTACCTTTCTCTCCCACCAAACTACCTTCCTTTGATTTATCATTAAAATTGTCAATGTTAGTCTGGTCAGTTTTTTCAAATTCTTGCTCACCTCTTGTGCTCTCCGACTTTTCTCCATCTTTATGGCCCTCATCATCCATATTTTCAAAACTCTCAAAATCTTTATCGTCATCGCTAGTTACGTCATCAAATCCCTTGATACGATGCAGTACCTTGCGCTTCTTTCTGCGTTTGCGGGTTTCATCTAATTTCTTTAGGAGAATGTCTATTTCCTTTCTTTTTTCGTCCAAAGCACGCTGTGTGGCCAGCTCATCCTCCTCAAGAGAGTAATCATCCTCCCATGGTTCTGTTTTCAGCGGCTTTTCATCTCCCTCTGGACTATTGCCGTCTCCTTTTTTTGTTGACGTGGCCTCTTTCTGGTCTTCCTCCATATAGCTGCTAGAATTAAATCCTTCATCGTCCTCCCCTATAGATTGGCGTTGTTTTTCTATATCATCGAATACTTTCTTATCGTCATCTTCATCTGATTTTGCATTGTCGCTGCCGTGAAACTCTAGATGTTCATCTTTATTAGCAACAGTAGTGTCATTGCTGGACGTGTTTTCTTTCAAATCGGCTTGCTCTTGTAAACCAACCTCGGGCCTACTTTCGTTATTCGACTTTTGAACGGTCGCATTCGATTTTGATGTCATTTCCGGAATGGTATGGTTCAAAGCACTATCACGTTGCTGCAGTGTTGTCACCATTTGCCCTTCATTCATTTGTATCTCTGGCTGTTCCGCTTTCCCTAATGCATTGTGGTCGTCGAACGCAGATTTAATTCCGTTCTTAGCATGACCCGTGAACCCAGTCAGCGGTAACTTTTTTCCTTTAATGCTAAAGTTTTCGGTATTTTCTTTGGAGCTAACAGGATTAGGCCGCAGGTTATTATTTTCCGCCAAGATTGTTTTGTTAACGTGCTTGTCTTCTTTAAACTGTCCAGCTGAAACATTTCCATAGTTCCTTTGTCCCTCCTCCATAAGATATCCATTCCCCGAACCAGCATATTTCACATTCAATTTCTCATTTGATCCGAGCGTTTTCCCTTTCCATTCACTGCTTCCCTGTGCATTTTCCCTCAGCACAGGATCCCCTGTCCAGGCGAAACTTTGAAGAGGCGCATTTGACGCCTGGTCCAAAGAGGCCTTGCCGCTGTCATTTTTCTTCAACATCTCTACTGCGCTCTCTTTAAGCTTCTCGACAATGTCGCCGTCAGACAACGACGAATTATTGACTGCCATAACTCGCGACGGCTTTGATTGGACATTTTGTGTCTCATTGTTCGTCACCTTGTTATCATCAGTTACAGTTTTTGTCGTTTTAACATCTTCGCGTGCAGTTTGGTAAGACCCTTCATACATAAAATTTCCCGACCAAGTTTGAGACTTATTAAACATCCCACCTTCAGTTGTTGTGTTCTTCTGAGTGTCCTCCTCTTCTTTGTCCCGCCAATTCCCCGTATTCCATTGACTGACTAGGTCCTTTGCGTCGTCCTCCTGCGGTGTTGATGAAGCAGAAGATGTTTCATTTCTTTCATTGTTCAATTTTGTCTGATTTAGCTCACCGCTCCCGGGCACACTCTTTAGCGATTTTTTCTTAGCTGGCCGCTCTACAACTGACCCAACAGTTTCAAACTCGCGACTAGATATAAAGTCAATTTCTTTGTCTTTTCTCACAGTCTCTACCCTACTTCGTTTGGCTCCTGCAATATAAACGAAAAATATAAATTATGATGCTTATATATTTCAATCCTAAATTTTCTTTAGCTATGAAAATATGATAATATGCTTTTGAAAAATAAAAGAAACATCAATGTTAAGTAAGGCAGCTGCAATTTCATATAAATCATTCTTTTTATTGCAATCACATCCACAATTTGAAGGTAAGAGCTTTCTGTTTAAGCTTTGAAGGTAACAGCTTTCTGTAACAAGCAGTTATGTTCTAATACCTTTGAAATCAACCAATCAACGTCATACCATTTCAGCATTCCTATTTCATAAAGGTAGTCATTGGTTGATGCTAAAAACAGGTAAATAAAGAGCAACCCGTTGCTTTGCAATGAAATCCCTAAACACGCAAAATGGAACGAAACATACCAGTGCAAATATCTTTAGTGAGAAAGGGCAATGTTTTATCCATTTGATCTGAATCCAGGGAGTAAATATTTTCCGGGTGTCTCCCAGATGCAATTGATTCCAAAAAGCGGTAAGTGGGCTTTTTGTCAATGCCGAACGCAAGCAAACGAACCCCCCTGTTCGTCAAAAACAGTGATGAACCCCAAGGTCCATAGTCCATATTACTGGTTGTCATGGCAACAATTACTTTATTCCTGTCCCCTTTAGAATGTTTCAATTGCTCCTGCCAAGCGGCTTTTAAGGCATCATTGACTGTCCTTTGTCCGCCTGGAAAATCCGATCCTATTATTTGGTCCCTCATTGCGATTTCTTCAGGATTTTTCGCCAAGTCTACTATTACCTTCGGCTTGGATCCATAAGAGATCACACCGAACCGGGCAGTAGCCGGGTCGAACATCTCGGTCGCCCTGGCAACGAATCGCAGCATCTCGGTCCAACGGAGCTTGTTCTCACTGGTGGATTTACCAGAACCATCGACAAGGAAAACCAGATCTAGAGGCTTGCTGCATTCTGCAAGAGGAAACCAAGGAAGTTGTTAAAAATCTATAACGTTACAAATCTATCAAACGAAGTTGTTACAGTTCCAGAAGTGAAAGTTTTGCAACAACTATTAAACACATGGAGTCAATTTTTAGTAGGTTAAGCGATTTAAATTTTAATTATTCCCTAATTCTAGCAGCCCTTCATTTGAGATGACATTGTGAGGGTACTACCCTGCAATATTGACGAGGGTTGAGTGTGCCTGTCTTCTTCGGAGGGGTAACAAATGGAGAAATCGAGCAAATACTCACTGATTGGCTTTGAATTTTCCTTCGATTGCAAAACACGTCGATAAGAAGACGCCGACCTAGAACGAGCAATGACAACAGGACTAAACAAAAATAGAAAATTTCCATCTAATTTTAAAAGGTTCGAATCGTCATCTGATAGATTTGAATCTTAACAGTTCAGAGCAATGAAACAAACTGCGCAAGATCCAAAATCGTTACCTACTTCGAATTTGAAATTGATTAAAATAGCCATATAATGCAATTGTATTTTAAAGTTTTATAAAGATATGAGGGCCTTATCCGAAATTTAAAGGAGAACTGACACACAAAAATAACTTTAGCTTATTCTATGCAAAATTTGTCGCTGACTTCAAATCTGGAAAAAGTTTTCTTCTTAGATTCACCGTTTTTCTGATATTTGCACTTTTATCCGTCAATTACGTCACAGCCAGGACTCGGGAATTTCCTGAAGCGGAAACAAGGTTATTCCCGAAACCCTTCACACCCGGTGAAAATGACATATAATCCGCAAAAGTGCGACTTTCAACCCGCCTTTACTATTTAATATCACGATACAGTTAACGAGTTTGAAACATGGAAAAACAATCATAGAATGCTATATTGATAATGAATAACTTGCAGTTCCGTTTAGGGCATCATAGGCATTTCAGTGAATTAGGCCATACAGACAAAGCAGTCTGGACAAAGACCCCTCAATCTGAAATGAAATTCTAGTTTTACGATACCTGATCCCATTTAGATTGTAGCAATAGCAATGTTTTAATAGAAACTCCATATCAGTTTGTACTTCCAGCCTGTTCTTTGTTCATAATATCGTCACTGTTGAGCCATCGAACGACTGTCTGCCCAAGCGGCAGCGCTGGTTGGTAGCAGAAACTCAGACGGCTGAAATTTTCCATTTGTTTCGAAATCAGTGTAATAAAACTCGGATTCAGAGTCCCAAACCATTGAAAAAGTCAATTATGTGTCAAAAATGGAAAATTAGCTCCTTTCAGATGCACAAAATAAACATTTGTCCGCAGCATTTTCTTAAAGGTTTCTATAGAGAAACACAATACGTGCTGAGAACATGTCACTTGTGACGTCAAAGATGATCGCCCACTCGTGACGATTTTCGCCTCGAGTCTCAAGTTGTCGGAACAATTGTCGTTTCTCAACTTAAAACGCCTGTATTTCAAAAACGGTAACTATGATTTAAAGAATTTTTTCGATCCCGGAAATTGCTTGTCACAAACTACCGTTTTAGCCAACTTATTTTTGCATGTCAGTTCTCCTTTAACCCTAATTTTGAACAGGCCATTATATGTTTCAGCCAAATAAATATCAACTAACTTATGTTTCAAGAAGTGATGATAAAATCATCCTTACCCGTAGACGCTGTTTGACCAAACACCACCAGTGCCCCCTGAAATACAACCGAACATGTTGTCAATTTTGAAAATACTCTTCTTCAAATCTCAAAATTCTTTGAAAACATTTGTTTACAGAAATGAATAATATACTTTAGGTGTTGGATTATCATAAAAGAAAAGGGATGCAACAATAATATAAAGAAATGGAAATTTTCGTTTATCTCTAATAAACCAACCTTTGCACAAATTCGAGGGCCCGTATTGATCATAAAAGAGTTGGGCGTAAGGCCCACCAAAACATTGCCCGCCATCTTGAACAGCAAAGACTTTTAAGTTTTCACTTTTTGCAGCATTTGCGCACGCCTGCAGTGCATTCGGCCTCGTCTTCCAGTTCCCAGTGAGAGATTTACTCCGCCCTTCTAAACCGGCGATTGCACGAGCAGGAAGATCACGCCAGCAGCCAAGAGAAGACCAACCGTCAAGATCTGTGAGTAAAAGGGATTCATCAAAGATAAATCTGAAGTGTCTTTACAACTGAGCAGCTCTGCAAACTTGAAAGCTACACAGCCATCGTTCTTAACAAAGTTTCAACAGTTATCTTTTGAATATAATCTAGCCTAGTCTCTCTCAACCTCGAATACGATTATATGGATCTATCTTTAAATCAATTCAAATATCTTTATCCTGGAACCCATGCGCGTCGTGCTCAATATTGCCTTCAAAGATCTTCATGTTTTGGTTCTTGCATGCTTTTTCACAGACACACGCAAAGTGGGCAAGGAAATTGGAGGTAGCAGACTTTATTTATTCAAAGACGGGGAAAACGCGCAATACAAGCCAGCTAATGTGATCAACAGTTGTAGGCGTCCACCTAAGTATGATTGACACGCCCTCAGTAAGCCAATGGAATCAATGCCCTTTGTCCAATCAAACCATCTCTTAACAAGTCTAAATGAATTAAGCATACTTACCACCGCAGTTTACATTGGTTAACAAGGAGTAGAGAATTAGACATCGAAAGTGAGATAGCATCGTCTTGATAATATCTGCGTTAATATAAACATATGAATAGAAAACAAACTGTGCTGGAACAATACTTCACCAGACGAGATGCAATAAAGATTAAGAGCATTGAACACTATCTCCAGCAACTATCAAGTTAAGAGTCAGTTAATGTTACAAATATATTCTTAATTATTCATAGGGGCAATCTACTTAATCGACTTCAATCTTTCTTTTCTTTGACAATTATAGCAAGTTAACATCATATTTGGATGTTTGGTACTTGCTAATATCAATCCTGAACAATTTATATCTTACTCAGAAACTACTTTGAAATACCTCCTTCACATTTCAAACCAACCATAACCTGGGTCAGGTTCTCGTCAACTCGATTAATAATTTAATCAGAATGTCTGATAACAGTACAAAAAATCTAGGCCTACATATAGCAAACAGCCTTAACTAGTGCTATATCGTCATCGAGCAAGCTTCTAGTAGAGTTTCTACACATCCATTCTCAAAACTCCATTGTTTTCTTTTTGAAAGAAAAGAAAGATCATAGATAAAACCGATTTTTCTATAAAATTACTGCTTTAATTCCTATCAGAAATGGGTTAATCATTTTCAAAGTAGAAAATGATATACATATAATCGTAAGCTTCAACAAGAACATGACGGTGAGAAACTTTTGAGCAATTGAATTTCAAGGGATCCATCAACATTCAAATTTCAGTTAGTGCTCTCTTTAAATATTAATTTATCTGAAATACTAAACGATGAAATATTTTGAAAAAACTTACCAAATATCTCTTCCAGGTTTTGAAAACAACATCAGACACATCTAAAATTGAAGATATATTCTTTATTTTTCAGACTTTCTTCGATTGAGTAATATTAAAGCTCCGTATAACAGTTCAACAGAGAAATTAATACCGGTGAAAGAGATCGGGTATTTGTAAACAAGATATGGTATCTACTATGGATGACCTTCTCATGCATAAAACATAGCAAACATTGTAGAAATGACAACTGATAGATCAAGAGGTTACAAAACTCGTAATACTTTATTTACGTAGCACCAAAAAAAGGCTGGTCGTTTGTTTTGACTTTAATGTGCCTGGTTAAAGCTGAAGCAGTAAGTACGCTTAAACCCTTTTTTACACGAAAACTTCGAAGGCCGACCTTCACTTCAGCCTTCTTGTTCATTTGCGCGCGCAGCGAGTCTCCTGATTTCATTGGCTCCTAATCTCCTGATTTCATTGGTCGCCTTGGCACAGCATCACGTCCTACTACAAAGACAAGTGGAATTTATCGTCTACGACTAAACTCGAAATACACTTGTCGGCCCTAACTTCACATTCTGTTGTAAGAAACATTAAAAACGCAGCTCTGTATTCGGCTGCAGAGAAATCAGGAGAAACTTTCAATAGAAACAAGGACATATGATTTTTGCATTTTTCGCAAAAAACAAAAAAGTATGTTTTCTTTTCACTTTTAAATAACATATACATTTCCCCCATCAATGACGAATGATAACTGCATTAGCCTCATTGTGACTACCCTCCTAGATTAAATAAACCTATATGAAATCTTTGGATGAGTGTGCTGGCCTTAATGAATGTGTAAATATTGCATGAAGGTAAAACCGAATCTCTTTATCGATGTCAAGTTTACAACGCAGCGAGAGCTATTACGACACGACTGCCTTATCTCAGACGATTCCACAAGTTAGTCACCTGGCGATTAATATTAATTGGAAAATCCAGAGTGCCTAGGGACAACTTGCGACTAAAGAAATGTTTGCGAAAAGCTTAAGGCACACATAATGCAAGTGCTGTTATCTCACAATATATAATGGTTTGGTTGATGTTGGTTGTAGCAACGAATTTCACCAGGCAATAATAAATTCATTTTTCATTTTAAGACAGGAGATATCTAATGGTTCTTTGGTGAAATGCAAGAAACACTACAAATATAAGCTTTAAAATAAAGTAAAACGCAACTACGGCGTAACATACGGTCGGAAAACAAATTTATTTCTGTTGGCAAAAGCTTTTCCAAATAACTCAGCTCTACAAGTTGGATGCAGATTTGTGAAAGCCAAACAATTACATATCAAAGCGACGGGGACACTTGAGTGCAAAAAGTTTAATTATACCGATTTACCCATTTTAAAACTTGATGAAACTAAACAAACAAACTTCTTCTTTTGGAGTTTTGTAGAAAACATTAATGCGATTGAAATTATATTCATACAAATTGTTACAATGCTGCCAGCCAAAACAATACATTGCTAACTGCATCGCATAATAGTAACTTTCTTGAGCGATTAAGTTTTGCGAGAACTCTCCAAAGATTAGTATCAACAATCTTATTTGGTCCGATTAGCGATATGATGGTTGAGGGAAGTCAAATGGGCAACCAATAAAAAAAAGAGAGGAAGAGGCACTTAAAGCTCCTTCCATGATGATAAATATATATATAAATATAAGTTCAGAAATAACTTTATTAAAAAAGTTTCCAAAAGAGCCTTTTAGACGGTGCAAAAACACCTGTTTTCATCTACATCTTAGAAAATTATCCAAAGCATAAAAGCAACGTGTTACCTCAAGTAGCATTTTCCAAAGATCGGAGAAACATCATTAACGAACAGAATGTTACAACATATTCATTCTACTGCCAATAATACGAAGAAATACTGCAGAAATTACAAACCTCTTCAAAGAAAGCACTTTGTTCGAAAGCATTGTCCCGAAACGTCGACAGTCTGACAATGTGTGCGGGCAGCAAACGTGTGCAGTGAATTCGAATGGTTCTGGGTACGGCTACCGCGGCGCTGGGGGCGAATCCAACAAGAAAATCGAAAGCGCTGCAAAAATTTTACGTTCCCGACGATAATCAAAGCTTTGTTGCAAGTAATCAATATTTGCTGGTTTTTTATATAAAAGCAACAACTTTGTACTAGAATCTGGAGACTTGGATGGCGATAATGAGGGTTGCACGGTTCAATTGGGATTCATAACCGTGTGAGTCGGCACCTGCCAAGTGTGGTCTCCACCGCAATTCCAGCATGTCGATGGCGCTGTGATTTGCGAGTATTCCGTGAATTTTCCCGTAAATACATTACATCACAGCATCGTTGTCTTTCGAGTTAATCGAATTTCGCGATTAACATCCAGGCATGAATAACCGGGCAAAGGAGAGACCAAAGGTAAGTAAAAGCCATATTGCCTTGCGTATACGAGCTTTTGAAAAAGTGATACAGTGTTACGGCGCGATCTTTGTTAGAATTCAGTCAACAGGTTAGGGGTTTTCAGGATAGAATATAACACAACGATCATTCATCGCTTTGGCCGCAAAAATTTGAATTACTTTTCCCCGAGCACTTTAGCGAGCGTCTAGATTTAAAGATGCTGAATGTAAGAAAAAGGCTTACTGAAAATCTAAAACGTCTTATTCATTTAATATAATAATTTTTGAGTGTGTATAATTTCTTATCTTGTCAGTTTCATTGTTGGGTGATTTTGTGAAAAAACTGCTTTATGAGTGTATAGCAATGTGATCTTATCCATTCTGAAGTTGCAGTTCTTGGACGTTATTAACGCAATTCCATTTTGGACATTCATAAAACTTTTTTATCACCCTCTTTTTCATAAAAAACACTTTCTCTGACAACCAAAGCTTAGCATGCCAAAAATAAAAACAACCTTATTATCTGTAGAGTCTCGAGTTTTTGTGAAAATCTTCTCCAATGCTAACAAAAAAGAGCGGATTATCGGCTAATCAACCGTGCTACTAAGATGTTAGTTACAACTGTTATTAGAAGCAATTTTGCAGTTGTAGAAAATTCAATGTTGAAGTAAGAACGACATTAATGGAACTGAGCAAAAAATCATAAAAAATAGAACATCGAGCCTCAATGCAAAAATTACCTGGTTTTTACATTGTGTATTGAGTTATGAGTGAAAACATCCCTGTTATTGAGACATAAAGTATGACATTTTGATAAGATGCTATTGTGGTGTTTGTCAAAATTAGTATGAAAGTCTTTTATTTATTACAGAGAAGCGTTGTGTCATCTAAACAAATCTCGATCGATCCAATATGACATTTTCGAAAACAGAAGTTGTTTTCAGTAATAGGCCTAAATGCGTTTATTTTTAGGTCTTGAAAATGTTTCTTCAAAGCGCCATCTGCAACTTGATCATTTGCCTGGTTTCATTGACAAACGCAGCAGGTAAGTGCCCGGTGATTTGCAATTTCCTTCAAGATAAGAATTAAACAATTGCGCACAGCGCAACATATACTCGGAGAGTACCTTAACAAGTTTGAAGGTACGGGGCAGTGCCATTATTTAGGGGTACCTTTTTTTCTGAAAAATGCGGAATTATCGGTATCAGTTTTTGAAATATGTGCGGAACTATGGGTTTGGGAAAATATTGCAAAATTATTAGAAGGGAGATTAGGCATTGATAAAATAAAAGGCCAGTTAGAAATGAAAGTATGAAACATGTGTAATATTAAAATTTTTGGATCAAAGGATATGCTAAAATGTTTGATGATTTTGTTGTGATTAAAAAATGTCTTTTGCTTTGCGGAATTATGGGTATAGTTTTCATCATGTTTGCGGAATCATAGGTCACATTTTTCAGACATGTGCGGGGTTATGAGTCCAGTCTTTTTATCCAAAATGGCACATCCCCGTCTAAAATTAGGCTTAGTAACCATCCCCCCCCCGAGAAAATATATGACAATTGATGCACTTATGATCCTTTTTCCTTAATCTCTTCTCTAAAGGCTCTGCGCAGCCGTCATGCTAAACGGCTGTTATCTTGAGAAATTGATCGTCTTTTGCTTTTTCATGCAGTACGATATTAGGCCGGTTTTAAAAATATAGTCGCCAAGCATGCTAGTTGCACAAGAGCCTTGAATGTGATGCTGTAATTGCAACTTTACTTCCTCCTTCAAAGTCACTTATTAAAGCACTGAATCTTACACTGAAACTAGTTCCTGATCTAAATTTAACTGCTTTCTGATTACGATGCCACTATTGCTTAATCAAACGAATATTTCATTTCAAAAGGGTATGATTTTGGCAGAAACTCTCCGCTTCAAATGGATGTCACTGCTGGTAAGAACATCTGAAATGTTTTTGATGTTCGTAAAAATAAGAATTGCACATAAATATGTTCACTAAATAACTCTAATGTTTAGTACTTTTGTTTGTTTCTGGTGTTTTCTCGTTAATTTTCCGTTCAATTCAAATAAGTTCTAGAAAATCATAGAGGAACATAGGTTTAATTCTTATCGAAGAAATTTCTTTGTTTGCAAACAAAAAGAAGCAGAAAAAGTAAGCTTTATCACATTTTCATTGCAACACTGACCGGATAATTCTATTATCACTCAAATAAAGCTTGAGACATTTTCTAAAAAGTTCCAGATATATTGCATCTCTCCGTAGCAAAAAGCTTACAGACAATCACGTCGAATGCTTATTTCTTAGGCAAGGCCATAACAATCTGCACAGGGATGAAACGAGCAATTGCATGTCGGGATGGCTCTAATATTGCTATAACACACGCATTCTGGGGAAGAGTTTCCGACAAGGTGTGTCCATCAGACGACGGTGATCCTGTCACCGACTGCGAAGGAGCAGAAGAAACTATTGATCTGGTACGTAGCTACTGCGAAGGCAAACCAGGATGCACACTGCAAGCTAGGCACCAGTAAGTTGCTTTTGTTCTGTTCTTAAAGCCGTTAGTACGGGGGCGCTGAGCTGGTTGGAACCAATAAGAATGATTCGAAAATAGTTTGACATTGAAGACTTACATTTTAGGCTGGTTTTCTTGTAACCTTTTTGGTTTCTCACAACCAAAATGTGCAATTGCTTCTTATCGCGTTACAGGTATCTACAGAAAAATGGAACTCACCATTGTCCTGGGGTAAACAAGTATCTTGTCGTTAATTACACATGCATTCCAGACTCCAAAGGCGTCGTCTTGTGTGATTCCGAGGAGTCCCTCCTAGAGTGCAAAGCAGGCTGGAGAATAGACATCACTGATGCATTCTGGGGCAGGAGAGCAAACTCAAAATACTGTCCAACAGGGATGCAAGAGATGGAGTGCGATAACGGGCCCTCAGCAAAAGCAAACCTGAAAAAGAAGTGCGACGGTCAAAGCTCGTGTATAGTTAAAGCAACCTCCGACGAGTTAGAAGATAAAAAAACTGTATGCCCAGGAAATTTACTGTACTTACTACTGAACTATGCATGCAGATCCTCTTCGACAAAGGGTATGTCCAAATCTATGGGTTCAACAACAAAACTATTGTTCAACTTCTGTTTCTTTGCTGTCTCTGCAAATCTACTTCTTTCAAAGGAAATTGCAAGAACAAGTTTAGTTCTTATTAAGGAAACGCTTTTTTTAAAGAAAATGTTATATGAATTTTTAGCTTGGTTTCTTGAGTTCGGACAAAATGTTTCAAGTAAAATTAATTTCCAATATTTCTTAACGCCGCTTAGAAAAATTGGCAGTCATTTATTCAGAATAACTAAAGTTGTAAGCAGGTAAAACTATGAAAATCAAGCGAAATGTACCAACCAACAAAATAGATTTTGAGACTTTTTTATTTCAAAAATGATTAAAGAACACATTAGAAAAAAAATCAACTGTAACAGAAAAAACTCCTTTAATTTTTGCTTAAGTCTGGTTCGTTTTAATGAGATACTTGAGTTTAATACACAATGTTTCTTGCAAACAAATTGGGTTATTGTGGTCTTTAGGTCTATGCTCATGGCTTAAAGAGCTATTTCATATAGGTTTATGAACAAATATGTTGGAAAATCCATTACCTCTCCGTAAAATGCATTTTACAAACATCTCACCTTCTTTTACTTATATTGCAACTAGGGGCAAAGACAATTGACGTGGACGATGATGTAGACGCAACTGTTGAAAACAAACTCCTTGCTGGTGAGAATTCTTAATTGGTATTCCTTTCAAGTGGCGTGACGTGGCTCGAGTGGCTAACTTGGTTTCTTTCCAGCGAATGAGTTATCCCCCACCAATCGTCAATGCAGCCAAAAAACATGCGCAATAACTTGAAACTGCTATTCTCTTTAACTACAACTTTAAACCACTATTCCACATTTGCAAACGGGGGTGACTCAGTAATTGCAAGCCTAGCTCCTGTTCGTCTTCTAACATCAAATTTTCTTGAATATTATGCCTGTTACCCATTTGACAAGCTTGTGCATGAGTCGAACATCCGAATGGATGTACCCTTTTACAAACTATGCCCGTGCCATTTGGCTCTACGACTTGAACCAGCTAAATGTAATACAATAATAATAATTCATTTATTTACAGTAGGCGTTCTTTACAGTAGTAGCAGCTAATGGAAAAGTACGAATAAATGTAATAAGATCCCTCACAATATCCCACAATTTCGAGTGATCTTATTTCACCAACAGAGCATTTACTTTTCAATTAAATTTCACCAATAAGTATTTATAGCTTAAAACCAATTTCACTGAAGGGTGAGGTTTTTGCTTTACTTTTGCGTGTTCCTCCTTTCCTGCGGGACAAATAGGGATAAAGCCACACCTTACAGCTAATGTTAGGGAGTTTTCTTCATTTAACTCCTGATCACGAGATTTCATCCAAACAGCTTCTTAAATTGTCAGTTGAAATTGGTTTGTTTACGTTATGCCAAGCAACGGAAAATTCATTCTACGCAAAAATTTAAACGCAAGCACAAGCATTTTTGGCAAAATGTTTAAGATTAAATACCTCCACTTGCCTTTCCTTCAAATTTCCCCTCACTGAGCAACTTCTTGTGGCAGTGACAAACACTGATCGTTGTAATAAGCAAGTTTTCCCAATTCGTTTAGATACTTCATCCAAGGAACTGATGGGTCTTCTCGAAAAGCATTTGAACGAACTTCAGACAAAGCCAGCACAAAACAGCAACAACAAAAAGGGAGCATTGGACAGTGACGATGAGAAGGAGAAGGAGAAGGAAACAAAATCAACCAATAAAAAGGCGTCTGGAAGCAGCAGCAGCAAATCAAAAAGCTCTGCGAAGAAAGCGGTGAAAACAGACGAGAAGGCAACTGCCGAGTTGGTGCCACAACCGGCCAGCACGACGGCGGGATTTATTAGGTCAATACCGAGCGGAACGGAGCAGAAAGAGACACCGGCAATGGATATGAAAGAAACCGATGCGTCGAAGAAAATGCAGGAGACTGTTCCAGCTGCAGCTACAGGCGAAAAGAAGCAGATTCTACCAAAAGCAAGCATCGAAACACCAGTCGACGAGCCAAGTTACGAGGTTTCGGAGCCAAACACGGTAAAGTCGATTCTTGCAAGGGCGAAAGAAGTACTAAAATCACTTGATGACGAGAAAGAAGAGTCAAACGAAGAATCTAAAAATGAAGCGGGGGAGGCGAAAAAAAGCGCAAAAAAGAGTGATATTGTACGAAAAGACGAGGGCACTATCAATGAGGATGACGCTGATGCACAGAAACAGGCGAAGTCGGTAAAACAAGTCGTGAAACTTGCAGCGAATCTCGTAAAAACAGCGAATAAGTACAAAGATTCGAAAATCAAGTCAAAGAACGCCAAAACTCAAGCGGGTTCTTCTGCTGGAGAGAAAGGCTTAAACGCATCGCAATTTAAAAATGAGAAGAAGCCAAAACCCGGACCAAAAAAGAGCGGACTAAGTGCAACTGGTCCCGGGAGAGCTGGTATGGGCAACACACCATAAAAGTTTGGCCCTTGCCAATTTTTCGAGGACGGAAATGAGCTGAGCTGTAATACCAGATGCACTCATCGATGCATCAAGAAATTTGGGATTCTCTGTTTAAAATAGATCACAACATGAGGAAGTGAAACATGATTTATGGAAGCCAGTAGAGGTTACATCCTTATCAAACAAACAACGTTATACGAGCGACAATGAAATGTCGTTCATCGAGATTTAAAAAGGAAAGAGTGGATTCTTGTTTTGAATGGCTTGTCGCGGAATCACAACAACATTTTTTAAATGGCGATGTTAATTTTTGTCATTTCACGCTTATTTGCATTAAACCTTCAAGGAAAGTAAGACTAGTATCTCATCATTATCAAATTGTATCTATTAATTTTCTTATTGCGTTGATAAATTTATAAATCCAGTTAACGCCTGATAGCAAGATAACATGACATTGACCAGTAGACCAAATGCCTGTTTTTGATTTCAATCTCTCAAAAGGAACCAGGCTCAAATTGCATGTTCATAAGTTGACACGGTTCACTACTCGCTTCTTTCTTGCTGGTCAATCTTGAATCGATAAAATCGATCCCATCTGTACTTTGCGGCATTTGAAACTCCGATAAAACGGGGAATGATGTGGGGGGAGGGGGAAGAGTGGTGTGGGGGAAGAGTGGTGTGGGGGAAGAATGGTGTGGGGGAAGAGTGCTGTGGGGGGCAGAGTGCTGTGGGGGGAGTGGTATCTGGGGAGTAATGTGGAAGGGAGTATTGTGGGGAGAGTTGTGTTGGGAGTAGTGTGTGGGGGAATGGGGGGTCGTGTAGGGGGTTATAGCATAACAGATCTCTTTAAAATAGCCTTTCGATGAAAAAGGTGCTTGTAATTTCCGGCAGTGGACGACAATATTTTTCCACAAATCAGCCCTTTTTTCTAGGGGGTGTTGCGGTGAAGAGACCTTTCTTGGCGGCTGTTCCTTACAAGTATTGGTAACAAAGGACAAAAAATGGAAATGAAATTTATAAAATCATGACTATAAAGGCAAAGAGGCGTTGACAAAAAACCAAGTTATGCCTTGGCATACATCGATTTACATATTTATACATATATTCATATATATTAATCAAATGACTGCATATTTACAAAGTCGACAATCTAAAACCAATATTTGACTGAATCTAAAATATGTTTTAAGCCATTAATGAATTGATGCATTATTTTCGAAATATTGAATTTGAAATTTATTTTACAAAATATAAACTAGAAATCTAACAAGACATACAAAATTTACATATTGTAAATGTTCCTAGAAAATTAACCACACATTTGACGCGTGATGGGTGATTATGTGAAGGTACAATGGATGAACTACGAAAGTGGATAGCAAACTTGATTGTATTAATCTAATTGTTTGGATGGATGAACATAACAGCAAAATACAACTGAAAATAGACCAAAGGTGTTAAATGAATACTCGATGGATTATATTCGCAAACAATCCTAACTCTACCAGTTTGAAGGGTATTTGATATTTTCAGATCAAGTAAACGGGTACATACACTATTTTCTTGCAGATTGAATACGATATCTTTAAAAAGGCCTTCAGATGAAAAAGCTCTGAAGCATTAGGAATTCAAAATTGCTTTCCTGCAAACTGAGCTGATGGTTTCTAAGCAAGGGATTATTTGATGTCCAACAAGTAACATTTATCATAGAAAATTGTCCAAGGTGTAGGCTTAATCTTCAGAGTAAAAAAATTATCGTCTAATACCCAGGACTATCCTTTTCCTACTGACTGCATTGTGGTGTCAAAAGTAGAACGTCCATTCCAACAAAGAGCACCTATTTCTTAAAATTCAAATAAAATTGGAACTTAATTACAACATAATTGCTTTACGAATGAGAGTTACGCAGTTTTTTTGAAGGAGAAGCCATTCCAGACTGTTTCTGTTTGAACACTGACAGGCATCTGTGACATGCGTCAACGATACGTTCGGTGACACAAGTCAACTGAGATACGTTCAGTGACACAGGTCGGCTGGCATACCTTCAGTGACCTACCTCCACTGTAGCCTTTACATGGGTCCACCAGAAAACTGCCGTTGGTGCATATCATAGGTACAAGAATCACTTCTTTAGAGAGCGCTTTTCTCGTTGTCATAACAATCATAATCAAAAACAAAGCTAGCATGAAAAATAATTGGTCACCTTTTAACAGGCAGGCAACTTTCTCTTTCCTTTTGGCTTTTTCTCGGGCTAGTCCTCTGCGAAGGTTTCAACGAGCCTGACCGCTGAAAAGAGGAATTGCGCCTCATTTCGCTCAGACTTGGGATAGCACTGAGTGAGGAGGAGCTTGCAACTATAGCGCCGTCATCACGGATTTTGTTTGGTTGAAAGAACAGTGCTGAATTGGATCGCATATCTGGCGAAAAGGAGTTGGGCCTATATTCCTCGACGAAGGCATTGATTAACCTCGAAAACATGTGCGGAGCAATAGCTTGGTCATGCGTCTACGATGATGAAAAAATAAATTGACCAAAACTGAAAAAGTTTCATGAAAAAAATAACTTTAGATTTCAAAACGATTCCTAATGAACTGGCAAAATCAATAAACAAAACCAAGAAGAAAAAGATGACAAAACCATAAGTTGTGCTGCACTTTTTCATGCTGATTCAGAAGTGTAATTGGTATTTGATTAAAAATATTATAAAGAGAATGGTATTAATCACAACATATCAATTGTGGAAAGATATCATCCAAGCTCGCCACATCGGTTTATAGTAGTAAAAACAATTGGTTTCCCAGAATGCTTTACTTTCTTCTTGTATAAACGTTTATCGCAACTATATGCAGTAGACTCCGGCTAAAGTCACAAAAAATTTTGCTTGTCGAGTGTGACTGTAAACTGAGCTAAATTGAATAGTTTTGCATATTTGGGTCTAGGTTTTATGTGACTGCAACCAGTATTGTGTCTTTAAGCAGGGTCGACTGTAAATAATTCAGAGACCATGGTCCAAATATCTTTCTAGAAACCCACCCATCCTCGCCAGGAAAGTGAAAGTCTTTATAAGAAATGAAACGGCATTGCTTACCTCCGGGAATGGTCCTAAGAATGTGTGCAATCCAGAAAAGCTGCAAGCTAGAACCGAATAATGAGATATGAAAAAACAACACTAGCAAAAATTTTCGCACAATCAGAATTACAAAAGGGAGGGTAGGAATGCCGGATGAAAAAGGTTTTTATGTTTGGCATCTTCGTAACACTTGAGGATAATTGCATCGAGAAATATAAATTGCAATTCTGAAAACTCATTCAATTCTCAAATAATGCTTTAGTTTTGTAGAACAAGACGGTTTTAAGTTGCAACTCAACGTTGAATTCTTACTGTGGTCCATTGCGACTAGGGCAGCTCGTAAAATTATGCTCACATGCCGTCAAGCAATAGACAACAGACTGGTACTGAGTTATATTCATTAAGTTGAAAATATATAAAAACTTTGCCCAGAAGATTAAAGAAGATATATTTGAAGCCATTCAACTCACTGCCAAGATATTCCAAGTCGATGGTTGCTTCGATACGCGAGCTTGCAGAGGTAGACTGAACAATGGTGTGCACAGCAGCCAAGGTTATTGGGTCATCGCTATGGCTCAAGACATTGCAGAGCTTACGATTGAGGATTGAAAACCTACAAGGAAAGGTGAATGCTTACTCTCTGAATAATAAATAGAATTAGAAAACATTCGTAGGAACAACATCTTTGGAAATGTTATAACATAGTTTCTGGTTTGCCCATTTAAAAGTACTGTAATTGGCCTAAGCAGGGATGCACCAAAGATGTCTAAAGGGACACAACAGGGTAGCATTCATATCAATATAAAACCAATACTATGCTTTCTTAGCATAGCATACAGTCAATGGACTGAATTAAAATTGTGATCTTTACGCGGTTGCTGTTGTGCCAAAAAAGACTTGATCGTCATCCAATATAATCTTCCAAGTTTCACGCAAGAGTTGCTGTTGTCCACTGAACACTACAACTTATGTGCATATGCCTAAACTGAGTTGAACTTGTAGTCTTTTACAGCATTTGTTTACACCATATCCATTTACAATGATCTTAGACCACAAAGGCAATAATCAACTGCACCTTATAGAACCAGTCCCCGTACGAACTAGTAATAGCAGACAATACCCAAGAATTTATCGCAAGAGTTTTGTATCAATTCACTCATGTCAATTGATGTTAGGGTGGCTAACACAATACTCACGTGACTGGGAAGACCTCAGGGAAAAGAATGCTGGCCTCAGCTAATACTCCATATAAAATACGCAATTCTGCATCGTCAGTTGTGAACTCAGTCAGTGTAGCCTAGAACGAACCGTGTATAATGTCTACTTAGCTCAATGAAAGGTGCAATCACAAATATCATTTCTAGCAGCTAGGCGTTGAATTTTTCTAGAATGTCTTACGTTGAAGCATGCAAAAACCACTGTAGATGTCCCAAGTGATCTGGTTCTTTAGATGACAAAAGGAAATAAAAATGCCGAAGAATGGAAGACAAGGATTGAAACGGTTGTCATGAACAATTTATAGTGAGCGTTTCGGAATAACATTTACTCAGGTTAACCTGCAAAAAAATTTTGTAAAACCAATGATACCTTAAAGGTGCTTGAAAATGCTACCACGTTGACAAGTGATGGCTTGACTTTCTTCAAGACAATTTTAGCATCTTAGTTGCTTTAGCTTGGGATAGAAAATTATCTAACGTGTTGTAATCAATCAGTTGCATAACTATAAATTAAATCACTATGCGATTCTCTTACCAGCAAGACTAGCAAAAGAGCTTTTGACGCATTGTCATCCAAAATACTTGGATCGAGCAACAAATTGTGACAATCTGAAGGCCACACGAACTCATTAAGCCGATCTGTGATCTCCGCCGGGGGCGAAATTACGATGGAAATATCTGGTGTACACGAGGCCGCGATGTCTTCCATAGAGCTGCACAGTGGATTCTTGGAAATCGTTTTGAAGTAGGTCGATGCCCTGTTGCTTGCGTGCAGGCGGGTTCTCACTTCGTTTGAAATTGGAAGCAAACCTAGAAGGGGAAAATAAGCAGGTTTGTGAAGTGATAAAGGATAAAGCATATTCGGTCAAGGAAAAAAGCAAAGAGGTTTTATAATCATGGTATTGGGTGAATAAAATGGAAATTCAAGCATACATACCGGCAAGGTACGGAACAGTCTCTTTGCTGACAACAAATTTGTCTTTGCTACATGAGAAAAACATTGATTTGTTAAAATGAGTTTTATAAACGTTTTTCTTACATGGCTAAGGGGTTTCATGTTTGATGATAACAAATGATAAAAGTATTCACTCACCAGTTTTTTCGTTTTCTGCATGAATCAAGGAGTAGGTTCATGATTCTAACAGTCAAAGATTTGGTTTTTGCCCAAGGGTGTCGAAGGCCTAAAATGGAAGTTACAATAAGAATGAGGTTAAGTAGAATAAGACAACTTGCATATACTTTGGAAACTCGAATATGTAGCCAAAATCATGAAGTCAACATTTTGACTTCAGTTGTTTTCTTGTTTTAGCAAAACGAGCAATTGTTCTTCGCATTCAATAACATCTTTGCTACCAAAGACCTATCAAACACATCCCTTTGATATCTTTCGCATTACTAAACACAGTAAACTGTTGCTATACACAGTCTAGCTACCTTTCAATACATGGGTGGCCAAAGCGAAATTGAAGTCCGTATTAAAGCTGAGACCAACAACATGATCCATCTGCTTGCAAACCCAATCCAGCGTTCCATTGGTTCGTACAGCCATCAAAACATCACTTAGACTCTGCAACACAAAAAAGAGAATACGTGCACTCACTTGAAAGTGAAAATACTGTTTACCAGACTGTCATGTAGTGCTCGATATTATATAGGTAGTGCCTTTATGAAAAAAGGTGAGCTGCACATTGGAAACATCCTGTTCTACACAGGTGAAAACGACAGACGATAGCACATGAAAACAGTAAAGTCAAACCCTTGACGTCATTTCTACCGGAGCCATGACAACTAGTCTCACCTCTTTGTCGAAATCTCCGTGACTATCAAGAGTCATGATGGATCTTTCCAACAAAATTAGGCCACATGGATACAGGGTAAGTTCTGCCAACTATGATAAAAACGATATAAAAGTAAGACAGCAATAAAATTATTCAATTTATGGCTTCAATTTGGAAATTACTATGGACTAAATTTTAAACATTTCGAGTTCACATTGTTTATGCTTGCATTATAGCTTATACATTTTATAAGCCTTGCAAGGATTTCACGGCAAAAAACTTCTTAAAGAAACTTTTCACCATCAGTTACAAAGTACTTTCAAATAAAAAAACTAAAATTTTTATAATGAATCAAAAGTCAAAAATTTGGTAAAGGAATCTTGCGAGTTGAACTGATATACAAATAAATTACTGAACCATAGCGGGTTACAATATGTAACAAATTTGTATGAATCGAAGCATGGACCCGTATTTGATTGAATACAACAGATGCAAGATACCAGAAGGCAAGATGCAAAAAGGCAAGATGTCAAGGGTCAGATGCCAAAGACAAGATGCCAAAAGGCAAGATGTCAAGGGTCAGATGCCAAAGACAAGATGCCAAAAGACAAGATGCAAAAAAGTCAGATGCCAAGAGGCAAAATAATATTATGTATAATTGCTAAGAAAAACAGGACAAAATATGATGCGACACTTTGTTTAAAACAGAGTGCAGAGTGACAAATGCCGACTTTCGAAACCCTCGGCTTCAGCTTTGTTTTTAAATAAGTGTCTTCTCCCTATTATTTCTGCTTCGTTTTAAACGTACGTGAAGCAAGCTAAAAGCGGAGAACGACAAGAGGTTTATACCTGCAAAATTCCAACAGCAATCCAGAAGAGTCCTCTGTGGTACCTTGATCCCTGCGGAAAACACTCTTTGAGAAACATTGAATGAGAAACTAATAAAAACACTCAGGACTCTTCATTTATGCTTGACAAAATGGCAAAAAAGATAATGTATTAATAATGTATCAAGGCTGCGTAAGGATGTAGAATATTTGTGTTCTTAGTAGTTAAACCTTAATCATAAACAGAACGCAGGGAGAAAAGACCAAAACGACGAGGAGCGACCCAGCAAACATGAAAGATGATCGAAGTACATGCAATTTTTATACGTTGAATGTCACTCAAATATTAGAAGCAAACCTGCGGCAATAATGGTTGAAGCTTTGCCAAGCACATTATCACTGATTCGATCAGGCGATTTTCATTGTAAACCCCGACAGCCTGAAAAAAAGGTATGAAATGAAGGAATTGTTTATATATAGAGAGGCATGATAGAAGATTACAATCATAGATTACCTATTCTGAAAGAAAAATGAAGGTAGCATGAAAATGGCGTTCGAAAACAGAAAATTCTAAAGATAACAAGGAGTATGCAAAAATTGCAAAGACAGGGCAATGACAAATACCTAAAAAAATAAGTTACCTTGACTAAAACTTGCAGCAAACTTCTAATAAACGTGTCGTCAACTTCCTTGCTTATGCAGCCAAGGACAATGATGGAACGAGACTGCAGTGCGGGATTGTGGGTATACGCGAATCTGAAATGGAATTAGTATTTTGATGGACATTCCTGGTGAATAATGATGATACGCTGTCCTTAGATTTATATTGCATTGGGTATAAGCGTGGCTGAAAGGCATTATTATGAGTTGCTGCGATGGAGCAGACCACATGGGACAGAAGACAAAAACTCAAGACTTGTTTCATTTTTATTGCCTGTGGGCAAATGCATTGAATTAGCTAGCCGTGTTTTGTTGTGTGAGAAAAAATCTCCTTCTAGTATTGAACTCAAAATACAGCCCGCTTATAAAATTGACACTAAATTGCAATAGATCCAAACCCTACCTGAATATCATACTGACATTATACGCAACTAGATTCAACACAATAACAACAAAAAAACAATCCTTTGCAAAAACCCTTTGAAGAAAATGACTGAAATATAATTGCCTTACCCAAGAGCCAATTCGTGCCACCGCCGAACCCAGTTGCAGTTAGGGATGTCCATAGCACACGCCTCAAAGAGAAAAATACTGTGTTGAGATGAAGCATAACAATAAAACCGATAAAGAGAATTTATGAATGAAGACATTTTCTTTAAACAGTCAATGGAAATCTGACTTCAAAACATGCCTAAATACATAGTGTAACTACTTCACAGTGCATCGTTAACAAAATTAAGGAATGATATCTAGCTAGTTATATCATCGTTGTATGAAATTGCACCAGTTGCTTATAAGTCAAAACAAAATCCACTAATAAGGGTACGCACAGCAAGTTGCAGGTCATTTTACCTCCATAATCTCAAGCAATGATTCTACAATCGTTTCCAGGGCTGACATGGAAATTCCGTCATCCTCCGATTCTGCATTGAACGTACGACTTCGGCTGCGACCAAAGGACGATTGGAATGCCTTCGCAGGAGCTGACTTCACCTTAGAGATTCCTTCGAAACAATTTACATAAGTGACGTCTTCGGAAATACTTGATGAATAATAACAAGATTAGACTTAAGCATTTCTTAACCTATTCGTTATGTGATCAAGTCTAAGATTGCTTTTAGGTCCATCTGGATGCTTTATGGTCTTAAAACGCCCGTGTATATCGGCAGGTGGAACAGTTAAAAAAAATTCACATATTTAAAGATAATTTGTCTCAAAAAATGCGCAAACATGTATAACACTCTCATAGACAAACTATTGATAAATTAAACTTTTATAGTGAACATTGATAAACAAAAAGTAAATCGTTTAAAACATGTGACATGAATTTGTTTACCAATCAGTCGGCTTTGCAAGTTTTTTAGCAAACCTTAAAATATGTATTTACTTGAAGTCGTCCTGTTTGATATCCCTAACAAATCAAATTCTCATTAAATCACTTACCGAATAAAAGATAGTATTTTTGCTCGGAAAAATCTTCCAGTCTAGCTTTAAGCAACTTCTGTGTTCTGCCTTCAAAAATAAATCAACAAAAGTACATTAGATCTTTACTTGATTAGACTCAGAAAAATTAATTTGAGTCTTTGGCAAAAGGAACTGAACAGAATAGGCCACTCAGATATTAAATTAGGAAAATCCACTGGGGTCGTTTAAACACTGAAAAGTTCCATTTTCAACACTGATTGTTTTCATAGGCAGATTTTGAAAACTTCATGAGAAGGTGAAGAATTTTGTTGACACTGCTTCATTATCTCTTAAAACTTGTTTTGACAAAAAATGTAAAAAAGGTGACAACATTACATGTAATATGATGTTAGCAAAAAAATTATTCAAACAATAGAGTTCATAAGTGATGATGTCTTAAAAATATACTTTTAACACTCTTCTTGTGGTACAAAATTTCAAAATAACGTTGAAAAAAGCAAACATTTTGAATTATGCTAAAGCTTTTCGTCTGACACTCTTCAGATTTTAAAACGTCAGAAAATAGATCGAAGAATTTTTCTGAGTTTTCGATCTCTTGAACTTTGATCACATAACATAACATAAGAGCATCATATACCACCGAATCTGCCAAATTGCTTAACGGTTTTACAAATATGGTCACATGAGCAGGCTATTTCCCCATCATATCCCTGTCTCTCTTTTAAAGTTTTTGGACAAAGACAAAATAAACTGTAAACAGTTGCAAGCTTAAAATCTTTCAACGGCACGATTTTGAATATTTGGAGGCACTTTTTGGTGTTCTTTTAGGTAACATGGCGAAAGTAAAAACGCTAAACACATCATTGTTTTCTAAATTGCCTCTGCTGAAAGCAATAAATAGCAAACGTACCTTTGAAATGGATTCCTGAGCACGTGAGCAGTGACTGCAAGGAATTGATGACCAGCCCATGAATGGAGGCTTTTAGAGACAGGGGTCCAGTTGATACAAGCAAAGTGATCACGTGGAAGATCTCTGGCAGATGATTGGCCACTGTTCAGAAGAAATGAGATTAAACTTTTTAGCAAAAAAAAAATCGCATACGATATGTTTTTGAGAATACGATAAAAAATCGCATTTCTTCATTACACTCCAGTACATATCAACTCTTTCTCACATTTTATCGACTCATGGGTTCTGACTTTTCGTATTGTGAAGAAACCTCTCAGAGAAAACAGACTCTATCATGCAATCTTTATTATGCAATTCTGGTGTTTATTTGAAGAGAAGGATATTTTTCCCGCATTACAAACGCTTCATTCACGTTCACTTTCTTTGTTGGTTTGGCACTTTCTGAAAAATCGCTTAGCTCAGCTCTTCAAGACTGATATCCAGAAATTAATGTTTACAACATGTATCGTAATGGCATTACCATCCAAACAATTATTGAATGACAGCATAAGGAGATATCTTGCAAGAATAGCGATGTCATCCCACATCAAGTGACGCTCTAAGCTTCCCGTTGGTGACATGCTGGTTCGACCAAGGACCTGAAATGAAATGGTTATGTGTCAAACAAGACAGCAAGAAAATTTTTAAACAACAAAGTTGGCCATGAATTGTCCTGATTCTATTAAAAAACATTCAAACAGCAAGACGCATCTGGTGAGACATGGCCATTGAAGGAGGGGATAATGCATGCAGATGAACCTCACCCCTTTGGAGTCAATTAGGGGGCCTACGATTACAAGACAATTAGGGGGCAAACTGACGGATGACAACAAATTAACTCACCGTGTTTAGCCGTTTTATGATTTTGCTGGAAACCAAAGGGACATTGGCAGCAGCTAATGCCACAGCGGTATCTGCCATAACTTCTGCCTTTAAGGACCCCAGGCCGCCTGTTGCACTGGTCTGTTGAACGGAGAAAAGCAACGAAATACAAATTTGATTTCAACATATCTAAACATTGTCACATTAACATCAAGGTCATTTAGGCAACGTACTTGAAAAAAATACCATTAGATTCAACTGCAACTTGTCTTTTAGCTGAAAAGATTTTATAGATAAATTCGCAGCGAGATGAGTAGAATCGTTTAACGTTGAGATAAATGGTTTCAACAGGTTTCCTAGAGCACTTTTATGTTAATATAATAATGAAAGTAATACCAACCTTGATAAAACTGTCCAGAACGACATCCAACAATTCTGGAAGCTTTCCAATATTACCCCAAACTTTCGCCTGGATCGACGGGTTCATCTACAATACGACATAATATGGTTCGAGAAACATAATTTGCATTGGAAATAAACAGACGGGCTCCAGTTGCAATGTAGCCAGATTAGGCTTCTACAATACATGGCATATTCTGTATGGCTAATGACACATACAATGTTTACATTTAGACCCACTACGAGGTTCAGGTCATCAATCTATCCCGTGAACCTTAAGATTAAAGCATCGCTGGAACTCAATTACAGAATGCATATCAGGTCTATGATGTCACACTTTGGTAGCCTGGTAGCGAGATAAAAAATGACGTAATTTCACCTGTCGCTCTTTGATTGTCATCTGAATTAGTTTGTCCAAAATTTGACAAAGTTTTGTTCGCGAAGGGTCATCAGAAACGCACTTGCAAAACCTGGAGAGAAACAAAATTTATAATAACTTTAAAACTCTACAGTTTGAAAAACAATGAAAAAGGTTCTGATTAAGATTTGCAATTAAAACTTTAAAATTTTAAAATTTTAATGCAGCTAGGTAGTTTAAACTTTGAATTCATACCGTGAAGAAGAAGTTCTGCATTCCGATAAAAAATTCTGATAATATACAGGATCTTAATTAGAACTACATAGTAAATTTTCTTTGGAGAAAGGCACATAAGGGCATCCTTTGGAAATACCGAAATCTGAAACCGTCAATGTGGCAATTAAGTGGGAAAAAAACAAATTTCGGTTAACGGTTTTGAAAATGTCTCAATAATCAAAAAGAGAGCCATAAGGATACTTCTCAGATGAACTTAGAAGAATCTTCCCAGCTTTTCCGAGTAGGCTGTTAGACAGAACATCACCAACTCTGGTGCTTTTGCTCGACGTCACAGGTAAATATGAGGCTCGTAGATAACCACATACATTGTAATTTAACGCATTGATTGGCTGTGTCTCAGAGTGTCACAGCCAATAAGATCATTATTTAACGTAAAACTCATACGTTTATCTATGTTGCCTGATGATCAAATCAACTTGTAGATAAGTCGGTCTTGTTCTATACAACCGTTCTGTAGGGCTCCGTGTGTCGCTATCAAGCACTTTACAACCGACAGAATGATACAAATTTGCATTATTTTAAGTTTAGAGTCGCAGCTGCCGCAACCTCGAGCCGACAACGTCAAGCGTAGCTTTATAAGAATAACGAAAAAAGGCACACATTAGCATGAGCACATATCAAAATAGAACGTACTTTGTTAAATTCGGCAACCACGGGGCCATATATTCTAGGCAGAGGTGCTTCAGTTCAAAGTCTGATAAACTAAAACCATTTATGCATTCATCCAAGAACTGAAAAAGATATGATGAAAATTTTATGGATGGTAATAAGATTCTAGGAAGTCTTCGACTCGAAATGCAATGTTGAATGCAGAAATACAAAACGAGACTCAAGATAACAGCTGGCAAATACTTTGGTGGTTACAAAATTCGCACCAGTTCTTCGAATTAGACACAAAATTTAGACACAAAATTATTACACAAAAATTTAGGCCAGCTTATATTTGCATTTTCACAGAAAATACTTTTAACATTCCGAATGAATATTCCGGATAACCCAACTGTTTCTGATTCAAATAAAGAATTGCAAACTGTTAACACGATCGTGAATATGCTGGCCACCTTCTTCGATTCAACCTTACAATCTAAAACTGCAGAAAACTTCCATCAATCCTAACAACCAAGAGAACTACTTAAGCAGCTCTAGGCACTCACCTCTAATGTCATATTGGGCTCTCGCTTCGCCAACTGTTCGCTTATACTTTTTATAAACATCGTGTTGTTTGCTGGGATACATAGTCCTGTATGTGACAAAATGTATACATTCATAAAATGCTCTAGACAGTGAAAACTCTTGTGTATTTAAATATCATTGTTCTGTTTAATTTGACAAAAAGCGGAAAAAATGAAAACAAATCTAGATGGCATGATTCTTTATTTCACTACAAAAAGGTAAAAACGTTTATATTCAAACCGGAAATAAAAATCACGCTGAGCTATGTTGCGTGCTTTTATGTGATATGTGATGCTTTGTCAATATTGCAAAAGATTTGCAATAGTCTTTTTCCAAAAGATTTGAAAAAAGCAAACGCAAAAACAGTATGAGGTTGTACAACGGAATCCCCTTTGTCTTGTACCTCTTGCTTCTAGAAGTCGTTCCTCTACGTGCAGGTTGAAAGTAGCTGTCAATGCGCAGAGCAAATTATATGCAACTAAACGCAGGCTTGGGTCTTTGCTTCCAAGGTTCAACAGGGCCTGAAATTGTTTGACAAAAAATCATTAAAGAACATGATATATTGAATGAGCTGATACAAAATACAGAAATTATGATGATGATATTTAAACACTAAACATAAATGTAGATGGGAGAAAGCAAATCGAATAATATAAGGAGCTATGTTAAGTTTACTTTGTAAAATTTGTGGCCAACAGGATAATAATAAATAAATAAATGAAATCGAAATGATTGGCCAAAAACAACAATAAAAGACAAACCATATTGAGCAGTGTTCCTGGGACATCTTTAGGCCGAATTTTCTTTTCAGCTGCCGATGTTTTGGAACCCTTAGAAAGATGTATCGACTTGAAATAAGGTTTCTCAATACATACAAGAACAGTTCATAAAACTTCAAAATATAAGGCTTTACTGGCTAGCAAGAGAGAAAAATGACTTACATTTGAAAAACAGATGATAACAGAAGAAAAGTTAAAGCTTAAGCGTTATTTTTTAATGTAAGTGTGTAATCAATTCAATTATGTCGCTGACGTGCTGGTGCATACTAATAGTGAAAAGATCATTAGTGAACGGGTTCTAGAAAATAACTCTTACCGGTTGAGAAAGTTTCCACCTTGACATGACTCGGTTCACAGCAACTGTTATTTGTTCCGCACTTGCGCTAATAAACCGGAGACCAGGTCCTCCAATTGAAAAATGCAGTTCTAGAAGATCTTCTTGAAAGTAGGCCTAGAGAAGAATTGGCGAAGGTTCAAGCAAGAACAAAAGCTGAGCAGAACACACATCGATATGGCGCTCAATGTCCCAAGATTAAAATAAATGCAAATAGGTTCAATAAGTGGAAACTGTTAAAGTTATAGGCAAATTTATCTGGAATAAAATATGTGAAGAAATTTTAAAATTTTATCTAAAATATGAAGAAAGCCTCAGCTGATAAGACCCAACTGATTCAACTCTTACAATCCTATTAAGATAAATTCCTTTTTGCGATGTCGGGTTTGATGCTCGCTCAATAAACAAAAAGTGTGTACGATTATCTGCAAATGTTTCTCATGTTCGAATACTTAAGTCCTGCGTCCGAATCCTTGCAGCTGAATAGAGGACGAGAAGGCAATAAACTCGACGGCGATAATACATTGGATCCCGAAAGTTGCTCAAAAGTAGACAGAATTGAAGAAGAGAATCAGAATGGCATATGGAGCCCGCAAATTATTTCACCTGTTCAATTTCTGATGCATAAAACACGTCGTTCACAGAACAAGTATAACCAAGAACTTTCGCTTTTTCTGCTGCTTGTATCTGCACTGAAGTTGGTCCGACCTGAAATGTTAAATTGCCATTTTAAACTTGATGCAACATGAAGAAGCAAATGAGAAGAGAAGGAAAGTATGTTTACAAAATATATAAACCTTCTGTTTTTTCAATATGATTGTGTTTGCAGAACTGTTTTGTACTGTAAAATTCAGGCACAGACTGTTCATAATATATTCATCTAAATTGTGGCACGCTTTTCTTAAAAATCGATCCGTCTAAAAAATATAGATTGTTGAGAACAAGCTGAAACAGAATTTCGAGGAGAGGAAACTAGTTGAGTGCCCCCAATCTCCAAACTATGCCCATTTTAAACCTATTAAAAATTAGAAAGGTTTTATAGCACTATTTTCTTGGCCGCAGGAAGGTTGGCCATTTTTCTGGACTGTGCTGTGAGGATGGCTCAGTGGTTAGGGCCGCGGACTATGGATCCGAGGGTCCGTAGTTCGAGTCCCTGGCATGACCAAACTTGCACTTAGAATAAGGAGAGTCGCCAGCTCTGGGTAATTCCAGGCATAGGAATCATGAGGTGTGGTCACATCGAGAGAAAGTACAAGACCACTGCTCGATAGCGGTGGCCTCTCGGTGTCCTAAAGATACCTTTGAAAGCTACGTAGCAACGAAAACAAATGCTTTGACATGCATAAGGGCATGAGGCACGTTCGTTTGAAGAACATTTTTCTCATATACTTCAATGAGATCTTAAGAATGTTAAATAACCAGCAAATAGTTTTGTTAAAAATTTTAATATTTAAAAGCTATCGATATCACTTAAAGTAACAGACGAACAACATTATTCAATAATATTTTAAATTTACCTTGATAAAAACAGTTCCTTTGTTGATTCGCTGAGCCGAGAAAACCTTTCGAAATAAACACAAATCATCAGTTATGTGAACAGGCAGATATTCTTGCAGTAAACACATTATATATCCAAAATAATAATTTCGAAAAAGAAATTCGCATTCTCACTGACATACTTTGTAGCATTAGTTCATGCTTGAATTCGTGCTTGAGTTCGTACTGAATTCGTAACATGAAGAGCAGACAATGAGGTACAGATTTCAAAACGACGAGAAAAGTTCAACTGTACCATGACAAGCTCAAGAGCCTTGAACACGAGATTTGAACAGGAGAATTAGCAAGATGAACATATATAATGTACAATTGCTGACGTATAATGTCAGTCTAATTTTCAATTACCTACTTTATATATGAAATTCATATATTACCTATCAAGTAATTAATATAAGCGTTATAAACTAATCCAAAACACAACACGTACCTACCATATCGGCATTACTTGGTATGCGCCTTAGATGAGCGACGCCTAAGTATGAAGCCGATTAGTTTCAAGTAAGCAAGCACGATAAAATGCGTAAAACGTACTTTTAGGTCGTCTTCTAAAGAAGTTGTTGAATTGGGGAGCTTGAGCTCATCCTGTGCCAGGTAGTCATAGAAGCGATTCAAAGAGTCGATTAAAAGCACGTTTGATTTTCCCTGCAAATAAACACAAGATCACGTTAAAATAATGAAGGCTAGACACTAGACACTGATGAATATCCTAAACCAACTAATCAATCGATCGGTTGAAATCTCCAATTAGCGAATACCTTGAAGTGGCTCTGCTTAGGCCTGTTTGCGTTATTATTTCTTCCTCATCGATCATGTCATAACCGTGACATCCCCTTGAGTCATTCAAGGCATCGCATACAACAGGACATCCCCTTTTACATTGTTTGAAATTTAGTCCCTCAAAGTCTTGCAGACTCAACTCCTCCCGCTCTGAACCTAGATCTTTCCTTCTCCATTACATCACGCTGCATCATCACATTAACCAAACACATCCTTATTCAGTACAATTACTTTCAGCACTTCAGTTTGTATATAAGTACGTTAATTTGTGAGTCAGTTGGTGAGTTCAGATCAGAGTTCTTCAGGGGAGCTATTGCCTCTCTCTCTGACACCAAAACCTCCCAAATTTCCGTCCTGTGATTCAAACAGTGTCCTAACAACAGACAACTTCCGACAACAAAGGGTAATTGTGCAGTGAGACAGAGTATAGGGATGTTTCACTGTACTTTGCCAATTTCATGAATCGATACATGTTGACATACACATGGTAACCGTGATTTAAGAAATACAAATGTACGAAACCGTTAATAATAAATAACAACGGAAAAATATTAATGAGTAAAATAACACTTGTACCTTGAAGGGAGCGAGTGTGCGTTCGTGGACTTTAACAAATTGGCGCACGCTGCTATTCACGTTGTATACATATATTACTGACAAGCTTTTGAATTGTGCTTCTGGGAGCACAGCGAAAGCCTTTGCCAAGGTTTCCGGCTAAAATGCAACGAAGAATAGTTGCTGAGATTATTCAGATTTAATCAATCGCATGTTTCTGCTCAACGTAAACTAATGGCAAGATAAGCAAATCATGTCGATGGTTTGCAAGATGGAGTTGTAAAAGCTATCTACTGATTGTAGTTTCCCTTTTAAAACTTCATTACAATTTGTAGTTCATCTATTAAAAATAAATGTACTAGGTAATTATTGCTGTGAATGAAATGTTCGATGCAATGTCATTGCAAGCAAAGACGTATGAAAGACATTTCAGGAATTTTCTAAGCAATCTTCCATGACATACAGTTATATTATACATTTTCCGTGGAAAGTCAGTCCAATATTCTCCACGGTACAAACTTTACCATCCGTAGTTGTGGAGTTTCTTAATAACTGCAATAACAATCACATGTACTTCTTGCTACAGACAATACATATGCTAAAATCTGGACCAAAACATAGTCACCCACATCGTCATCTAATTGCTATTTCCTCTTTGCTTTCTAAAAAACATTAATACGCAGCCAACAATCAAGCAGAATCGAACCTTGAATCTGTTATCTGGCCCTGTGTGAGTGAAATCGAAGATGACTTCCCATGATTGGCCGTATACTGGTTGGAGTGTTAAGAACACGTGGTAGATAAGGATTTCGTCGTTAATTTGGTCGGCTCTGGGGATAAATAATCAATTTTATATATTAATTGTTAAAATGGCTCAAGTATATGTTGTTGCTTAGTGAAATGATTTCCATGTATGCTTAAATCCACTTTCTCTACAGATAACAACCACGCCCTTCTGAAAAGCTGTCAACATGAACTGGCCGGAATTAGATACCAAATGACTACAATGTTGAACTAGGATATACTTCTTTTTCAAACTTGCATCTTTATGTATGTATAAAATTACTTTATCTATATTAGCAAGCCCACTCCTAAAAACAGCAATAAATGACGTACCAAGATTACAGTTCTCAATTGCCAATCATTGAATCTTTGATAGCATGTTGGTCAACTTTTGCCATCAGTCAAAATGCAAAGACACTAAATCAATGCGGAAACGTCTGTGTTGAGCATCAACTAATTACACAACCAGGTATGGCATTCAGTATTTGTAAAGGACATGTTGGGAAGGAGAGGAAGCGAAAGAACCTAGTAAGTAACCTATCCCCAGTTCTTGCTGCCAAAACCATGCCAAAAGCTAACAATTTCAGTGCTGGCGATCTTAGAATTTATGGTAAGGGCGTGGCTTACTCTTTTGAAGAATTTAAGTTCTTCTTCTCCTAAACGAAAATGAAATAACGGATTTGCTATTTAGCGCAAGATGTTAAGAGTCATTTTATTATATTCGATATGATGGTCATTAGGTTTAGAAAATCAATGTTTAGTTCTTACTCCAAAATCTTAGAAAACTTCGAAAGATACCTGTATCTTCTGGCAACAAAATAGAAAACAGGATTTCCAGCTTTGGACTTTCCCTCCTAAAAATTGAGACAATGATTTAATATGAAAAACTACATTGAAATCAGCATATTTTACCGAATAAAACAAGAAAGCAAGCAGAAGATGTTGCTAGAGAATTAGACAGCAATGGCTTACCTGGTAGAATAGTTGAAGCGATTTAATTGCCTGCAGCTCATCGTTGTTTTGCCCTGCGTGTTTCATCATGAACTCTCGGAATTTTGAACCCATGCTGCTTGTTCGATGCCATCTGCAGGTAAAATGAGGCCCTTTACGATCCTAACTCTTAACAATGTATCTGAACTCATCTTTATTCGATACTAAACTGCACTGGAACTGGCATATATTTATACTAAGCAACAATGTTTATCCATGTCAAGAAAATAGACCAATACAGGGCAGAGGCTAAAATCAAAGGTGTCAAATTCCCTTGCAATAGAAAACTACTGATGTAAACAAATGCACTGGCATTTCAAAAAGCCTTGCTTTAAGGTATGGTTTATAAAGGGTAGAATTTTTGCAATTGTGTTTAAGGAGTCTTTCTAGCTCAAAGCATAAAGAGCTGCCGTACTTCATCTAGATTGGGTGCCGTGTTTCAAGCAGCACAAAAAGGAGCCATTTCGGGACAGTACTCTCGAATTTGATAGTTATTGGGGGTTAGCTGAATATTGGGGTTCTATGTCAAAAACGAAAATTTGAGATAAAAGATGGAAATAATCTTTGATGTTCAAGTTGACATGCAACCCATTTAAGAAAGGTTGCGGAATTTTTATAAATGATATCTCTTAAAAAACTTAATGACAAAAGGTAAATATTAGCTTAACACAAAAAATGCGAACATGAGTTTCCCAGGGCTTATGCTTTTTTTCTATTGCCAACCATTGGTTGATGATCACCATCGCTGCACTCTTCATCTCAACATAACTGTTTTACTAAGAAAATCCAAAAAAGTATGTAAACTGAAACTTACAAAGTTCCCTTTTGAAGCTTGGAAGGCTGATGGTCCGGCGGTCCCAAATGAGCAAGAAGTGTCACCAGTCTTTCAAAAGGACCTCTGCCTACAGATTTGTAGTCTCTGCAAATCAGCAATGCATTTAAGGTTAATGGTGTGGAGGACAATAAAGGTGCAAATTAACTCTTATTTCTTTAATATGCTAGCAACAAGCAAAGATGTCCAAGTGCTCAGTTTTTTGGTCCTAATTAATTAGATTTGGGATAGTCAAGGACATGGGTCTGTTAAGTTTAAGGGGGATCTTTGTCGATTGTGATGATCCGATTATTACCCCATTATATTGTCTTACCTCGGCAAACCAAATAAAACAAGATAATTTTTTTGCACTCTTAGGTCAGAAAGAAAAACAAGTCCTAAGGGTCAGGACCTGTTTTTACTGGAAATTTTACTTCCATCGATGTGATGAGCTGCTTTCACTGAAAATTCCCTTGCAATAAAATTAACTGCAAATTGGTTTTAGAATACAGAAACAACGAAGGTGAGAGAAACACAGGAGTAGGACATCTACTTCAGTAGAACGTTGCAAGTATAGAACATTATTTTTCAAGTGTCAAGCTCTTCGTGGGTAGTGCTTTGAAAGTGCACATGGCAAAAAGGTCCAGGGTCAATGGCTCTAAAATAAGGCTCTGATCTAAAGATGTTTTTGATTGTGAAATTTATGTTTTTGGTAATGCCTGGCAATACAGGTGTCTGGTAAGAATAGATGGCTCAGAGGACAATGTCATTTAAAAACGCTATGATTTGCCACGCAAAAAAGAGCTTCATCAAAGAAGGTGCTTCGTAACAAGGTGCTTCATCACAAGGTGCTTCATCAAAGAAGTCAGCCTGTGGTTTCTCGAAATCTAAGGTATATACATTTTTGGAGGGTGAATTAATGTACCAACAGACCTAGGCTTACAAGTTTTAAAAAAGGTCTTTTAGCCCTTTTTATACCAAAGATGCAAAGAACATTGCGACCCACCTGTTCACCGACAAATATTGTCCGATATTCTCTTGTTTTGCCCACAAAAGTTTGTGAAGTGCAGCGATATCGTAGTCATTAAACATGGAGTACTCGATGTCGACTTGGGCCGTGGTCTCCAGGGAATTTGCCGAAAGCGCGGCGAAAAACCTGAAATACATAAGGGATTCGTTACCGCTATTATGAAAGAATCCCAAAGGTATTGAAGGCCATTCTTATATTATGGAAGTGATAAAAAAAAGAAGGGGGCCAAGGTGTGATCCATGTGGAACTCATACTTTTAGGGCCCTATTTTAAAACAACGTTGAGTAAACTTGAGTTGCAGTATACACCAACTTAATGATATACTTCTGAGCACGTTTGTAGTTGCTAGTAGATTCTCAACACAAATGCATTAAAAATATGAATTAATTTTGACTGGTCATATAAAATCAAGCTTTTTCTCACCCGTGCACTTTCTCAAAATGGTCTGTCAAAAAGTTATTAAAAACTTCCATATGCGGCTCCTTTGTGAATAGTATCTGGTTTGCTAAATTCTGCAGAATCTGTAAAAACGAAGGAAAAACATAAAAATAGGGCGTAAGATAGCAAGAGAGCAAGTTCCTGTTAAATTCTGATATGATGATTATCTAATTATATGCTGATCGAGTAACGACTAGGGGATGACCATTACCAAAGATAACAGTTACAGAAAAGAAATTAAACAGTCAGTCCTAAAGCATACCTTTGCATTTATTATGAAAGGTGTCAAGGTATCAAGGGGTAGCATGGACGGACATTTAGGCCGAGTGCCTTCGCATATGATTCGAGATTCGCAAAGCTGTGTCAAATTGTGACCTTATGAAAAAGCTGCGAACAATAACAGACCTTTTCTACATTCAACTGAAAAGTTACAATACACACAACACTGCTAACAAAATCTACTTTACAACAATACTATACCACGGGAACGATACCCCGGGGAGCAAAAGGCTGTGACTACCCCTGGGCCATTTCATAAAGTTAAAACTACAAATGACTGTCTCACACCATATGTCACAAGAATGTTTGAGATCAGAAAAGTCTCTAATAAAGCGAGACTCACCTTGGAGATGTACCGCAGGCCTCTACGCATTTTATCTGACGGAGGATGTTCGAGAAATCCAAATGTATGTGGAGACACTAAAACAGAAAGGAAGATGGTTATGACGATCACATGGTCACTAGGTAACCTCAACCTAAGATCACAGGGGAACCAAAATTAAAGATCATAGGGTAACGTTCAAATGTAAGGTCAAACGCTTATCGGTTAAATTAACTAATAAAGACAAAATGAAGGCAAGATTTAACTGGAATACCTATTGCTGGGTTGAGAAATCTGAGGAAGACAGCGCTTGAAACAGCGACGTAAGTTTCCGATGGAAATCGTTCCTGGACGGCCTAAAACAAAGAAGCGTCGTAATGAGGCCGGGTCGACAAGAGGGGTGATTGAATAAGGGGCGTGAAAAACGGAATGTTAATAAGGTAAGATTTAATTGAATGAATTTTCAGCTTACTTTCGGTCATTATCAGACATTTATTCTCTTAAGATTGTCGAACGAAAAATACTTTAGTATGATATGTTTTCGGTATTTAGTACAATCTTCAAATTTTGCGGTATCAAAAACAAATCAGGTAAGATTTGCTTACTATGATGAAACAACTCTCCGTCAGGGTAAAATGCATGTCTTATATATTATTTCAGGAGTTAAAATTCTTTAACTGCCTAGAGACGGGCAGTTAAAAAATCTAAGTTTGGTTTCAAAATTCGAAGCATTCAAAAAAGATAATAACTATGCTTTATGATCAAAGTGCTGTTTTTACTTATAGTGACTGTGACTCATAGAACGAAAAGTCTCAATTCAGGGAGATTGTGAAATTGCAGTAAAAGATTGTAAAATAGGCTCTGAAAGTTTTCACACACAATATAGCAGAAAAGGAACTCAGTTTGAAGAATAAAAAAGAAGTCGACGAAGATCTGCATTTATACAATTTTTGGCAACGCTTCATATCTTGTTAAGAAACTTTATCCGTGACTATCCTCAGAATTTTTAAAAAGGTAAAACATAAAATTGACTTCCAAAATCTTCAAAAAATTTGTGCAACTCTGCAGTTGTAAGTTGAACTAGTATGAAATTATTAAAACGAACGGAACTGGGTTTGAATTCGGCTTACTTGACTTGGAAAATCTTTTCAGATGATGAAGAACAAATTCTAATGTTAATAAGAAAAATCTCTGAGTTACTGAAAATTTTTAAAATAGCAAACCTTGTTTAAGCAGTGGCAAAGACATGTCAGCTTTTCCGGGAAACTATCGAAGGCAAAGGAAAACAATTCATAAAAAGAAAAATTTTTGAAAATGTACGAAAAAATTAAAACTGCAATGTCGTGATGACTTGAGATCTGGTGAAAACAAATGCGAATGAAAAAGATTCAGAAATGGAATGAAAAATCACAAATTGGCAAAATATGAACTTTCCGTTACCTTTCTTTAGTTTCAATCAGTTGATTAACAAGCATCTTCACCAAAGTTAGAACTGAGTTCGTGTTGGCCTCTATATCATCACCATTTTCAATTCTGCAGAAAGAAGCATAGCACGTTTTGAGAATGAAAATAAAACGAAACTAATAACAAGGCTATGTCGAACAAACTCCCTAAGCACGTTTTTACATTTTCATTCTTAAACATGCGAGTCATAGTGGAACTTTGATGAACTTTGTCTTTTCCTTTGCAATTGGTACAGTTTAGGGTTTATCTATAGTAGTTTCTTTTAGCTTTTTAGATTTGATGGTTGGATAGATAAGATATGCACACATAAATTAAACTCAGACAATGAAAGTAAACTATCATTTCTTTGTATGTTTCTCTTAATATTTTCCAAGTAATTTTTTGATGTCAAACTGTGAAAAATGTCTTCCACATACATTCACGAGCAAAAAGGAGCTAAGCAAAGATTTATCAATCATAAGGCCATATTTTCTATTCTGCCGATCTACCAAGCAAGGTTCAAGTCAGCCCTCACCTGGTTGGGTCCACCTCGTACGACTTCTCTTTCTCGTGGACCATAATCGCCATGCAAGGTGACAACAGCTCCTGTAGATACCCACAGCCGTAGAGCTTGAATGCGTATGCCATTGCCTTGCTTGCCAGGCTGTTGCCTCGAAACAAGGTCTGCATGCCCTCTGCCAATTCTACCTATTACGATGAGAAAATCATATTGAGCAGCTAACGATACTGTTTCTAAGCCATTGAGAACTGGCCAAAGGAATTGCATCGCGCACGCTGAATCCAAGAAGCTCTGGTCTATGAGCCTGAAAGCCCGCGTGGGAATTCGTGACTTTAGGGTTAGAGAGTTCAAGGCCAAAGTAATAAAGTATCTACTCGATCGCTTCCGACAGAAATTGGCGTGAAAATAATAAGTTTGTTTGCAGAAAACGAAAGAGAATTATAAAAAGTCCAAAAGAATTCGTCGTTATAAAAGCAAAAGTTGTCGATAGCAAATCAAATCAGTATTTCTATATTTCACAGCAAATCGCCAACTTTCATTTAAATTTTGGTTACAATGCACACTGTTGATTACCTCTTGCCGAAAAAGATTTGTCAGCAGCTCGGACAACATGCTCTTAGAGTCGAAAACATTAACAAAAACTTGAGTTAAGTCATCCTGCAACACAAAATAAAAATAGAAAATTTTGACAAATGTGATAAAAATTGTCTTCATTTTACAGAAAAAGGTAAACAATTTAATAATAGCTTAAGAAATTAGAAATTATAATAAAAACTTAGCTTTGCAGAAATGATGGACAATAAATGAAAACATGATTGAAAAGTTGAGCGACTCATTTGTCACAAAATTATCCTCTCCCAGCAGAAATTTGACATTTGAACAAAAAACAAACAATTAAATTATTAGATGCCATATCCACTGTTCCTCTTCTACTCAAACTTTCTCTATCCACTCCCGTATTGTAACCAAATAAAAACACTAAAAGAGCTACAAAACTTTGAAAAAGAGCTGGACGTTTAACGCTCGTAACAGAATACTTAAAACTCGATAATCTAATAATCTTACAGCACTGTACTCTGAAACTTGTAAAAACATAGTTAGTTAAGTGAAATTTAAAAATTAGAGCCTGTTTTTTAAAGATTCACTTTTTCAAAAGATATTCTCGGCGGGGGAAGTTGCGTAGGATCTAAACACAGGATCATTATTTTGCTCTGGTTTTATAAAAATGAAATCAAAGATATTTGTAAATACCAGCTGCTCTGATTGGACAACATTCGCAAGAGCCATTGCGATTGGCAGATCCCCATCCTCACTTAACCACGTGACTAAACCAATAAGCCTTTCAAACCTATCCTCCAGGACAGTGTCAGCAAGATTTTCAAACTCCGTCCCCTGAAACAAAATTAAAAGAAAGTTGCAGTCTAACTGTAGCTGGCCAGGTCTCGTGAATTCAGGGCAAGATGCAAAAGTTTAAGAATTTGAAAAGCACATACAAAGATACTGCTTCATGAGAACAGGAACCTCGTGACCGTTGCAAAAAGAATCCATAAAAATTTGCTGTCAAACAATTGACAAATGCAAGGAACATCGTCAAAACAAAATATTTCAGCTACGCAAGCCAAATGCTGTCTTTTTCGTTTCTATACAACCAAGGCCTGCAAAGTTCAGGTTATTCGAGCCGAGAAAGAGTAAGTGCTTTCTTGACTCCAGTTACGGGAGGGTAGTGTGGAAAGTTCTCGACCCAATTGGGAATTTAAATGTTTGTCACAAAGTGTACGAAAAGAAGATTGACTGTTGAAATCTCTCACCTGCTTCAGGATATCCGTCAGTACTTCCATGAAGGTTGACCTCGTTTGGGGGTCTTCGTGGTAACCAAGACCTAGAAGTGAGGACGTGTGATTGACATATGTAACTTTAAAGACAGCGTTTTGCAGACCACTGAAGAGCGGCTTTCCAAATTCGAAAAAACCTATACACATTAAAGTTTATTTGTCAATGAGTATACTGGTATCGAATAAAGTTGTTATGTGCGACAAACAATGTTATGTGTGAATGGTTACGATAAAGATTGCATATTTATGCTAAGTAAACAAGGAATAAACTTGAAAAACCAAGTAAATACCTATAGAATGCATAAGACCGCTGTCAATGTTTGCGCTGAGCATGTTTGACATCGCTTGGACCGTGCTCCCTCGCAGGTTGATAAAATGCGGCACAGGGACACCAGGTCTCACCGAGCCTTCGTCGTGGCCTTCGTAGCATTTGTTGAGAATGTTCATGAACAGCGTGAAGTACCTTGAAGAATTAGATACAAATCACTAAAGTAGATTAGATTCGTATTACCGTAACTGGAGATTTCAATCAAGAAGATTATCTCTTTTGGATTACAAATTTACGTGTATACTTCAAAAAATGGTGACGTGCTAAGTTTATACCAAACTAAAGTTTTTTTAATTTTATTCTATCCAATGCTTGAACAAAAAACCAGTCACATTGTAAATCAAAGCCTTGGTAATGAACGGCAATCTTAATTGTAAAGATTGATGTTCAGACGATGCAAAAGCTTTGAAATATGTACTGTTACCCAGAAGAAGTCAGAACACAATGACAAGATCAAAGAACAGCAAAGTTCATAAATTGAGCGTAGAAGGAGAGAGGTAAGTATGAGCATTAATTTCCATCTATTGGTAGCATTTTTGAAAATATTTTCCCTTTATTCTAGAAACTCCTCTCCCAATACCAGAAATTTCCCAATAACTACAAAAACATTGAAAACAGTTTAAAAGAAACTGAACAAAGATAACGTACTTAAGAAATAAGGATGATTTTGCCTCAGTGATATCTGACTCCACATTTTCTGGTTGCAAAGGCAAGCTTTTCAGCAGTGCCACAATTGCTTTCATCGCTGCTTCATCTAATGTCCTAAAAGTAGGGATTGGTAAACAAATTAAGCAGTTTCTAAAGAAATAAGAATAACTTGACTTCATCTGTTCAGTTCTACATAATCATTCCGGGACAACTTTCAGATTTGTTTGGCAATCAATAAATTTCCTGGTATCAACCAAATAATTAAGCAATTTGAAGCTGACTGTATATTTATGAATTTCTGGTTTATAACCTTATCTTGATATCTCTAGCAAAAAAATGGATGTTTGATGATCGCATTAAGCGTGAATCTCATAGTTGCAACTCGTCCTGTTCTAAGCACCAAATAGTGTGCACAGCTCTGCCTATATGGCATCGACCATCGAGCATTCACAAAAAGACAATCATTTATAAGAATATTCTTCTACCTTTGTCCACACCATTTTTCTATGTCTTGTCTATGTCTATATTATTACTTGTCAACCTGTTTCAAATTTGTTCTTTAAATAGCAATAACAGTAAAGTTTCTATGACTCTCACTTCTTATATCCATCAAATTAAGACAGACAAGTAAAAAACATGCAAGAAAAGTGAGCAAGGCGTACATGAACAAGAAACAATAGAAATGATTACAAACCAGGAGATTGCAAGAATTTCTGGAGCAACTTCTTCTATTTCTGTGGACGCATGTAAAACCCATTCGGTGATGTAATCAACCAATTTGTTTCTAAATTTCATTTCCTGGCGAAAAGCTAAATCCACCCGTCGTGCCATGATCTAGATTGGAAGCAAAACAGTTTAATAAACTTTCGTTGATACAAGAAATTAGATAAAATAAAAGGCCACATTCTAAACAAAACTATCTATTGAAAACTAAACCAACAGAATTAATCTGATCCATAAGGGTAGCAAAATAGTTTATCAAATTTGAAAACTTAAGGCACGTTTCTTTGCATAACAGCCCAATGTCCTCATAGAGATGTATTCTAAGTAACTCACACTTTCAACGAGCTGGCACAGCTTCGATTTGATGATGAGGCTCTGGACTGTGACCGGAAGTGCCCTTACATACCTGGAAGATAAATTGGTATTGATAAATGATGCAAAGCAGTGTTTTCGGACTCGAATACCATGCTAACTTCCTATTTACTATGTTTGTAATGGAGTTGTTTATAAAAAAAATCATCAAAATTACTGAACAAAGTGAACAAATACAAGAATTGAAGAGTCTATAAAAAGAACTTGAAAAACACGAAATCTCACTTACTTTATAATTGGCAAAATCAATTCCTCTGTTGGCATGTAGCCTAACATGAGAGTAACTTGATCTGACTTAGCATCCAGCATGCTTTTAAAAATGTAAATTATTTGTTCGATGTAGACTGTGTTCGATTCGTTGATTTCAACCTAAGAAAAAAATTATACTGGCTAGCCAGTTTGGCGAATGTTCTTTACATAATAAGGAATTTAACGGAAACTTTGGAATTTCAGGACTTTACTTGCACTTTATACATATGTTTTAGCTTTCAACTGGCCTACGTAAAAACGCAAAAATAAAATGAGGTGGGCATGTGAAGACAAAAAAAGATAGCGTCCTAAAACATTTTCTTTTTCAGAACTTACAAAGAAACTAAAACACTTTTTGAATAAATAATCGACAAGTAACGAAAACTAAAACTTTCACATTTGAATGCGGAAACTGCCTTTATGACGAAAAGATCGAAAAGCGGTACAAACGACTGAGAAAAGAGGCATTACCTGTCCCTCTGGGAAAAAACAGTGCTTCGTTGCCTTTGTCAAAGTGAAAAAAGATCTGAATAGAGCAGGACTCAAGTCGACTCCAAGGGATTCCTTGACACCACTTCGAACCTGAAGAGCTGTTTGCTCGTTTTGACAAACCAGAAGTGTGAGCAACTGGCTAATGAACCTGATGATGAAGGATATGGGTAAGATTTTAATTAAATCAAAGATTGAACAATGTTTTCATACGAAAATTTTGCATTGAGGAGCATTGATAAATGTAACATTTAGGAACTTATCCTAGCAAAAAAGCAGCAAAAACCGAAAACGTTTAGTCTTTGGCCTAGAAAAAAGAAAAGCAAAACTTGAACATAATTCTTTGTAGTTCGAGAACAAATGGTGGATTTTCGACATCACAATTCACTGACCTGTTTACAGGGGAATCTGGCAAGGTTTCTGCCAAAGTCGGCGCGAAGTTGCCACTTGTAAATGACTTCTGTATCACGATGCTTGATGTCCTTGCCAAAGGTCTAATGAAGATCATTTATTTTCGATCAAAGATAACACCAATTAAGGAACAACTGCTAAACATTTATATCAATTCACCCTGATAACTAGAATCAAGCATTGGCACTCATAATATCTTTTCTCGCCAATTATAGCTATAAAAATTAGCTAAGTATAAAAATTTTGTTGTTCATAATCCATAAGTATATATATTTTATATTTATCTATAAATATGCAGATTATGTGTCAGGAAATTATGCAATCTTCAATTAGACGAAGCCAGTGTATAAAATTTTACGCATGACGTCGCACCAATAAGATTTCAAGTATTTTGAAACTGTCTCCCGCAGTTCTACATCTACATACATCAAGTGGTTTTAAACAACCGTTTCTTAGTTGGGGGAAAGGAGGAGAAAGAAAGGAGATAAACTGAAACAATCAGAGAAATGAAAGTAAAGCAATTAATATCACAATAAACTATAAGAATTTTTAGCAGGACTAATATTTCACACATACCCTGGTTCATTTTCTTCGTGAATTCCCCCAAGAGAGCATAAGAAACCAGTCATGTTTGTCCACTCAGCAAGATACATCTAGTTGCAAAGAAAGAGATATAAAATCAGCTGACATAGAGAGTCGCCTAGGGCATCATTGGCAAGGCAGAGCTTACGAACGCATGATACAAGGTATAGCTTAGACCAGTGCACGAAGAAATCTAACTTGTCAGATTATATGTTTTGAGGCTCTGGCTGAGGCTGAGACTTGTGTGAATTCATTTTAGTAAAGTTTCAATTTCTTTTAAAAAAACTTTGAGTAAAATTTCATTTCATAGGCACTTTAACCATTCCAATAAAGGAAAGCTTTATACGCAATCTTGAAATGGGGTACTAAACAGCCATGCATGAAATGGTCTTCACAACAATGATAAGTAGAGCTTTCTTTCGATACATTACAGTATAAAAAATTAAAGAAAAATTCTAATATTTAAGTTCTTACTTCGAGAAGGTCACTTGGTAGTTGCGGAAAAACACCCGACCCAGTCTTCTTAAGGCCCGTCATTTTACAAGGCTCGACTGGAGGAAATTCTTTCACAGGATAATGGACTAAGGCTTGTGTCAACTTATGCCAGCGATTCAGTGTCAATTCCCAGGCCTGAACGAGAACAATGTGTTACACACACTAAAATACATGACATTGAAAAACCTTGTTAAAGAACCTTCATAAACATGGCATTCATGAATGATTGAAACTGTTGCTTTGAACTTGGTACATAGGATGAAACACAATAAAAACACAAGTGCCAAGGTTTATTCTAATGACATAAATACAATTGTGGCATAAGCATCAAGTTTGGCTGTACAATCTCTCAATAACTGACATTGCACAAAGAATGAAAGAAAAATAGCTAAGTTAAGATGGGTATCACAAACCTCGAGATTTCCTGCAGTTGCTACGTTCACCTGTCTCAAAATACCCATGACCCTTTTCTGCAATGCTGCCCGACCAGTAGTCACCTGCTGACTTTCGTGGCCAAATTTATAATACACGGTGTACAGCGGAGGAGGATGTATCTGGTTGTTGCCATCCAGCGTCATCACGAGGCTAGCCTCCTCGTTTAGCAAGGCAAAACATTCCATCGACAAAAGCACTAAGTTCTGTTCCGAGCTCCACAGCGACATTAGAAATATCACCTAAAAAAGAAGTTGTTGTTGAATACACGGTGGGTAGGTGTACTTTTTGAGAATACTAAAGCCCGACCAAGTCGAGAGCGTTTAGGCGGGGCTTTAGAAGCACCTAAACTAGACAATGATAATCAGGTTAACTTAGATATATTGACAATTGTATCATTTTTTAACTAGATCTACTGAGCTGTTACCTTGATTAACCAAAGCTTACTTCACAATAGTTGCTGATATACTAAAAAGTCAATTTCCTTTTGACTTGAAACTAAAACCTTGCGGGCAGTTCCCTGACAATACGCTAACTACAACAAATACTTGAACCAAACTGGCAACCAAGAAGATTGGTAGAAATCGTACCTCAACATCATGAAAATATGTAGCCTGCTACAACCGATTTGGTGTATAGAACTGGGCGGTTCTAATACACCAAATAGCGTGTGCAGCTCTGTCTATACGGTATCGAGCTCTTTATGACAGACTGGTAAACAGTAATTTTCAATAGCCTACAACACCTATGATGCAGAGAGAGATATTCATCCAGATTGTGATCAGACCCTCACCTCGAGTTTCGATATTGCTTTAGCGCAAACGGATATGTGAGTACCGATGGCCGCTTGCTCCTGCAATGAAAGACCAAAAATCTAAAAATAATAATCAAAACTGACAAAAAGTTGTGCCATCCACAGAACTTAGCAAGTCTCATTGTCTTATTGTTTTGCAACAAAACGAAACTTACATTCTTATTGGCTTCATTTTTGCTTGAGAATCAACTTGAATAGCCCACCATTGAATAACTCACCATCAAGTAAATTGAAATTTGCTTGCTCCCGTTGACGAAATAAAGATCCGTATTCCATTGACGGATGGCTTAGAATGTAATCAATCTTCAACTGCCCGACACCACCCTCCCTCCCTCGACCGCTCTGCTACATAACAAGGTTTAAAAATTTAGTTGTGGAAAAAGCGCATACCTTGTGTTTTCTGAGAAATTGGACTCTCTTTCTTAGAAGTTGCTGAAGCCATTTCATTTTGCTCAATTGATTAGATATCTTTTCCTGTTGAAGTTTTTCGGCAATGTTGCAAATCACATGGGAGCTACAAAGACAAAAGACATTCACAAAGTGGAAAACCGGTTCGGGAAAATGCTCCCAGGAGATTAGAATTACATGGCGAAGTAAATACTTCCTTTTCTAGTCTAACAAAAGATAGGACATTCTGCAAATCTTCATTTTTCTTGAAAGGCGGAAATAAACAAAATAATAATAAGAACGGCGTTAATTTTTTTATCATATCCCTCCGAATATCAAGGGTCTAAGCGATCGTCTAAAATGTAGTGCCTCGATTCACACCCAGAAATGGGTAAAAATACAAGTAATTTTTGCCAAAAACAGCGAAAAAAGTCATTCGTGCAGTTTGCAAAAAATACTTTGAGCTTCGGTTTGTGTCAGATAATGTTGTTCAAAGTACATATCCCATTATCATAGATTAACAGTTTTTTGGCGGTACAGAACTTGAAAATGGCTATGAAAAGATCAAAAATCATTTGCTGAGGCGAGCTAAATCATTAACACATAGAATGTACTTTAAAAACAATTGACATATGACTTAATAAGCCCCTTTAGTATCTGTTGGTTGCCTTAAATAGCCTCAGTCAGGAGTGTGCTGTTTTACTTCTTTCAATTTGTATTTGCTTTAACCGAGTCTTAGGCACCCCCTTTATTAAACGTCAGAACATAGATGGAAAACTCGCTAAAATTCCCAGTTTTGGATCGAAATCAGAAAACGCGAGCACATTACTGTTGAGGTTGTCCAATCAGTGCCGCTTTCCTATTGAAAATATTACCAACGGAGTCCTAAGGTGAAAACGAACTCATTCGGTCTACACAAAAGCGGTCTGTCATGTTTATATAGTAGATAGCTAGATGGAACGATGATCAGGCTTTGCCAATAATGCGAAACATGTCGCTGTTATAGTTTTTCTGGGTTTTTCAGTAAATGCTGCTGGGTAGTGGAATTCCATGTTTTGGTTGTCGTTTTTGATCTGCAAGACAGAGTACCTTGTTCTTTTCGAGGGATAGTTTGGTTTCTATTGCTGGAAGGGACCTGCTGTCTTATTATATCCCCAATCTACAATTCCTACCAAATTCTTCGACTTTCCTTCCAAAAATATTCCTGTTTCTTGAGATTTAAAGGTTGTAATCGCTACAAACGTACCTTTCAGTTAACTATCCTTTTTCAAATAGATCGAAGTTTATGCCTATCATAACAAAAACCGCCCAACCAGCAAAAAGTAAAATGCAAATTATGCAATGATGGGAGAAATCGCTGTTACAAAAATAAACCAATTAACCCTTGTACGTTTTCAGGGTTCTCTGAATAGGAAAAGTGCAAATGAATGGAAATTTTAGGGGAGCGATTCTCCTTTCATGTTGTGTTTAGGAGAGCAATTCATAGCTCGCCTCAGGTTGCGAGGGGAGCGTGGAGGCGAGCGCGAGCTATCGCTCGCCTCAAACGACCAGGCCTGCGAACTCCTTATGTCTAAACAATGGCGGCTTTTTCGTTTGTATAGATCGACTCCAAAACTGCTAGATGGAAGGACGACCGGGCTCTGCCAATTATCCGAAACATGTCGTCATTATAGAATTTTGCACAATCTGGGTTGTCTAAAAGGTGTTGCCCTAATGCAGAGTCATTAGTTTTAACTTTGTTTTTAGACCTACAAGATCGAGGAGGCAGTGTTCTCTTGAGGGGCAGTTTTGTTTCTTATGTTGAAAGGAACATGCTTTTTTATCCTATCCCCCAATCTTCGGGTTGTTCGTCCTACGTATCCAGAATCACACTGACACATGAATTCATAAACAACGAAACTTTTTTGGTTGGTAGGAACGCAATCCTTTTGAATGAATGGAAGGGCTCTCCTATTGCTGTAAACAATACGGGGATGAACAGCAAAGAAACATTTTGTGATGGCCTGTTTAATCTGACTTTCAAATTGCAAGGAAGTGTTGCCAATCCATGGTAGTTTCAGATAAACTGGACACTTTTGCGGACCAAGTTTCTGAACAGCCGAAATACTTGTGATCTTCTCCTTAGTATAATACATCATAGCTTAAAAAACGTGAAATCATCCTCTCGGTTTTCACAACTGCCGTTATTTGAATAAAATTTGATACAAATTTTTGCACCATGGTACTGAACCAATGCATATTAAGGAAAATCGCATACCTGATCTCCCAAAATGTGGCAATCGGGGCTTCAGGGTTCCACAATTCAACATTGTCCGTTGAGTGCAAACATATCAATGTCTGAAAAAAAAATTAATGATATATTATATATAATGATATCCAGTTAAATATTATATATTATATATAAAAGATATAACATATAATGATAAATTATATTTAAAATGATATCCAAGAGCAACCAAAGAAGAAGGTTTGACATTTCTCAATGGGCTTAGGCAAAAAGTAAATAATGCGATGTATTAAAAACTGAATTTATAGCTATCTAGATCCGTGGCTGAAAGCGCAAGAAACAAAAAGGTCGGATACCAAAATGCCGGCAAATGATGGCTTTTTGGCTGAATGTCAAATAATTTGATTTTAAATCTATCTTCTATTTCTCAAAGTTAAGCATACGGGCCAGTGTGCTGCAAACATTAATCTTTTCAGAACCAGTCCAGGATTTCATGAATCCAAATGAATTCAAATGAATCAAAGTGAATCCAAATGAATCCACACTGAATTCTGCAGGATTCAATCGATTCCTGTTTAACTTTAGAAAAAAGAAATAAAAGTCACTTTTACCTCTGCTGCCTCCGCAGCTACGTCAGGAATATTGTCGCACATTGCAACAGAAACTAAACCGTCCATAAACTGCATGGAGCTGGCTTGGATCTCGTGGCCAGCTCTCTCTGGATTCTGAAGGATAAAAGAAAGATTAACTTAATGAAACTAACAGTACTGACATGAATAGGATACGTAGAGACAGTGGATCGAATGTGTAAAGTAGTTGAGCTGGTTATCGAGGCACAACTTTTTTGACCCATTAAGACACCTTGCGGGCATAGAGAAATCAAGCGGGTATAGAAAGTGTTTGACTTTGTATCAACACAAGCAAAGTAAAATAGGCGATGTTTAATTATTTATCGGAAAATTTGATATCAACATTAAAAAACTAAGGAAAATACATTACAGCCCAGTTATGCTACATGTAAATGATTTTTCTTAGCTAACTATTTACAAATTTGATATTAACATTTCATATGTAACATTTAATAATCTTAATCTAAATTCAGCAATTGAATTGATTCCTGTGCATATCTCGCTTAATAAAAGCGACAGGTACTACTTGGTCGTATCGATAGAAGAGTTAGGCACACAAGGCAAAAATTGCTTACGTGCAAAGCGAGCATTGGGTCTGCATTAAACAGCTTCACGAGCCACAGCAACAACTGGGCCTCCTTTTGCAACTGACTAGCCTCGTCGTCTTTCCTCCGGTCTTTGATTTTCATCATCTAAAGAAGATTTAAAGAATTTGATAAACAACCTCGCTTGCTCTATAATAGCATCTTTGTTTGGGAGCTGCATAATGTGCTCTGGGCCTTCTTGACTTGCGCTGGCACAAACGTAAACAAAAGTCTCGTTGTTCGGTACTTTCCTTTCGCGAACTATCAACGCCCTTGAAGCATATGGATCTAGCTGTTCATTCAGTGGAGATGAGTGAAGGGTATGTACAAACAAGTTTAAAATGTTCCTGACATTGACAAAGAATGTGCACAGTGCTTGACATTGTGAAAAAATGACCACTTTGATCAAGTGGACGGTAAACGAGAGCCGAGCAAAATTACCCAAAATACAATTAGAAACTGTTTAATCAGACTTGATTAAAAATATGTTTTTATAAGACTTTTAGAATTTTCACTGGGCCTTCACAAAGGGTGTTCTCAAACATCGATTGTTCGTAAACATAAATTTTAATAGCATAAATTTTCGAAAACTCGTTTTATACCAGAAACAATGAATATGCAAAGGAAAATTTTGCACCCTGAAAATCAGTTTTTATTGATGAAACTTACCGATGAGCGATGCGAAGATTTTGTTGCCTGCCCATCTGCCATTGTCACCTTTTTAATCGAGGCCTAACCAAAATAGAGAAAAAAAATCAAAAAAGATATTCTTAGAGAAAATGTCTAGAGCAGGTTGAATTATAACATGTGAAAAAAGATACAAAATTTATATTACAACGAGCAGTATGATTTATTAAATGCATTGGACCGAACAATGTCTCTACTCTTCATTAAAATACAAAGCATTACCTGAAACAAAGCTCGTAGCTGATTTGCCTTGCTGTACAATACTTCCACTTTGGGCCACCACCTTAACGGTTTCTAAGAAAAGAACAATGTACGAAACTTAGACTGCTTCCACGGAGACAAATCGTATTTCAGTTTCATTAAGAAAGTGGAAGTGACGGATTTTATTGCCTTTAACATGTACGTTGATACAAGCCGCAGATAAATAAGCTAGACCAAAAAGCAAATGTTCATAGTACATTGGTACAATGATGGTGAAATTTCCTTAAATTTAATAAATCGCTTCAAAATAGCTCGATAGCCTTCGTTCCTAAACTACACTTAGTATGAGATGTCGGATAATGGCCAACTTATCTTTGTTTAAACAATCAGCGATGGCCACCCCCAGCGTGGGTTTAAGCATAAAAGGATCTTTCAAATACCAACACGAAAAAAAGACCTTACTTGTGATGGGTTTTATAATCACAGCCATTAAACGCGCTGGTGCACCAACGATTCTCAAGCAGATTCACCCTAGGTCTTTGGCTAATGGAAATTGTGCTTGGACATTCAGACATTCAAAAATGTGAGATAGTTGTTCTCTTTTAGCGCAGTTTTTTACAAAATGCTTGAAGGAAGATATCGGTTACCTCTTGATATATTGTTTAGTTTGTGAAAAAGCTTCCTATACACAAAGAGATATTACAATTTGAGGAAAAAATTTTGAAATGTTGAACTTAGAATTGAGGAGAACAAAAAGCTAATCTACTTTATAAAAATTGACAATTTTATAAAATGCGTGTTATAACCGCAAAATCACGAACCTCTTTGACGATACGGTAAAGGCCCTTCACCAGGGACAGCTGGAAAGTCAATGGGGCGTCGATTTGGAAGCAAACTTCGAAATGCTGATTGTTACGAAAATTGATGCGAAAACTGGCAACAAAGCAGTCTGTCATGATATCAACAACCGAGACGCTTTGGGAGAATGTAAACGTCCTTGAGGAATTGAACAGCAGGGACTAAAATGACAAAAAATCAAGAATATCACGAAAAGGTAACGAAAACAATAATTAATCAGCATCTTTATGTGTCCTACAATAGGTAACTACTTCAATAAACAAAGATAATTGAAGAAAGTTTTCAAATATCCGGGAACATGACTAAATAGCATATTTGACATGAAATCGAGTTTGGCGAGTGGTTTTCAGTTGCCTAATGATCAAATTAGGCGAGAAACTCGAGGTTTAAGAAAAAAGATGTCTTGCTCTTTAAGTCTACTCCCAGCAATTGAATTCAATTTGATACACATAAGATACTTAAATTAAAAACACAAACATCACGAAAGCTGATATAGTATCGAACTTAAAGAATGTCAAACTAGCCCAGTTACTTTTGGTGCTATCACTGATAATAACTTAATTATTTGAATTCCACTTTTTTGCTAACAAGTTGTTATGAATATGGTTTTTTTATTCAAATATTCGCTGGAATTTCCCGTTTTGCTCATTGTTTCTTTCACGGTCAGAATTCTTCTAAAATCAATTACAGAATTAGAGCAAAATTTAACACACTTGACAAAGTGTCTACATGTATAAAGCAGAAACTCAGGCTTAAACCTAACATGATAAGGAAAATTTTCAAAATTACCTTAAGCTCGTTGAGAACCTCCGCGACCAGGAAGCACACGACGTTATCCTCCCTGTTTATATAAGTAGATGCTTTGCAAAGTTGAACACACGCAATGACTGAGCTTTCGGCAGTAGCTTTGCCGCTTACCAGGGCCTTCTTCAGGTTGTCCAGAAATGTTCTCTACAATAAAAAATGGCGATAAACTAACAAGGTTTGGTACTACTTTGTACTACTGAGACAAGGTTTGAGGACAGGAGTGATTTTGAATTGTATGAAATGTAAGTGGAAAGAAGAGCCTTATATAATTCTCATATTTTATTGGTAGATTCAGAATTGTGTAAAATTTTTGGACAATTTTCATATTGTGAAAAATTTTAAAAAAACATCATAGACTTGCTGATGGGCGATGAAACTTTTTATGCTTATAGAGGTTTACGTACATACTTGTATAAATAGGTAAATAAATGCCATTGTACAGAAAGCTTCACATGCAGGGTTGGCGGCCAAATACTTTACGTTTGACGGCCAAATTTGGCCAACCAAATGAAATATACATAAAGCTATATTTTTGCTAATTTTTTTGCTACTTTTTTGCTATCTTTTATTTTGTTTCTTTATTCGTTATTTGCAACTTTGAGATTATTTTAACAACATGTTGAATATTTTCTATGCTAAAGTTGTCGTTTTCTTTGTATTTTTGTGGCTTTCAACAAATGGCCAAAATTCGGCCAACTTTCGCTTTTTCGGCCAAATTAATTTTTGACGGCCAACAACATTGAAAAACGGCTAGAATGGAACAATTTGGCCGTCAAAACGGCCAAATGGCAACCCTGTTCACATGGAGTGAACATAATGTGATCTCCAAATTACCTTTAGATAATTCTGCCCTTTCGAGAGCTCACCATTACCAGCCGCTTCTCGAACAGATTGCTGAAAAAGAAAATAAACAAGAATGCTTTTGACAAGTATATGGCCCAAAAATAACAGAAAATTTACGCTGCAAGCGAGTGCAATGACAGGGCATGAAACTAAAATGTACCACATTAACTAGACATTGTCTGACAGGGTCACAACGAATAGGCCTAAACTGGCACTATTCATCAAGTGAGACACAATAGCAATATCAAGGCAATCTTTGCGAGCAACAGTGATATCAACAAAATATATTGGATTCAATCTCTCCTTCAAGTTTCAGGTTTAAAGTTTGAATGCATGTTAGAGTTTTCTTATTGAAACAATAATTGAAGCTCTATAGTGCTAAAATTTTAACAATGAGACAGTGAAATTATAAAATCGTAGGGCAAAAGAAGCACAATCTCAAACCTGAAGGTGAGTCGGAAAAAAACCCTCAAATTTAACGCAACGAAACAGCTTTGAATACGAAGCTTCAACCCCCTCCAAGCTACAAACACCTGTATATTCGATCGCTTTCTACCATAAAGTTTCCTTACCTGACACAACAGAAGCACCATCACTTGAACAGGCCAAGTTGCCGAGCGCTTCTTTGAAGATTCAGAGAAAACATCAACAACGACAAACAACTTGTCACTGACATCTGTAAAACAGAAAAGAGATTCATTTTTTGCCAAATGTTTTGTCTTCAGTTATCGATACGCTCGTTCGTTTTGTCAGTTGACCAAGAGGTTCTATTGGTAATGAGAAAATTGGGTTGGATGACCTGACCTTAATGTTGCTCTTTATTTTAATACTTGGAAAAATTTAAAATTTTCACTTGTCTTTATATTTTATTACTTGATAACCTTGTCATAACAAACAAAACTTCCATTTTGAGTTGTCTTTCTTAATATCTAAAGAATGATGTGAATCTTGCATCCACTTTGTTATCACACTGCCCCTTATTCATACTGTTCTGCATTGCTAACTAAGGGATTTCTAATCCGCGTTTCGGAAAATATTTCAATGAGAAGCAACAAAATGTGTGCAGGTGTTCACTTTCTGCATAAAATCACTTCTTAGGTATGCTAAATAAGGACATAATCCATTCTAATGATATATATCCAAATACAAAACAATTAAAACTGAATGTGGGAATTTGTAGAAAAAAGGAAAAAAATCACAAAAGAAAAGATTTCCACAAATTTTCGGAAAAAAAAATTTAATTCCTTCTCCGAAATCTAAACAGATAAATCTACTTCACTTCAGAAGATGACCTTCTCGCAAAACTTAATACCATTTATCATAATAATAGCAATTATACTGACTAAAAGTAAACTATTGCCAATTAGCATTTAATCTGTCCAGTCTTTCGAGCAACAGATAAACAACTCCAATATGACAAATACCCAACTACAATGTCTAAAGTAAACTTACCCGAAAGCTGGGTTTGTTGTTCCCTGTACAAAGCTCCAAATTGCTCAGGGTAATTCTCAATCCAGTTCCAGATCATCTGACAACAACAAAATCATCCTTATTTCGTGAAGGCTGCATTCAGCTTCAATTGTCATTACAGTGGATCTTTTCAAATCAAAACAAAGCAATAGTTTCGAGGTTCTTTATTCTTAATCATCCTTATCCGACTTTTATAAAACTTCTTCTAAATATTTCGTAACACCCACACCGTAATATGTTGCTCCTTGTTTGTTTCTGCCTCCAAAATTATATTTTCGAGTGAAATTATGTTTATAACCAAATGCATATCCTTGAATGCGCTGTCTTTTTAACAAAACAGTATCCGATGCACGGGGACACAGAGCATTTGAAATGTTAGATGTTTAATTGTCTAAAAAATAGTTGAGCCACGTTTGCTGTTACACCGAGTGACAACTCATAAGACCAGCTCATGTATAGAAATATATTCTCAAATGATTAAGACGACTCTTAACAAGTGTCTTAAATGGCACTTGTATCCTACGCAGAGCCGATCTTATTGTCATGTTCGGATGACTGTTTCTATTTGCGTGAAATTCGATGATGTAACTTAGAACTATCCTGTTACACTCACAACAAAGCGTATTTTTAAAATACACGGTCAATTTACTAAGTTTTGTTTATGATGGCTAGTTTATGATATTTACTCACCTTGTCAAGAGATTTCAGCAGGGACAGCTGCGAATGCTTCTTGAGCAGTTTGAAAAATTTTACAACCTCTGAAGAAGAAAGTAACGGTAAAAACCCGTGTAAAGGAAACTCATTTATAAGAAACGGCAGGCTGACCATTTCAAAGCAATGTACCAAAGTATAAGAAACTGTTGAGCCTTAACTCTTCCCAGTTTCTTATCAGTGGTTTTTAGAACTAGCTTTCAATTTAATGAATCAAAAACACTGCTCTTTAAAACTCGTTACTTTCTGTAAAAATAAATACCTTTTATTTATTTTCAGGCAAATCTGGTTCTTTTCTTCATGTTATAATAAACTCATCAGGCTATTTTCAATATTTATTCCTTTAAAAAGAAACTGTCTGGTCCCAATAAATGAGTTTCTTATGCGCTGGAATTTACTAAAGTGCCAAAACATATGAGTTGCAAAATAGGAACATTTGATATAATGGTGTTGTTGATGATGATGACTGATGACAATGATCAAAATGGTAAATGATGGTAATGATTGATGATCATACAAAGACCCAAGTAGATGTGTCTTACCACTCAGAACTGTTACCAATGATTTCCTGTTAACATGAAGAAATTTCATCAAGACGATGTCATCCACTGTTGATGTGCCATCTTCTCCTGCCTCAGCCAAGTGTGTAATCCTTGAAATAAAACAAATAATCCTGAGCATCTTTTAACTTCAATGGCTGACTTTTTTTAAAAAAATAATCAGCTTACAAGACTTCTGTGATATTTAACTAAAAAAAATAACTTTTTCTTGTGGAACATTTTTATCTTTTGTTTGGACCAATTCATATATGTAACATTCCATATCAAGTGTACCCGAAAATACTTCATTTGCACAGTGGCCCTCATGGATTTTTATTAAAATTTGCAGGGGTGTTAGGCTTCATAAGAGAAGCCCACAACCAAAATTTCAGGGTTCTAGGTCAACTCTAATTATTGAAAGCATAAGTATCTGGACCCTAATGATAAAAGTAGAAGTAACAGTCACTGTCTTCAACCTTTGTATACATTCTTTCAAAGGTGGTTAGGCCATTCAGAGCATCTTAGATGAAACATCACTACCAATCACTACAATATTTCATTTACACAAACAAAAAACTAAATACTTGACAGGCCTTGGTAATTTTCAAACAAAAGAATTCTGAGCCAAAATATTTCATATAATGATTCACTTGTCCACTAATAGGATAAATAAATGAATATTTTGTTAGAAAGAACTTTTTTGGTTACCTAGTCATAACTCTATTGAAAACTGCAGTGAAATGAAACTGGCTGATTTTAGACAAGATACTTCCACTAAGTTCATACATCTTTTTGTAATGACCAGCAGCTTCTTGTTGAAGGGCAAACTGCATCATAAAAATGGAAAGAAAGCTGATACACAATAAGAAAGAAATATTCAATAAGAAAAGGATTAAAACATATAAACAAAAAACATTGGGTCTTATCTGATTTGATTTTGTTTGTTTTAAAAGTGAGAATGAAACTCACTAAAATTGGGTTTCTTAAATTTAGTTATTACTGAAAATGTGTACCTTATCAGAAGTTCTAAAGATTTCAAATGATTTATCACTGTTTAAAGCTACTGACTTCAAAACATACAAATTTATCCTTTTAATTTGTATGTATTTTCTTTCCTAAACAATCACATCTTGAATTAGTGATAAATCAAGCAATTATTAACCAAAAATTATGTCTAGAGGACTTAGTGACATTAGTATACATACAATTAGACTATTCTTTCTTTTTCCAATGGGCAATGCAGGATTTACTCTTAAAGTTTTCTTAAATGCAAATGTGCAGCAAAGTCTATTTTCAACATGGAATAGTTGACTGATGGGATAAATTCCAAAATTTTTTATTCATAACAAAACAAAAACTAACACTTACAGGACAAAAAGTTGGCAAGAGCTGCTTGGAAACAACATCATCCGACATTGCGGCATTGCAATTCACATGCTAAAATTGGTAATGAAGACAAGATTGGACTATACTTCGAAGGACCAAAAACAGTATGAAAAATGAAATGGTATATGTAATTTTAAATATACTTAAAATTAAAGAACAAAAATAAATAGTTAAAACCATTGGATGATATCTTTTTAGCCAAAATTTAAAGGAAATAAAAAATGAATGATGAATATCTGAAAGTTTTAATTTAGATAAAATTTTCTAAAAAAAAACAAAATATTCCTAAAACAGCTTTACTTTTTTGAAGCATTGTAGGATTGTTTCCAAAACAATTATGTTTGAGAGACACATTCTTTCTTGCTGTTCAGATGACTGAGAATGCTGAAAAAAGGATAATATACATCATACAGACAAATAACCAAAACAACTTATTCTAAAAATATCATTTTCTACTTTTGTACATTTTACTCACAGCTTAATTGGAATTATGAAAGAATGATATTATGAAACAAACTTTGGCAATCTTATAATTAGGTTAAATTGATTATCTCAAGGTTTTTAAGATAACAAATTAAAAATTCAGCCAAAAATAATTATTTTGCTGGTTCTTGGAAATGGCTTTGATTTCCAAAGACTTGATAGTAAACAAAGGAAATTGAACATAGGGTGCAAGCCATCTCCAGCTCTACCTCTCCCCCTCCCCCCTTGATGTCCTAGGGATACTGTTGTTATTGATCTTACTGCTTCTGGAAGTTGGTGATACAATAATTCAGCAACTTTGAGGGTGTGTTCCGAGTCTAGTGCTTATAAAGAAGGTTTAACTGTGAAACCTGCACAAAATTAGCCACTTGCATATTTCCATAATGAATTATAAAAGAGAGGAAAGTGTGTGTCAAAAAATCTCACCAAATAGTTGACATCTTTGATGTAGGTTGTCAAAGCTGTGACAATGGCAGTAAATTGGTGTTGTGAAAGGTTGATAAGACTTTGGCGCACAAGACTTATTGACTGCTCTGATTGCAAGCAGCTTTGATCCCCATAGCATGGTAACTAAAATGAAAAAACTAACGTGAGATGCAGCCATGGCCTTAGCATTTTGACAGGGACAATAATTTTTTGCATAATTATGTCTAACTTCTAAAAAGATGTCAAAATAATAAAACTGGTTGGTCTCTTGCTTCCTTACCCTAAGAATATTCTTATATCCCAATCTCAGGACACATTATCATCTAAAATGGGAGATTGACCCCAAAACAAAAGAAGATCCCTATTAAGGTGTTCATTTGCTTTTTGTGGCAATTAGAATCCAAACAGGTCAAGCAGCAAACTGCTTTATTTGGGTTTCTGGGATTTGTCAACTAACAAGGAGAAATACTTGGCAAAAATTCACATTTTAAGTTTTTAAACAAAGCAGGGATTATTCGAAAGTATTAAAATCCTATTTGGCGATTTGTGGTTTCAAATTGTGTAGATGAGGCACTTCATTCAATTCATAAGGAAACAAAGGCATTCATTATTCCTCTAGCTTTGGATCAAAATCCACTTAAATTCTTGTTACAATTTTAAAGCGCCAGTTTTACGGTATTTAACATAAATAACAGTTTTTGGTAGTAAATAAATATAATCCCTTCGCTTAATAAACATTTCGCAATTTTGAACGAGTTCACTTGTTGATGGATAAATTAATTTAACCAGACCTCAAAACTATTTTTAGACCTGTAGTTCAACGAGTTATATATAAATATATCTCAACAATTGCATTAAAAAACAAAATGAAGAAATCTTGAGGTAAACCGGTGTTCGGTTTGTATTTAAAATGCACGATAGAAATGTAGGTGTGTAGCGCCAGGTCTATTTCCTGCTCTAACGGTAGGCAAACTAGCCATGCACGAGAGAATAACACTTTACCTGGGTTTTGAAGCGTTTCAGGGCAATATGCACCCATTCAAAAGACTTTTGATTCTTGTACATATTCATTCATTGAAATGAGACAAGTTTCTTCATCATCAATAACATTTTAATTTAATCTGCTGCAATGAATTTGCAAGAAAAATTGGGAGTAGGCCAGCTTTAGTCAATAAACATTTATTTCCGCAAGCCGATAAAACCGTTTCGCTGACGTTTTACCGCATACTTAACATTTGTGAATGTGTTGGCTTCCTTATTTGAGTCGGTGATTTTGCGCAAATAACTCCATCCCATTACAAAACAATTTAATTCTTTCTATTCCGGTTTCTTTCACGAATCCTTGGTTGGTTTTTTCATCCACGCGCCAGTGCTTCCCATCCTAGGCTCCTCCGCAGGAGAAGGGGAAATCATGTAGAGAAGTCAACCAATCAAGTACCAATCTAATAAAAAAATCAGTGATATCTCAAAATCAAATTTGAACTCAAGTTGTTTTTAGAAATACAAAATTTTATTCACGAGAATATTTTTGCTAAAATAGAACTATAAAATTTTATATAAGATGGATATGATTTGCTAACGGACACATGAAAAATCTTTAAGTGGGCTACTGAGTCATGTGCCCGAGACATACAGTATGATTGGTGATATTTGGAAGATTCCATTTGGAATTTAATGAAACAGTACCTAGAATAAAACAGAGTTAATTGAAAGTGGGTATTACTTAAAAGCCAAAATTTATGACAATAACTAAAGTATTTAATGACGTGTTCTAATAGGGTCACATCATATAGAGAATTTAAGGAAGGGATGCAGAGTTATAATTGAGTCAGCTTTCATAGACAGTTGAAAAATCTTGTGTGAGATGAATTTCCATCAGCTTTTTAAAGAGCTTTTTTACGCGTATTCTTATATCACTTTGTGAGGAGTTTCATATTTTTAGGCCATCGAATGTAGGAAAGTTTTGTTAAGCTAGTAAGGAGCCAGATTGAAAAGAAAAACCATGGGAATTTTGTCTTGTATTGTGTCTATTTGTTTCAAGTAATTCCTTTTCAAGAGACATTACTATTTTATGAACATTGCCAAAATTTAAAATTTTGATGCGTTTGAAGATCGGGCCTGAAGTGCAATATAGTTTGCAAAGCCCATCCTCTGGCAGTACCAATGACGGCGCCAGCCACTGAGATCTGGGGCGGATAAAGCAAAATATTTTAGGCAACGCCCTTCTTACTACCAGAAAACGCCCTTTTATCAACAAGGAACACCAATTTTACTTGAAGGTAACGCCCATGACTAACTTTTGGTTACGTAAATGCAGATGGAAAATAATAGGATTACATCACAAAATATTACGTTGCCAAAATATTAACCCTCCCCCAACATTTTCTTATCGAATTAAGACGAAATACAAAATATTTGCTGCAACTGGGGGTGCGTGTCCCCCAGTCCCTCCCCTGTGGCGCCGCTACTGGGCAGTACTAGAGTTTCATTGCCCTGGGTTCCAGAGTGTCAAGTGGGGCACAAAGTTTTATTACACAACCCAAGTTTAATGTACCATAAAGAACGTGAGTAGTGGCATAACATTTTGTTCTATAACTGATGGCCCCCGTCCAAAAGAGGCCCCCTAACTAATTTTATATCCATGTTTTTAAGACTTCGCTCAAGATCGCCACATTTCCAAAAAACTTTAAAGTTCTTCAACTGAAGCTTATATAACACATCCATCTTCCAGTTGACGAAAATAAATTCTCAATTTTACATCTTGCTATTGAATTCCACATGCTCTACAACAGGGGTGGATGATTTATTTTTACAATGGGCCATATGAAAAAACGTGAACTGTGTAGAAGGGCCAAACCAACGATAAATTTATTCTACGCAATATCCATTTTAAATATTAGAGGTGGATATGCGAAGGACACCTGAGAGGTGATCATCAGTGTAGTGTGATGAAATATCTGAATCTTGATCCGTTGAAATTCATCACTGAAAATTTGTGGTGCCGTGGAAAGGGGAGCTCAGCCCCTTCCCTCAAATTCAGATTTATTTTGGCCCCTCCCCCCCCCCCTTAACAAGTGAGTTCATATTCCGTTGGACGAATTCCGTGTTGGCAACCCTATATTTAATTATAAACATCTCACGAATGAGCAATTTCTTATCAGTCTTTTTGTGTCGTTGGATAGTTTGGATGATTGCATATACACAACTAGTAAGGGAAAATTGCTTAGGGTCTGTGACCAAATTGCCGCAACTTTGTTTTGACACTTATTTCGACATTAGGATATATAAATGGTCAACATAAAATTGAGGCCCCTCTTGCAAAAGCCTCCGCAGAGGTGCAAATAGATGGCTGCGGCCTCAAGTAGCGTCAGATGTTCTTTTTGAGGCTATTTTAACAAATATAGGTGCAAGTCATATCATTAATGTTGCAATTGATTTCAAGGATTCAGTTTTGTTAGTCAAGAATACAGAAATCTGGTGCAAATTTAATTATAGCGACAACTTTGATTCAAGCTTCTCCGCAGTAAAATATGGTTCATCTTATTTATTTTTGCTCGAAAAAAGGAACAATCCAAACTTCATGTTTTTGAAAATCGCCCATAAAATATACCATTAAATTTGTAATTATATTTGTTTGCTCTTTCAACTGATATGCAATTTTTTCTAATTTTGCATCAGTTTATGAGGTCTATAATTGACAGGGTTAGAAATTTTAGGAAAAAATATCGCAGAATGGAGTTGTCAAGTGATGACGTCAGAAAGATCTATTATTAGAATTTTCGAAATCTTTTCCCATAACCAGAAAGAGCATCAGGAAATACCTCTAAATCTTCAAAATCAGGTAAAGGTATCACGAATTGGCTGAGATATGACCAGATGAGCCCAAGCTCTGGCCCAATCAAACCTCTGTAATTTGGTCTCAGTTCATAACTTTATGAACTCAGCCAAAATAACAGTAATCCGTTTAGTAAACTTGAAATCTTCTACTGGCCATAGCTCACCCAATTTTTGACAAATTTAACTGATTTTGCATATATGTGAGTATTTTATGGTGTTCTTTCATGTTATGTGGTCAAAATTTTAAAATTGTAAGAATAGTTTTTTTTGACGTCACACTTGAAAACTCTATTACGAGAGCCAACCTAATATAACAAATAAAAAATTCAATGTAAATTTAATGTGAAAAACCAAAATATTGAAAATAAATAACATGTAAGCAAATATTTCGCCCCAGCATAGCGGGCCTCATCAGAGTATATTTTTTCAGAGTAATCGCTATTTCGCCTTCCGGTTGTGAGAATTTGTATCTGCAATTCAATGAAGGGACATTGTTTAAGTGACTGCTGGGACAGCCTTCCTTGCCTACATATTTTCAGATGACTCTGGAGGGTGAAGACTTAGGGCACTGAGGCTGTTTGTCACTGCTAAAAGTAACCTGTTCTTTCCTGAGTAAATTTTTGCGAGGGTTTCCGCCTTCTTAGATGCAGCACGATACCCTTTGATGATTGGTCTCTTCCTTGTAAAAAGTTAGATGTTTGATATGGGAACGAACAAGAATACTTTTTGCTGTGTATAAATTTTTTCGAGATTTTTTCAAATGAACAGGGTTCTACCAAACAGAACAGGGTTCCCTAAGATACTTTCTGTCTTGGGTTTGTAATTAATTGCCAGATATCAGGCAATTTTTGGGTCTGTGACTTTATTCTATCGCAAGTTGTCGCCTTTGTTCACGTCCATATTCTGAAATTGCATCTGCCCTCGGCACTCAGTACTACTACTAGAACGATAACATATTATCAATTTTTGTCAAAATATACACTAATATAACGCAGATCAAATGAAATTTTATCAGAGTTAATTTACAAGGGGTGTTGTAGTACTTGATTTCGCTAGGGGTTCTTATTTTAGATTATTTGTATTATTCTCATTTGGATGTAATTTTTCATGCTTCAGTTTGGTATTTAAGTCCTTGTGTGCTTCTTTGATGCTATTGGGAATAATAGAAAAAAGGAGTTCTGTAGTTTGGACTTTGGACACAGGAAGTACCAAAGAATGACCTCATCAAAAATCTATTTTTAGAATTTTTCAAATTTGGCCACATAATCTGAAAGAACAGCATAAAATACTTGCAGAATTAGTTAGATATGTTCCAAATTGGGCGAGATATGGCCAATAAAAGATTTCAAGTTTGCTAATGGATTACTGTTATTCTGGCCTAGTTCATAAAGTTATGAACCAAGACCAAATTACAAAGGTTTGATGGGGCAAGAGCCTGTGCTCAAGTGGCCATATCTTAGCCAATTCGTAATGCCTTTAACTGATTTTGCATATTTAAAGGTATTTCATGATGCTCTTTCAGATTCTGGGATCAAAATTTAGAAATTCTAAAAATAGATTTTTATTACGTCATCACTTTGGCACTCTATTCTTTGGGTCGGGATTATCTTGCTTACTTCGTATGCTTTTTCCACGCTGTTCTTTTCTCCCGTCCCTCCCTCCCCTTTTGATATCAGGCGTAGTGTGCTTCTTCAGATTCTTATTTATTCTATTGATTTAGGTAAGGGCCAGTTTACATCACGGGATTCATTTCAAAGTTCTTGCTATTTTTCGTTTAGGAAAGACTAAGCTCTTAATCCCTAATTCAGCCATGTTTCTCTTCCCCTCTCGTATGTTAGATATCTAAGGTAGGACTGGTGTGGTGCATCGGCTTTATGGTGGGGAAAAGTGAACTTTTCTTGTCCATTCCCTGCCCAGAACTTTAAGCTGCTTGTACTTGAGTGTATTGGCTTATTTGAAAGGGGCTTCTTTGAAAGGGGCTTATTCGAGAGAGGCTTATTCAAGAGGGGCTGATTCGAGGGGGCTTACTCGAGAGGAGTAAGCTTGTCATAAAACTCTTCTTCAGCTTGTCATAAAACTAGATTGTTTTGCAGCTTTTTTTAAATTTTCAAAATCATTTCGTTTGCAATATTACTTAATAACCCTTAATAAAATATCATATCAAAGTGAACATCAAAGCACAAAAATAAAATTTTAGCTCAAAATTTTGATATTTATATCGTCATTGTCTGTTGTTTTTTTCTTTTTTCATTTACTGATTGAATACGTTATCAGTCACGTGGTAAACTGGCATATCTTTCCGTGTATTTGGATTATACCCCGGTGCACATTTTATTACTCAAAAATTGGCATGTTGGGGTGGGGGCTTATTCGAGTGTTAGGGCTTATTGATGACGTTTACTTCCTGGATAGGGCTTTTTCGGGGGTGGGGGCTATGTGCAAATCGAGGATTTACGGTACTTTCCAAACTACAGATTCCACCTCCAGTGGTGTTTCTACGGGACGGGACCATGGGGGCCAGGTGCCTCAACAGAAATTTTCTTTGCCCCATTTTTGCCCCCCCCCCAACATTTTCGAAAGTTTTTATTGAAAATTCAATGTTTCTTCAAAGTTGTTCAATCGTTTTTTGACTTTGTAAGGGTCGCTGTCCTTATTTTTCTCAATAAGATTTTTATTACATTTATTTAACAAGCTAGGGGCCCTGATAAACGATTTTGTTTGTAACCGAGGTAAATATCAATGAAATTTTGGCAATCCGTTCTGCAGTTACCAAGAAAAATCATTCTTGACAAGCATTTAAATTCTATATTTACTATATGTTATCAGGAAGATACACCTTCTTGGGGTGGAGTGCGCAGGGTAAGCCCAAACCAAGATTCTCTGCATCCCATTGAAAACCCTTTTTACTCTAGAACCCAGCGTAGGGAAATACCACTATTATCCCAGTATACCTTGGCAATCTACTTTTGCTTATCGAACTTTTATGGTTTGAAATTCTGTGTAACAGTATTATTTGCTTAATCCTGTAGAGGTTGGATATAAGACATAACTACTTTGGAAAAATTTTACAAATCAACTTCACAAAGCTATTGTCCTTTCATTTTTAGATAGCAGATAAAACTCAGTAAAGTTAAGCCCAAAGTTACCTTTATCTAAATAACAAAGGGTCCCGCATCTTTAGGGGCTTCCAGCAACAATTTTTCCTTGGGTAAGCAGCTGCTCGTTGCGCCACTAATAAAATTATTTGGCATAATGATAACAGCCTTGATAAAGCTGTACCAAAGACACACTTACTAAAGGGCACTAAAAATCGGTATCTTGTAGCTAATTTTGAGCCACCACGCCACTGCTTCACACTCTACTAGTTTGCACAGCATTGGCTAGAGTTGACCCCTATAACTGAGCCTTTGGTCCCCGCCTAGCCCCCCCCCCCAGAATTTAATGCTAGATTCTCTACAGATTCCACCTCAAAGCACGTATGTAGAATTTGCTCGAACTTATTCGTCACTTTTCGATCCAAAACAACAACGTTGACAACACAATTGTTCTCAGTCAAATATATCGTATAATCAATGCAAACCAAATGATTCACAATCTTAGTATACATAACAGGGCTTTTTCTAGTGCCTTGACGTATAACTATTTCCGGCAAACTGGCCCCCGCCCGATCTCAAACTTTTTTCCGACAAGTACGTTTCAAAGCCGCTTATACACTGATGGCGCTAGAAATTCTCCGACGGATGAGCTTGACGCGCTAGAAATTCTCCGACGGATGAGCTTGACCTTCTGACAGGGGGCTAGGCAACCGGAGAGAAAACATGGAATCCCAGTGGCAAAAAAACGGGGACCTTTTTGTGGGGGTTTTTATAATAAAGTGTCCATAAAAAGACAGAAGACAAATATCAAGAAAGTTCTTTGTAGATCTTTTTCCGTGATTTTCTATATTCTCAACATTCTAAACATTTCTGAATAATTAAAAAGACGTCATTTAAAGGCAGTCTGTCCCCTATTGTGCTCAAAATTTTTTTCAGGGGAGAAAGATTTATGCACCGTTGAGCTTGATAGATAATTAAACGATTCAAACCAATCAGAGACAACATGGATTCTAGAGCTTTTGAATCAAGTGGCTGTGTTCCAGTTGAAGTGAAGCTGTGGCTGGAAAAATTTTGTTCTCTGTTTGGTTTTTGCGACAGATATGTCAATAGCGAGAGGAAATGTTTTCACCATCACCAATCAAATCCAGTAATTGAATATTATTGCCATTCCTGATAGCTTTTTGCTCGCAGTTGCAAAAGTCGTCCACTAACGCAGCTAGACCAGCCAAATCCGTTAAGGCGGGAAGACCCATTGTTCATATAAGCCAATCATTGAGGGGACAGTCTGCCTTTAATTATTGAACAGAATAGAAATAGGAACCTAATTTTACTCAATTTTTTACTTAATTTATTTACTCGTCATTCGCGCACCCAACCCTGAAAAATTGTAATGTGGTGTTTGCTTCTTGTTGGTTACAGTTTGCCATTTAAGAGATAGAAATTAACATACCGAGAAGCGAAGAAGAACAAATCGAAATGAAAGTGAAAACAATTAAATTTATCCTCGATTATCATTGATTTTTTAATTAATGCCATCCAGGGGCGGATGCAGAGCAAATTTGAAGGAGGGGCAGTTGCTATTGGGGGCGCTGAAAAAGTTTCAGAAATTGATGACGATTGTACGCTGTATTCACTTTGCAAGGACATTCTGTTGTATACTTTGAGGAAATTCTTGAAGTAAATTAACCTAGAATTCTCAGAAACCTTTTCACCTGATTCTCATTCTTCAAAAGGGGCGCACAATTTCCAAAAAAAGGGCGCCAGACTTGCTTCAACTCGGTGAGGGAGGGGCAACTGCCCCTAGTTGCCCCCCATCACTATGTTTCCGAGTAAGCACAAAGAATGCTGCGGCATCTGCTGAGTTTAGAACAGATTCAGAAATTTTGGGGTGTCACTCATGTGTCCTCAAGTATAGAGGGTTGTTTCTATACTTGTTTTGGTTCTTTATCTTTAAAGTTATGCCCCAGTGGTCTTTAAGCGTTTTACTTACATTGATTGTCCGATTGTCGTTCGGTATGCCGAAAGAGAGAATTCCCCGATATGGTGTGTTTACCTGGGAGTTATCTGGTTGTACATTTATGCTCAATGGGATTTCTGTAATCAGTTACTCCTCTTTTTTCGTAAAAATTTTACTCTGACAAAATTATAAATTTCCTTCGTATATCTTCTGACGGCTGGGCTATAGCCCCTCTTCCCCCACCTCCGGCGCCACCACTGCTCTTATAGATAAAAGTGTTGGTTTAGTTACCTTGTTCCTAACCTTTCTGTTTATGCAACATGGCCAACGATATCCCGATAACCTTTTTCCTAACTAAACATGTAAATAATTTCCTTGACAACGATGGTTGGTGGTTAAATTGCCCCTTCTGTTCAATTTTTAAAACTATTTTCTTCCCAGATTCTAATTTTGCCAAGATAAGCGTGCAGCTTATACCAAGCATGGCTTTGAGAGATGCCCTTGAAATCAAAGTAAAAGCCATTGGTCAAAGATGGCACCGCTTGCAAATATTCCGACAACTGGTTCACATTTAAGAATAATGACGTCATCAAGCGCATGCGCCGTTTTTTCATACTGCTGAAGGATATGGAACACAATGGAACACAATCTGTCTTTTGCAAAAGTAGCGTTACACCCATATTCGAAGTTTGTTTCAAAGTTGTCATCAGTAATCAGTATCTGTAATCAACAGTAAACCAACCAATAGGATTGGTGACGTTTATCACAAAGTTCTAAAGAACAGAACGGGATGATGTTCAGGGCATAAGATATTTCCTTAGCAATGTTATGTAAGCCAACTTGCCGATTACTTCATCATAACTAACACTCAACCCTTATTATGGTTATAGAGAGCTTTGAAAAAGTGAGCCCACATTTGGTAGAGCTAATTAGCAAGGTTGCAATCATCTTGTACTACAAAGTGTACAGATTCGAATATGCAGATTTTAAATTAGATTTTCTTATCATTTTGATGTCTTCACAAAACGCTCCGTCTACATCTTCCTTTAGAATCACCTTCTCATGCTGATTAAAGATACAAAATTTCCGAAAATTTCCGATGGTCGATGGTAGGGGGGGGGGGGGGGGCACGTGGACCTTCCTCCTGGCCTCGTTCCAGCTCCCCTCTTTCTTATCCCTTTAATTCTTACTTTTGCCACACCGCGGCTTTGACGTCCAGGCTTATCAATTCAGCACATTCTATTTGGAGAAGCCAATGAAATTACAAACTTTGTTCAACTTTTGTATGCAAAGTTATGGAGGTAGCCACAAAAAATGACAACATAAACACTTCAATATCACTCTTTTACGATGAAGGACGTCTGCATAATACAAATAAACATAAATAGAAGGTCTTCAACAGACAGTACACTCTCTACCCTACGACAAACAAAAGGGGTATAATTCGACCCCCAACCCCATTAAAATCAATGACCCTTTTAAGTTTGAAAACTCCAAATCATTATACTACATACTCGGCAAATCAAACAGGAAGAAGCCAAATTCTGGATTTTCAGGCTGTAATAGGTCTGGACACGTGTAGCTTATATATGATAATTTATGTCAATTCTTTTTTCGTTATACAAAGTCATTTTGGGTGAATAGTATCTTACAGGCTGGAGGAAGGGGCTCTGACACTAATAACGTCAAATTCATTCACAGTTCATTTTTGTAGCTCCAAAATGATACATTTTATATGAACTTGCTAGAGAAAGACGAGGCCAGACTTTGTAAAGAGAATAACTTAGGGTAATTGAAAATAACATTGTATTATACAGTTGTTCAGCGTTATCTCTAACCTGGATAACAGACTCACTACTTAGGATACGTTATCTCCAAACGAGATAGAAAGCTGGCCAAAAATTTCATAAAAATGAAATCAATTCATACCAGTGAGTTTGTAATTAATCTGGCTTTTCAGCAGTAACGGACACTTGGCCAATTATAGGGGGGAGGGGGGGGCGAGTTAATTGCTTTGATAAGATGGTGTCATACTTTCCCATTGTTTGTCTTTCAAAGTGTTGGGGGCCATCGCCCCCAGGTGTCCGCCACTGCTTCAAGCTTTTTACTTTCTACAATTTCAAGGAGTGCACCATCAAAGTTTGCTCACAATAGTATCAATATCTAACCATACGAAAAATAAAGACCCACCCGTTTCTCATAAAAGTAGAACCTGTAGAATGGCAAAATATGGAACCCATACAACCCGTAGCTCTCTCAAGCACACGAAATGCATGATTTTCGAGGCCACAATCACTTCATATAAATTAGGTCTCCTTAACTGTATTATGTTTTTCAGTCTAGTATGAAATGAATCGAATTCTTTCGGCAACCAGCACATTAATAACTCTATCTACAAGATATTGGAAGCTAGCTAGCACAACCCTAAATAACCAATTTGAATATCGTTTTTGCACAGAGGTGGCGATAAATAGTTGTTAATAAAATTAGCCAAATTTGTTAAACCAAATTTATTTGGCAAACGGTTGATGTTTAACCAGATTGGAATAACTTTATTTGCGCGCAACAAATCATCCAAGATCCAAGTCCCCTGAGGGAATAGATGACGTCGAAGGAAGCTGTGACGTTGAAGTTTCGACTGATTCGTGTCGACTTTTCTAAAAAAGAAAAAAGAAAATTCAAAAAAGCTACAATAAATCAAACAAAATCGGATCAAGCAAATTAGAAACGTTGTCCTTCGTAATAAACAAGAGAAAAAGACAAAAACCCAATACCTGCAGACATGCAAGATACCATCCCAACTTTTGCATACCCTCTAGTGCCTGTTGAGACAGGCTACAGTTCCACTCTTTTAGAAAATTCTAAAACCTTATCCCCTTAATGATCAGCTAGCCCCCTTTCTAGAAAATGACAGGCAAAAACCTATAAACTACCTACAAATACCTACAAATACCTGCATTAATTCAGCAAGTCGAATTGAAGGCTGGTTTTCACACGTTAAATTTCACTCAAGCTTTTAATTTAGTGTTTTTTACTTTAAACATAGGTTACCCTCACTCTTCATTCATCACTCCCTTCCAAAGAGAACATTTTATCTAAACCAGGGGTTCTTAATGTTTTGAGTGCCGGGCCAGAAAAACATGTGGATTTCCTCCGGGGGCCACTGAGTTTTCGACTTTTACATAGCTTGTGTCCAAAAAGTTGCATAAAATGAAGTTCGGATCTCACACTTAGGCTAATTTAGAGATAAGATAGGCCGGCCTATTATTTATTGTTAGATTCTATATTCATAAAATCTATCTAGTGCGCTTATTTTCATGAAATAAGTTATGGATTGGTAGATGAGAAGAGAGAAAAAAGGAGGGGGGCGATGATAACATTTAGGAACATGATGCTGGCTTGATGTTAGAGGGATTGGCTCAATGTGCAATATCCGACGGATTTACACGCCCAAGGCCAGGGATAGCTTTCTGGGGGAGGGGGACTAAAAGATTCAAACTGAAATAAGGTATATAAAAAGTTTGTTTACACAAAAGTTTGCAGCATGCGTTTCTTTTACCAGGTTGAATCAGAAGATAGTTGTGCTATTTTTAGGTTACGACGTTAATATTCGCTAGGTCGACTTAAATGCACTTGAAGTCGGATCCAGGGAAAGCGAAACGTGTTTTTTAAAGTGGGGCCAAAATTTAATGATTGTGTTTGTATTAAAAAAGGCCGCCACCATGGTTGGTGGCAAGAAAAATTTTAGATTATAATAATCTAGGGATGGGCAAAAACTGCATCTAAAATAGAAATTGACGGGAGAAAGCTAACGGTTTCATAGTTTTATCTATTCGAATGTTGACATGAAAAGAAAGGGTCTTCCAAAGTATTAGAATTATCATGGCATAACAGCGAATAATCAACTTTTTTACAAATGAATGAAACCAAAATAAAATGGAGAGAAAAAATAAATAAAACATAGTTTGGCAAAAAAAGCATTAGCTAGTGCCCAAATACACATACGCTGCCACATACAAATACGCTAATAAGCATGAACTTCATGAACTAAAGATTAAGTCTGGCCTTGGGCAGATTAGGTCATGGTGAGTTTATCAACGACCTATTGAATTCAATGAAAGCAGTAAAATATTTTGCTATAACACGTTTTAATGATTAAATAAAGCATTTCCTATTTTCTTACTCCTGTAAAACCACAGAAATGATGATAGTTTTACAGGCTTGTGTTCGCAGATTCAGCAGCAAAAGAAAGTACAAAATTTGATAAGCGTGTTCTGATTTCTTGGCTCGATAGTTCTTTTAGTTTCATCTTATTCAACAACGACTAAATGGCTCAATTCGGAAAAACTGGTATGCTTCAAACTTCTCGAAATAACAACGGCTATCCGAACATCTAAAATCACGTCTACACTCTACCAACGGAAATAAACGACAACTTCAACTCGACTGGACTTGCACTGAAAGAACATACGATTTTAACAACATGACTGACGCACACAAAACCCTAATGACACAAATTAACGGCAAATGGACTGATAACAACTAAAATAGAGATGGCACGATGACAAACAAAATGACTGACGCAAACATCGAAAGACATTCTCATTAACGATAACGAACCACAAACACGATGCACAACAGACAAAATTAGTTGTATAACACTCCTTTTCGGAACAATTACTAGTCAACAGGACGGCATATTATCATTTACTGCAGAGAAAAAGAAAATATCAGAGCAGTCCAAAAACAAAACCAAATCGAATTCAAAAATTTCATAATGTAAGCCAAAAATATTTTTTGAGATAAAGCGCTCTGCGGGCCGGATAAAAACTTGCTGCGGGCCGGAGTTGGCCCGCGGGCCGAAGTTCAAGAATGGCGGATCTAAACCATACTACTTCGTTTATCATGACCACAAAGGCAGCATTATCAAATGAAACAGAAAATTTTGTTGCAAGTACCTAAGCTGAGGAAAACGTTTCTTAATATGAACGACGATACTATATTAAAGAATTGTTTCAAGCATAGAAACATCGCACGGAAATATATCACAAAATGGTTTGGCTAACATCGATGAAAGGAACACATCATAACATCAGAATACTTGCCTCCAATAGCCTCATTTCTCTCTTTAGCTTCAACATGAGGTCAGGATTTGCACGAGGCAATTCGGAAAATTCCTTGTCACTTTTCAGTTTCTGAAAAAGTGGGAACATATGAAATGATAAGGATTTAAAAAAAAATTGTATTTCAAATGAAATCTAATAGACCATTTCTAGAGCTGAAAAGAACTGAATTGTTAAAAGAAATAGCTGAAACGTTTGAGACTGTTTCTCTTTGTGATTTCTCTAACATTTCTCTAAAAGACATTAAAAGCAAGGGAATATATTTCTGCCTGCAGTTTAGTCTGTCTGGAGAGGGCCCTGTTTCAAGCTACAACAAGAAGTGAAGCAAAAGTAAAGGGAAGATTGAAAAATGATCAACAAGAGCTTTTGAAAATAAGATATGACAAGATAGAGGAGAGCAGAAAAACAACAACATATCAAAGAAACATTTAGAGATACAATCATATGAAAAGAAATTTATCCAAAGATATACTGAGAATGTTGGCGATAAAAAATAATGTCAGATGCAATAAATGATGCAAAAGATGGCGTTTAAAGGTGTTGGTCTTTGAAGTCATCAAAAATTGTAAAAAATTGCTTTATATATGTGATTTGAGCGCTTTGGGAAATAACGGTTGTAAAACTAGCTAAAATAAAATAAAAATGAAATAAAAAAGCTTCAGAATTTGCAGTAATTGATATCACGATGAAAAGATTGTCATTCAATGGTTTAAAATGGCCTTTCTTTTTGTTAATCTGTTTAAAAAATACTTCTTTTTCACCTTAGAATCTCTGATGAACTTTGTTGATGCATTGCAGTACATTCTGACAAGCTGACCCCACTTTTCCAATTTTGGGTGAATTTTCTGCAAGAAAGACAGAACTTCATATAGAATCGAAAAATTCTATGTCTATCGAAAACTTCTTATACTTACGGTATCAAGTACGGGAAACTCCAATTTATGGTGAGAATAACAAATTTGGAAAACAACCATTTGTTGTGTGAGAGGTAGGCCTATGTGCGGTGGCACAAGTGACACATTTCCCTAGTCCATAAAACCTAACTTTTTAAGTTCTTATATTCTGTCCTTTTGTATGTGTTTAACACCACGGGGGGTCACCTGAGCTTTTTACATACAGGGGAGTCTATCCGATAATTATGGGTAAGAATTTTCCTTATGATCTGATACTTTTAGGTACCTGATTTAACAACATACCGTTTTGATAATTATGGGTTCAACTAACACATAAAAAATAAAAAACACAAGTAAAGAACAGATGTGTTTAAATTGACTATTATATGAAAGAGTCTAAATTACTATGACTTGTGGTATTATATGTGCTCAACAACAAGATATCTTATCAAGATTATTTTGATATTTTTAGGGTCTTATCAATACTTTTTAGCTGATAATAATTGGTCTGCTACATTTTTTTATAGAATTTTAGATGAACTTTGAAAACTGCGGATGGACCTCCCCGCATGTAAAAATTTTTAGTCACTCCTGTGGGTGTGTAACTATATTTGGTACTTTGTTGCCTGCGCTTTTTCGTTAACATGTCTCCCTCTCTATGACTTATTCCTGTCTTGAATTTCAATCTTTTACAGCGTGGACTTTTACTGCACCAATCTTCTCAAACTCGAGGTCCTCGTAAAATAATTTATTTTTCAAAAAAACAGAGGTATTTACATCGCAAAAGTATATGTTGAGTAATCTTTTGATAGGGAGCTTGAACATAGAATAAATGAAAGTTATAAGAATTAAAATCAGTTGTATTCAAACCTTTAGTATTGCTTGTGCAGCAAGATGCTTTCCAGTTTTTCTATTTTTGCATTTCCCCTGAGAGCAAAAATATCAATAGATTGTTATACTAGTCTGCCTTTTAGGAATTTAAATGTATTTTATACTTAACAAAAACAAACAAAGGCATTTCATATGGGAATTTGCATTCATTTTACAAAGGTCTACGGAGAAAATGGATGAATATGCACACCATCACTTGAATGCCAATGCAATGCAGAACTGTTATTGCCTATCGCCTAACATTATCACCTAGCAACTGTAACAAGACTCATTTTCTTCCTTTGCTGTTTAAAATTATCCATCATCGGTAAAAATCTGTTTCTATCCCCTTAATGCTTGCATGCTCGATTTCTTTTTCAATTGTTCTTGCTTTACTTTTCATTATTTATTTCTTGGACACACAATTATACTTAATCGATATGCTGATTAAATTACATCACCATTTTACGAAGAGTTTTATCAACGTTTATTGTCATTTAATTTGGTTGGTTAAATATAATGCAAAATTTTCGTTTGCAACTGAAATTATCTGCCAGCAATGAAAAGGGGTGACTAGATCAATAATAAAACAGCGTTTGAAAAAGAGCTGGCTCAGAAAAAGGAAAGAACTGCTAAAATTTAATTACAATGGTCTAAACGCAGGTAAGGCAATTACCTTACGCACAAATACTCTCGATATTGTTGAAACTACTTTAAAAGCAATAAAAAAACAGGGTATGTTTGTTAAGCTTACGGTCGCAGTGTGCTTTCCACATGTTATTTCGTAGGTGTGAGGATCATTACCAGCGCCTTCAATCAACTTAAACTCAATGTCTGCATCACAGAGGCCACGATTTCTTAGAAAAGAACCAAAAAAATTGTTAGAATTTCCTTAATTCATAGTAATCAGTTTTGATCAAACACTTTTTAAGATGAAATTGCTAAAGCTCCGATTTTATCAGCAAAATATTCCACGTTCTAGCTCATGGGCTGAGTGAGAGAACCAATACAAAGCTTGTAACTCCATCATGTGTTTATGTGAGAGACAATACATCCAGAGCAACTGAATTCTTGCTCTTAACTAGCCGGATCTTTCCACTTAGGATAAAAATCTACTATCTAACCACTATACTGGATGAATGATGGAATGACCTAATAGAATTATTATGTGAACAAGCGATGGATTCATAATTTGATCTTTAAAATACACTTTAGCAAAAGGGTGTTCAACAGACATGTGACAATGATTTCCAAAGACTTTAGTTTGAACTGAACTAAAAAAATACGAACATGAGTAGCAACAACAAGGCAACGAATTGCAAATAACATAACAGAAATGATAGCACATGATTAATAACAAAACTTAAAATTGAAATAGAAATAACAAATAAGGGACATCGCTTAGTCTATTGACTCTAGAAAGTGGTTTTGAAACCGTGTATAATAACAAATCATTTCAATTGGAATCGAACTTGGAACCATGCCCCCTTAATGGGCAATAATCTTTATGTGACGCTGTCTGTTACACCCATAATTGTTTCTATAGCCATGTAGTCATGTAATCAATCATGCAACTTTAGCCAAGTTTTGCGTCAAATTAGATCTACTGCACTCACAGAAATAATTCGCAAGATAAACATAAAAAATAGGACAGCACAGAAAAACGACACACATAAGACAAAGAAAATGCACTAAATTGTTGCTGGGATGCCACCTTGATGCTTTGCCACCTTTATGCTTTGCCACCTTACTAAAGGAGACCACCTTTAGGCAATGCCTTTAAATAACACCATCTAAACTGAGATCACCTTGATTACACATTTTTAAATAGGAGTGGAATCCCTTGACATAAGGTCTCTTTGATAAATGATGGGCCATCTTTATTCCGTGGCAGCCTATTGCAGTGAAGGATTTTGCTTCCATTTCTTACAATATAATGACAAACATATAATTGATAATGATGAACTGAAGTTGTAATGTACCGCAAATTATCCTACCTTTTCAAGCACGTGGAAAGCACTTCAGCGGGCGCTGGGAGGCCGACCGATCTTGCACAGTCAGCAACGGAAGGGTCTTCTATGTCCAAACCGTCAAAAACCTGTGCAAAATAACCTTGGTTACTCGTCGCTGGATATTATCTTTAAAATTTATACAGTAAAAACCCACGAAAAACAGCCCAGTGAAAAACAGCCTAGAGGCCTACAGGCCTAAACTTTGGGATTAGACCCGCGTCTTTTAACAGTCTATTTAGCCTGGAAATCAGATTTGGTTTATTTGCTTAAAATTCAAAGCAAAAGATGCTTGGAAAAACAACATTTTACAATATATGGTGCTGAAGATGGGAATATTACAACCAATAAGTCAGAACGTTGAATATAAAGTGAAAGATTGAAATCTTCAACGGTGTGCATCAGATATGATAATAATTTACTGAAAATATTTTAAGGTATTGATTCATGAGAAAAGACCAAATTGGTTATATTTCATAAAACTCTTCATGAACACAGGGTTTAAACCTAAGAATGGAAAACCACTTTAAAAACCAAGGTTAGGGATAGGGTCATTTCGCTGGCAAAGGCTCAATTTCCGCAAAAGATCAATCATAAGAGCTTGTTCAGATTGAAAGGCAAAATTGTAGGTTGTTGTACATGGGCTTTGAATGCTGAAAATACAGGCAGAAATAATCGCATAAAGAGAATTTAGAGAATAACTGATGAACACAAGCGTAAACTCTAGAAATTAAAATTCTGCGAAATTATTCATAGATGTGATCTGCCAAAAACCTAACCAATGGATATCAAAACAAAACGTGCCAATTAGTTAAATCTAGCCGTCTATGCTTTGCCTTACTGTAAATCCTCGAATTGCCCCCCCCCCTCGAATAAGCCCCCACCCTAGAACTAAAAATTGTCAATAAGCCCCTCCTCGAATAAGCCCCCACTGCTACCGCAAATTCTCGAATTGGACCCCTCCATTTGATGATTTTTGCCATCTGAGGTTGCCTATGGCGTTCTATTGAATTACCACAACAAATTCATACTTTTGGTAGTAATTAGTTAAATGCTCATAACTAAATTCCTACTAGAATAAACGAGGTCTTTTAATGATGTCTTCTTAATGTCTACAATAATTTTATAAGCCTCCCCTCGTATAACCCCCCCCCCATCGAATAAGCCCCCATAAAAAATTATCAAAAATAAATAAGCCCCCAGGGGGCTAATTCGAGGATTTCGGATATTTCTGCAAACTCCTAGGAAGATATGTCTCTCAAACATTACTGTAAGAAAAGAAGGGTAATTCTGGTGTTAAAATGGGAACCGTTCTTGAAATGGGAGACTGAACAATCAGAAATTTGAGGGTTGCAAGATAATATCAAACGTTCTTTAACGTAAAACATCCTAAATCTTGTTTCGGGCCTTTTCGTAACACCTTTCCTTTCCGCTTATGGTATAAAGATCATTTAGAGCACTGACCGAAAATTCTTTTTCCGTAAACTCGAAATTTTTCATTTCTTCGAATTGTTTCGGCAGCAATATCTCCATCGTTTTTTCTGCCGCAACCTGCCTCGCAACTTTCTTTGATCTTCCCTCGCCCTGTCCGTACTTTAAACCATCAATCACAACCTCAACAACATACTGGTCGCCTTTACCCTTTACATCAACCATATCAAGGGGTTTCTTCAGCTCTTTACTGCAAAATTCCGTTAAAATTGCCAACGGCGTCTTCCCAGGTGTGACGGCAAACTTATTCTTCGTTCGATACACAGTTGCAAATGGGACGGCCTTTAAAACACTAGGCAGTTCTGGCTTAGCTTCAATTTGATATCCCTCTCCAAAAACTGTCATCCTTGCTTCATCCTCGGTAATCTTTTTAAAATCGAATACTCTCCCAAGATACATTTGCATATCCTCCAGATCAATGACTTCGATGTTATCAATCATTTTGGTTGCTATAATTGGCTCTTGACTTTCAAAATACTCTTTGTTGTGCCTTAGCTTACCTGGCTCCAGTTCTCCCTGCGAATGCTTGCCCTCGGAAAGCTCACTTAAAAGCCTGGCCTCTGCACCGTTTTTCACGCCACCACAAACACCCTTAAATGAACCAGCATCTTCATTTGACTCTTCTTTCCGTCCAGTACAACTATCTGCAAAGAAAGAAGAAATAAGGACTAGAGTCTTCTACATATAACTCAAAGTTTAGGAAATATCAACAAGATTGAAAAGCAAAACAAAAGTCAATTACTGACAAAAGGTTCAAATTTTGAACAAAGTTCATAATTGAAATTTAACTTTAATGACAGATGTCGAATAGCTTGCCTAAATTAGCCAAAGCTGCAATTAGATAGAAACCATCCAAAGTAAATAGCAAACAGCCAGCAATAAAAACTTTGACACGAAAAAGATATTTAGCAAGTAAAGGAATTGAAAACAGAGTTTGGTTTTATAAAACAGATTTGAAAAATCGCACCTTGAACGTCAACAAAAATAGGTGCCGAGTTAAGAGATTCCAGGGTCCTCTTTCAATAAAATACACTACAATCTTTTGGTGGTACAAAACTTTAAAATGGCTTTGAAAAAAACAAACATTTGAGTATACTAAAGCTTTTTGTCGGACACTCTTCAGAGTTTAAAACGTCAGATCATAGACCGAAAACTCTACGCTAGGAAACTTATATATCCAGTTGTGGATCCAAATAGGCCAATCAGAAACGCCAGCACATGACTTTTGAGGTTGCCCAATCAGTGCCGCTCGCCTATTGAAAGTGTTATCAATGGATTCCTAAGGTGAAGACGAATTCCTTCTGTCTTCACAATAGCGGTTATTTCGTGCTTATGTAGATAGATTCCAAAACTGCTAGATGGAACGACTATTGGGCTTTAACAATCCGAAACACTTCGCCATTATAGTTTTTTGCACAATCTGGGTTTTCCAGTAAATGCTGCCCGATAGCAGAATCGCATGTTTAGTGTTAGCTCGAGATCTGCAAGACCGAGGTGGCTGTTATCTTTGGTGAGCTTTAGTATACTCAAATGTTATCTTTTTTTCAAAATACACTACATTTGACAATTACTGAAATCAATCTTACAGTGCACTTTCACTGTCTTTTGATGAACAGACCTTATATTCTTGCTAACATATATATCATACGAAAGAGTCTATCAAAATGTTTTACGTGTACTTTTGGAAGCCTCTTTAAGGCAGTAAAAAGGCCTTTTGGCGCAACATGATCATCATAATTGGACAAATCATTTCGTTCACTGAGTTCAAGCAACAGTAGGAGTTCCTTTACAAAAGGAAGTTAGCCTGGTTATATTTCAATATGACTGCTATGAAAATTTAATCTATGTTGCAATGATTTGCCTGATATAATCTAAACCTGGGGCCTGCTCATCTCGCTTTCTCAACTCCGATGAAAATCTAAACCAGGGTGAAAGTGAACAGTTGAATTCACACCACGTTTTGACTGATAAAATAAACGGACGCAAAGTACTTTGGGATTAAAAATCATAAAGGCTGTAAGTCACCCAGAACAGAAAAATGAAAAGAAATTCCAAGTAGTCAATTTATCTCAACCCGGGCTGACTCATTCAGAGCACCTCTGAAATTACCTTCACAGAGGCTTCCAATTGACTCTTTTTGCTGTTGACAACAAACTGGACTTATATAATCGACTGTTGCACTCCGGTCAACACTTTCAGTCGGTAGCTTTGTATTCTCCTCTGTCTCTATTCCGTCCTCTCCAACTACGCATCGCTCCTCATCGGTATTGTCAACTTTGGACCGCTTTTCCGGCAAATTTTCACTGCTTGATGAGCGCTTTCTTTTCGCAGTTTTAGTCTGAAGACCAAGGATTTGGTGCATACATGGAATTGCAACGACTGGAACCTTGTGCTTCTAAATACAAAATTTTGCAAAAATTTCTTATTTTCATAAACTAACAATTAGAAACAAATAACTCAATAAATCGATGACTTAAAGTAGTTTTTATTATGGAATCTATGGAATAAAGGCAGATTATGGTATGTAGCATAAACATAATCTAGATTTAGATTTAGCAAAATCAAAGTCTAGATTCCACAAAGATTTAGATCTGTTTTGCCAGACTCAAAGTATAGTGCAGTGCAATAATATTATATGTTCTAAGAAAACTTAGGATTTGCAGTCAAGATTCTAGATCTGGTAGAGTAAATTTTAGTTTGGCAAAATCAAAGTTAAATTCTTTAATTCGTGTGATCTGATTACAGATTTGGGCCTGCCAAATTCTCCACTGGTTACCATCTATTCTAAAATTCTTGGCAACCAAATCTTTGATTTAGTTTGTTGAATTCAAAATTCTACAATCAAATTGAAGATTCGCAGTAACATGACTTGTGGGTCTGTTTGCTTGTGGCAGCTTTAAGCCTGGGTATTTCTATATTCAACTTGAAAGAAAACTTCATAGCAACTCGCCAAAGTTTAAAGCAATTTTTCCTTTGTTACATTACAAGTAATGCAAGCAGATCATCAATCACTTGATTTCTTAAGCTACAGCCTTCCTGATCCATACTTATAGCATGCAAAAATTGTAGAAAATTTGCAAACTAAAGGTGAACTTTAATTTTACAAAAATGCTACGATTTTTGCAAGTTAAAAAATTAAAAAAAACGACCAGGACAAACTGGTGCATTTGATTTCATCTGTCAAATGACAAAGTATGTAAAATCTTGAAACTGAAACAATTGGATATGGATAACTGCACTGCAAAACGATAATAGACTTTCTCAATATCTTGCAATTCTCATCTTGTGTATGAAGCAAAGTGATGGTCAAATTGTCAGTGGGGATTTTTACTCATTTGACTAGAAAATATTTGTGCATGAGTCTTTGGGTCACTTGTTGATAAATTCTTATTTAGCTGTTAGTCTTGATGTCATAATAAAAATATAATAAATGAAAGATTGAAATATATAAGAACAAAAAACCTGCCCTTAGACTTCCGTTTCCTATATAATAGGGCCTAGACCAGGTTACCACTCTAGACTTCTTGTGCAAATAGACAATGCCTCCACTTTCGTGATAGACAGCAATCCAGTCATCAGGCAACAGAAGCTCAGGTATAATGCCAAGCACTATCAAAGAGAACAGAAGGCTAGTAGAATCATTTCCTAATGCATAACACTGCAAAATTTGTTGCTGAGCCTTATTAAGATTCCTAGAGTTATCATAAGTCACACATCTCATTCTTTCTTTTAAACCCAGGAGAATGCTTCCTTCAATATCACAAAAAGTGAATTTTTCCATTGTTTGTTTTAAAATTGTCAATAAGCAATATAATCAAGCTTGAAATCCTCGATAAAACAGAAACAAAAAAGTATATGCACATCATAAACAAGGTTTGAAGTCTGGTGTATATCATATTTTAAAAGAAAAACTTGAGTAGAGTAAGAACAATCCAGTTGACCTATACTTATTTAATTGCCTAAGGATATCTTTTTAACTTTCCTTGTTAAACAATGACATTCCTTGCACATGAAAGTTGAATTTAAAAACAACATGGAGGGTGACAAAAAAAGAACAATTTTAGATAATGAGCAGATGTTGTATGGTTCATTGTATTGTAACATTAAGAAAAATTCTGGAACATTGCAAAATGTGATGGAAAGCATTACTAGATTCTAGACTCTTGATTCTAAGCAGCTACTCGAAGTAATACTTTACCATAACAAAGATGGTATTGATGTATAGAACCTGCTAAAATATGCTATTGATGTATAGAACAGGATGGTTCTATGTTGCTACTCTCTGACCTCATTAAACATGAAACTTATAGTAGCAACTTAAAACCCTCCTTTATGGCATCAAGCATTTTATGACAGACGAGTAAACAGTAATTTTCATTGAAACAAAACATTTCTTTACTTTCTATCTTGACTAGATGAAGTATTTTAGCCAACATTCTAAATTTTATTTTAGCCATCTAAATTAATCAAAATGCTGATAAAACATACTATTAATAACTGATTTTGTCTTCTGCCTTTCATCTGGGTGGCTTCCAGGATCATGATTATCATTTGTGGGTGTGCTTGAACTCCTTTCTGGAATTAGCAGAGCATTATAGATAGCTTCATCATTCTCTTTAGCCATGTTGACAAAAATTCCGATAATCAAATAACATCAATTTCCCGCAAAACCTGAGAACAAAAAAACATTAAGCAAGGTTTTTGCATTCCATATAAACTAAGGCACTTGTCATGTACAAGACTTGAATTCAAGTAACTAAACTTCATCAAGATGCAATTAAGTAACTTAGTGTAACTAATAAATGCAAAATTACAACTTAGATTTTTGCATTTGGTATTGTAGGTACAAGATATATGATGCTCACAATTTTCTCAATTTGTGACTGCAATGAATTTGGATGTTCAAACTCTTTATAATGACAGCAGGGTTTAAAACTGTCTATTTGGATTAAAAACTGCTTTTGAAATAAAAGATATAGTCTATTTATTTGTGTTTGGTTCTATACACCTGCTTTACATAGACCTAACACATCTCTATTTAAGTTTGAAAATTATAACAAAATAAATTTCTTCAAGTAAATCAACACAACTATAGGAGTGAAAGTAACGAAACATGAAGGGAACAGCAATGGGCCCCAAACTTTGTCACCATCCTGTATAGCAATGGGCCCCAAACTTTGTCACCATCCTGTATATCAAAGAGTAATCTGTTTGGCTATTTGCAATGATGCAGAGCTTACACAACTGCTGCAATTCTTATGAACACTGGGAATTACACACCATAGTTTAAGAAATTCACGAAATAGATGTGCTGACATACCATTTATGATTTGTAGAAAAAGCATGGAAAGGCATGATAATTTTGTTATTTGTTATAAGTAGCAAAATTTTTTTGAGGAGTAAGCTAAAAGATTCAATATTCAAGTTTAGATCTGTCATTGTGTGATAACAATTTTTTTATTTTCTGTTTTTAAGTGAGATCAGAGTATAAAGCAGCAATTTGATTGCTATATGTTAGCGTTTTTTTGATTGTCCCAAACTTAAATCACAAAAGTTATGCTTAATAACAAAAGTATTTTGCAGTGCAATTATGAATAAAGTAAAAAGTGCATTCAACAAAAATTATACTCCAATTTCATTGACTACATACAGGCCAGTCTGCAGAGTATGGCACTTTTCGACGAGGTCTCCGGTGTGCACGAGCAAAAAGCCAGGTGTGCCGGTGTGCACCACCAAAAATTTCTGGTTTGCTGGTGTGCACCAGCTATTTTCCCCTGTTGTGGTCAAAGTTTGTAAATTTGAATTTTACCGTAAAAAATTGTCCTACACCACAATCATAAATCAAGTCTAAGTTGTTAACGATGTTAAAAAAGAATGAAACCAAAAAAAATTTGCTTGAAACCGGATGAATGTTGTGATATTTCTAATAGTATTCTTGAAAATGTATGAAAAATTTGCAATCTACGAGTCACATGGTACATCAAACAGAAAAAGATGAAACTGGCACATTTTGCAGTCAGGTGAAAGAAAAGCTATGATATTAATTAGGCTCACATTTTTCTTCTAAATACACCAACAACTCTTGATTGACGTGCCTTGCGATAATTTTACAGTGATGATGAAGAGATCATGCGACTGTTGAAAACATCTTTTATTGAAAAATCATTTTCTAATACATACATTAATCATCGTTACACATTCGCTGCTAAACTTAGCTTTCTTGTCGTCACAGCTGAGCTGACAGGCGCCACCAGCAGTGCTACCACCACAACCAAAGGGTAGCCATTTTCAGCCTCTTTTTGGATTTGTGCCTAGGGGATTTCCCAGTAAGGTTTTTGTCCGCGTTTGCGTCGAGAGCAATGCATTTTGTTTAGGCAATTGTATGCCACCACGATTTCTATTTGTGATCGAGCAAGGCTGACTTTTTACGAAATTTGCCAGAACATTATTATTTCAAATTCTCGAGTCAATTGCAGTTACTTCAAATTGCAAGGTGGAAGGCAATAGTAGGGAAACAAGTGAAGTGATAAATCGAAGCAAGCAAGAAAAATTCTGCACCCGTGCAAATCATGATTCGCAAACTCTAAATTTTAAAGTTCTACATAGATTTCGAAGGGTTCCGTCCAACTATCACACCGTTTTGTGCCATACCTGGCACAGGCCACCCGCTATTGGACTCCATTAATTGTGCGAATTGATATGTTTTGAGGACGTTGCAAGGAATTCTTCTTTCTTTTGTAACGAAAGATACGAAATTCTTCTAAACGAGGTTCTACGTTCATTAAAAGCTTTTTCTTTTCCAATCTATATCCAAAATTTTGCTTAACCGAATGAGAGATTGTTGCTAGGCAGCAGAGCAACCGCACCCTGTAAAGAGCACTAGAGAAGACATGTTCGATTGAAGCCTTTATCTGACTAAATGAATGTTACTTAGCTGTGGAATAAAGCTTGGACAGCATAAATAGGATGTAAATCTTAAGATATTACTTGCATAGCTGCCTTGTGAATAGCGGTGAGATAAATAGAGAACGCAAATCTATTGAAGGCATTTTGAAGTTATCAAATAACTTCCAGCGGGCAAATGTTTTTCTTCCTAATAGGATATTTCTCTTTCGCCCTGGGTCAAACTATCCCTCAGAATGATAATGAATATTTTCACATTCTAAAGCCTTTCTCTCTCAATACTCGCTCTAAATTAATCTACTATCCACTTCGTGTTTCCCCATTCACCCATTAAACGTCGAATTAATCCTCTCTCTCTTGACAGCACTCAACAAATAAACGCTATTTCCTGTAACATTATCGTGTTCCAAGAACGAAATTTAATAAAGCACTAAATTACCCTATATGAAAGAAAGACTTTTTAATATCTTTCTCATTCTCTCTCCCTTTTCAGAACATGAACAAGCTATTAATGTTTAAATGCAGAAAACAGTTTCAATCCTCAAAATAAAGACTTTTAGCAAAAATTGTAATGAGATCTAAATAGCTGTATTTAAGTTCTTTTGCTATGTCTAATTAAAGCTATAAATAGAAGGGTTCTACAGGGAATTTTAAAACATGAGATTGAGTCCTACTTTGTGAAATAAACCTCGTTAGAAGGTCTTTTTCAAAGTTGTTGATGCTGCAGCAGGACAATTTTATCGCATAGCGACTTGCGTAGGGAGCTCGTGGGTAAAAAAGGCCACGATAGCAGGCTGCTTGACGAACTCCGATGGAATTCTTGCGACGAAAAATCGATAAAAAAGTAGTAAATAAGTAACACCGCAACGCAACGAGGATGAACAACAACAAACACACGTAAATCAGTTATGGCTAATATTTCGCCCCGGCATACGGGGCATCATCAGAGTAAAAGTAAACGGACTCAAAAGGTACAAATTAAAGAGATATCTTAAGGTAATATTTCATGAAGTCATGATATCTTAACGATATATCTCATGATATCTTAACGTAATATCTCATGATATCTAAACGTAATATCTCATGATATCTTAACGTAATATCTCATGATATCTTAACGTAATATCTCATGATATCTTAACGTAATATCTCATGATATCTTAACGTAATATCTCATGATATCTTAACGTAATATCTCATGATATCTTAACGTAATATCTCATGATATCTTAACGTAATATCTCATGATATCTTAACGTAATATCTCATGATATCTTAACGTGATATCTCATGATATCTTAACGTAATATCTCATGATATCTTAACGTAATATCTCATGATATCTTAACGTAATATCTCATGATATCTTAACGTGATATCTCATGATATCTTAACGTAATATCTCATGATATCTTAACGTAATATCTCATGATATCTTAACGTAATATCTCATGATATCTTAACGTAATACCCCCTTTTTATGTGACAATTTGCTGCCTTAACGGCATTAAATTCTAGAAAACAGACATCTTTTGGGTGTGTCACTTGTTTTCAGCAAGATCACTTAAATTTCATTGGAATCTCGCTGTTAGTCGTTCAGTTATATTTTGTTACGATTAAGGACATAAACATAAGATATTTGCAATTTGCATATGCATATGATTTGCGTAAAGATTTTAATATGAAAAAATTCAAGTTTGTAAAACTTTCAAACTCTGCAAAATTTTCATAAATCATATTATTTTCTTCCTTTTTTATCACGATGCTACAATTTTTTTATATCTAGCTTTATTAATTTATTGTTAGATCTAATTATCAAACAAATGATGCCGAAGTAATACCTGCAAATTGAGCAAATTAAGATAAGACTGAATGCTTTTAAATTGAAAATAGTATTTGAAGGGAACACTAGTTCCAAAACTCAAGCAATCATTTTCGTTTAGATTTTTTTAATTGAATGAAAGTATGGAAATTTGACATACAAATTTGCTTCATTAATAATTTGCTAGAATAATTCCTAGAAGACAAATACACCAAAGGTATCTTACAAGAGTTTATAGGTTATAAAATGTTTACATGCTAGATATTCATAATTTTTAACCTGAAACAGTCTACAAAAGTTCTGTTTTCATCACTTTCAGTAGATTTCCTTAGAGATGCAAATAGCTCAGAGACCGCCTCGAAGGCTAACCCTCATATTGAAGAGGTTTCTGAGATTTACTTGAAACAGATTGATGAGAATTATGGGAAATATTTGTTTCGATTGTTCTTTATACCGTTGCTCGTTGTATCTGTAATGATTGAAGAAGGCAGTCAGTTCCATAAAATGCTATTCATTCATTGATCTGATAAATACCCAATTTTACTTTGCGACAAAATCCTGTCATTATTTTGATAATTTCATTAAATCTGGAATCTTTAGAACCTAAAAATACATCATGTTGGTATTTCTTGTTGATACAGAAATGTCTTTCTAACACATCAATATGCTAAGTAACAACAGGGTTGATAACATGGTTGGACTTCTATCGTATTTTTGGACATGACTGAAATCTTTATAATCTCCTGTACTATTGAAGAGTTGTAATAAAACATTCTACAAAGCCTTTCCGACTACATCCTTTTCCCTTAAAAGCTTCGAAAGACTTTTAAACATTTTAAAGATGATGTATGATTTTTGATAATCTAGAGTCACTTTGGTTTATATTGTAGACAGATTTTCTCTAAATCTTTCAGTGGCCATTCTTGGTAGACGATTCTTTGAAATATTTGATACTTGAGCTTGTTGGAATAATTTCCCCTTCAAAATGAACACAGTTATGTGTGCCATAAAATTGACCAAGTTACCCTTCGCTCAAAACATTTAGCTATCTGAATTGCTCTGGCGACATATCAAATGCTCTTCCATTTCTCTGTGTCGTGGGCTGTTGATGGTCACCGTCACAGTTTGTCTTCGCTATTAGCCTCTCTATAGCTGTATTTTTCATTCTGGTTTGATGCCCTTCTCTTGATCACTTCTCAAACAAAATAATTTATGCCAGTTAGTCATTTTTTTGTCTGGTGATGTGTCGCATAAATTCTGCTATTCTGTCTCATTAATATGTCCTTTGATTTCCTCGCACTCGTCAAGCAAAGTTCCATGCTCACATCTTAAATGTCTGTATTCTTGTTTTTCTATATGCTTCAATTGCCATTCACAGCCAATGTTGCAATTATAAATACCTTTTATCTTAGCTGTCCTTTCGCTCTCTTTTTTATGATAGATGTATCCTTTCATGTCTAACTCAGAGAAACTGTATCATTCTTTTAGCTATGGCTATCCTTTATTTCCTCGGTGCAGTTATTGCTTCTGATGATGAGGGCAAAGCCAAAGACAATGGAGCATGCGAGAAACAAATAACAAGGTGACTCTCCCCATTTCTGTGCACCCATGAACTTAAATCTAAAAACAACTAACAAAGAGTGCTTTAATTTTTGGCCCGGCATAAACTTCAATAATAAGCATATTTTAATATAAATATGAAATATTTTTGTTACCTCAGTGGAAAAACATATTGCATTAATCAACGAGCATTCAAGAAATTAAGACATTTGATCAAATATTGAAAAGAACAAGAAGACTTTGAATTCGAGCGAAGATAAAAGATGAATTTTGTTCAGTTAAATTATATTCTAAGTCAATAATATCTCATTTCCAGCTGTTTTGTGAAAACTCTAAGCTCTAATTTGCCTATACATTCGCTTCATTTCTCTTTATTGAAACATTCATTCGTTCATTACTACGTTTATGCATTCACTCATTCTTACAATCATTCGTTCATTCATTCATTCATCCATTCATTTATTCATTCATTCATTCATTTATTTACTCTTTCATTCATCCATTCTTTCATTCATTCATTCATTCATTCATGCAAACCTTTGTACATCCCTCTTCACGTTTTGACAAATTTGCCGTAATCCAGGCCCCAGGGAATTTTTAGGCTCAGCAAACAGTTAAATCAGATCCTTTCCCAAAGTGATTGTCAGTAACTCGCCTTTGCAAAAGGGTGTTTTGCAACTAAACTTCTTTATTTTCCAATATTGTAGAAAACAGGATATAACTTTGTTTTTAAACCAATTTGAATGCCCTTCTTATTTCTCGATCTTATTAACAACAATTTCAAATACGACTTTGAAAGGCAAGGCTTGGGTGCATCCCATTGTTCTCAATCTATGCTATGCAAGGTTTAGTGCTTTCAAAAAAGGGGAGGGCCAACATGACGCGTTAAAAGAGATTGATCACATTCTAGAATCTCATTCATTGAATTACTTAGTTGAAACGCCATAGACTGATTTGTTTGGAATGAGGACAGATTGACACATAGTTGTAAGAATGT